CCGTCAATAATTTTTCCTCCAAAGATTCTCACTATACTGGAATCAAAGTGGGATAAGGTGATTAGGTGGATTAGGATCAGATTATTAGCTATCATGTTTCCTGATACTTATTTAATTAATTTTCTCAATTTCTCATTCATTCCTCATGGCAGTATTGCATAGAATCACACATTATGATCATCAGAGAGAGTTAATAACTTTGATTATCATTGTGGCAATTTGTTAGTAATATTATCCCTCCATTGTTGCGCAGTACAACCTAAAAGACATTGACTTGCTGACAATTCATTGCCGTCTTAACTTCGCAACTTTCCCAGGCTTTCCTAACAATTTAAAGGAGAAACAACAAGAAAGACATTTTCTGCCATCTCCTTTCTATCTTCGGGATTCCAGGTTAAAAAGAATGGTAGGAGGGTTCATAAACTCTCTTTAAAAATAAGAGCTCTTCCTGCCTTCCCGGTCAATTACAATATGCCTAAGGGCCTGATCACTATCCCATCTGACACTAAATTAAAATTCTAGCCAAAATGTTTCCTGCTTCATAATTTAAAAGGTAAGCTGCCATATTATTTAGAGTATGTTTCCCACACCCATGAAGAATTCTTATGGTAAAACACATGCTTCTCTAACATTAGGAAAGGCAACCTCAGAGTCTCAGACACTGATTCAAAAGCTTGATACCATTTAGCCTGTTACAATACCTACTAAACTACATATATATACAATTACTCTCACAAACAAAAGAAGATTCACTTAAAGAACAAAATCCTTAATCATCACAATATGTAATTTACCACATCAAGTATCCTTAGTCTAAACATCTTCAATTTTCAGAAATGTCTATAATCAACCTGATTACAACCACCAGCAACAATTACCACCGCGCAAAACAAAGCACAATATCTAACACATCAAACCTAATGCTGTCAACCCAGCAAATCTCACTTCGAAGATTAAACCGCCATACTAACATTCTATAGAAAATTAGAAACAGAACAAACACAAACAGCTACAAAAATTAAATCGGATATGGAGCAACCGCCCCACGCCGAATCCTAAAATCAAGTACCTCTTCATACAACTGACAAATCTTAACAAAACACAGCGCAATAAAACATATAGTATACTGTACAAATATATTCATCTCGAAGAACTATAATTCTTCCAATATTTTCGCTCTATGTCGGCAACTATGGTAAGAGGATGTATAAATCAATTTAATTACAAACAAATTGGCTTGATTGGTACATGAAAAACCCTAATACGCCAAAAAAAAAAATCACCAGATTTTAGCCAAATTAAACACAAAATACCCAAAAAATCTCCGAATTCGACCTTACAGTAATCAAAACATAAAAATTGAACTTAAATCATCAAAAAAACCAAAATATAAATCGTTCATATCATAAAACATAACAACAAAAACAAATTAACAAAAAAAAATAGAGAAAAAAATACCTTGATTGAAAGCAGAGAGATCGCAGCAAAAGTGGAGATAGAAGGAAGAGAAAGCAGGCAAAGAAGGAAGCGTAAAAGGTAAGAAGTTGAAGCTTTGGTGAAGAAGAAGTATGAAGCTGCGATTGGTTGCGAGAGTTTGTGAGAGGAGAAAGAGGCGTTTTCTCCTTACTGGTTTGTGAGGTCTGCTAGGGTTTTGTTTAAGTAGCAGTCTTCTTTTTGCTCATGTTTTTTAGAGGTTTACTACGGAGTTGCCTTCAACTTCTTCTATCACAAATTAGCGTATGCGTGTCAATTTTTTGTGTCACGCCATTGTTTTTTAGTTGCAACGTTTTATTCTTTGATTAGGTTAGATTTGTAAAAACAAAATAAAGGTTTTTTTACACAGTACTCCTAAGAGCACTCTCACTCATAGTAAAAAATATGCTTATGAGGAGAAATTCAAGGTAAAAATCAAAAAACATGTATCCCACTCATGGGCAAAAAAATAAATGCCCACGAGGAAAATCAGAAATGCCCAAGGCCATGACATTTTTGTAATGCTACAGTAACTTGTGTACCCACTAATTAAATATAAAAATAGCTATTTTGACCAATTTAACATATTTAAAAACAAAAATAAAAATTATCAATGTTCATAATTTATTTTTATCTATAAGTAGACACCCATTTTGTTATATTTTTGTGCACTTCGAAAAATCACATTTTTCTACTTAATTTGTTATTACTAAAATTTTACTTTTGTTGTGGGTTTATTTTAGCCCATGAATATGTGAGGACTTGTATAAAAAAAACGCCCATGAAAAAAGTGGGAAAAGAGGAGTAAGAAAGTGGGTAGAGAGAGAATGACATTTTATTTTTTTGACCATGAGTGAGAGTGGTCTAAGGTATGCACCAGTCTAAGTTGTGCCCACCTATTTTCAAAATTCCACGCTGTAACCACAAGGTACGTTTAGTGAGTACGATGTAACACTACCGTTAAGTTGTCGTTAGCTATTGTCGTTAGTTTTATGTTGCCTCACCACCAAAAACCAACCTTCACGACCCAGTCCTAACCACCCTAACACCCACACTTAGTAACCACCACACCTAGCACAACAGCCACACACAAACCACCATGAAGAAAATTGAACCCATCCCTAACCCTAACTAGCCCCACCACCATCACTGCCACTGCCGGCAACAGCTACCGGCACTCCCATCCCGACCTACCCCGGCCGATGCACCACCTTAGCCTAACCCCAAACTCCGTAGCTGATGCACCACCCTAGCCCAACCCAAAACACCTCAGGCCCAACCACTACCGCGTAAAACCACTCCCCTTTTCCCTCACCCTTTAAACGGCCAAATCGACCATTCAGGGTTTCAATGGTCGATTCCGGTTAATTTGAGGGTGAAAGGGTAAAGGATTGGAGTTTTTCGTCCATTAGGGTTCAAGCATCAGATTTTTGGTGGTTGAATCGGCGGCGAATTGTTGTTGTTGTTTCGGCGGTGCATTGGGCTGGCTGCGGTTTGTAGGGTGGGTGCGGTTCATAGGGTGGCTGCGGTGGCTTGGGTGAAGTCCAGTGGCTGGGGTGAAGTCCGGTGGGTGGTTTGTTGGGCGGGTGAGTTTGGAGGAGGGAAGCGTTGGTGGTACGTGGGTGGTTTTGCAGGAGGGAGGGTTTTTTTTTTTTTAAAAAAAAAAAATTTAAACGGATTTTTTAACAAAAGTTAACGATGTTAACTTTAGGATTAGTGGGGGATTACATCGTACACACTAAAGGTACCTTGGGGTTACAATGTGAAATTTTGAAAATGGGTGGGTACAACTTAGAAAAGTGAATACCTTAGGGATACTGTGTAGAAAAACCCAAAATAATATTATACAAAATAAAAAATGATATTATGACAAACTTTTAAATAAATCGGATGTATAATAAATACTCCGTATTGTTTACTCTAAAATGAGCAAAAGTTACCTTAATATGAATAAAAGTTACCATGACATAAATAAAAATTACAAAATATTTATGCTTTATTAATAAAAGTTACCCAAAAAATTGTAAAAATGACCTCCGATGTACAATAAATTACGGTACACCAGATGTATACAAAAATTATTCTTTTATTATACTTCCTCCGTTCTGTTAATATTGCAACAAGGAGAAAATTACGCATCCCGAAACACCTTTTATATGCTAAATATCTATAATTGTGTAAGAGTAAAAATTATAAAAAATTGATATTGTGGAAGTATTTTATGAGACGAATCCAACAAGATCCCACTTAACCATATTTTGCTTAACGTATAACTCATATTATATGGTCAAACAAGAGTGATGAATAGTGCAAAAAGTTCATTGTTGCAATATTAATAGAACGGAGGAAGTATATGGTTATTGTTATACATCATAGACAATCTAAAAGAGATTGTCTCGTGCGCATTGAGTATCAAGTTTCTATACAATTGTATTTGATTATGACCTAACGAGCTTCACCTAAATATGAAATTTATCTATTATAAGATAATCAGAAATCTTATTTAACTTCAAACTAGCCTAACCTAAACCAAACAACCAATGAGTCAAAGCTCACCCAATCGATTCAAAATTGGCTGAGTGTGAGTGGCATATGTGCTCAAATCGAAGATCCTCTTATTCGAATACAAACACAATAAAGGAATACATCAAAAGTAGGAAGAAAAAAACTATTTTTTCCTCGAATTGGTTGCTTAGTATAATATATTAGAACTAGCTGATTTTTTAAAATTAAACTTATATTTACTAAACTAGCATTATATATATTGAACTGAATATTTTTTTATTGCTTTTTTTTTAAAAGGCGGAGTAAAGAAGGCTTTAACTAGACGGCAAAGAAAATAAAGGAGTTGTTTTGTTTTTGGGTAGTTGTAGAACAAACACAATGGTGTAGGCAAACTTATTAAAATCGGGATTCTACTTTGAATCGGAAGGGGCTATCAGAATCGAATCGTAGAATCGTAAGATTCTACCGACATGCATAATCAAGACGTCAAATATAAATATAATTAAATATATTGAAATTATGAGTTTGAAACCTAATTATTGATAGATAATACTTATTTACCCATTAAGAAATCAATACTTGACAATATATATTTATAAAAACCTGTATAAACATGTTTGTTACTTGTAAGGATTTCACTAGTTCAGAAAAATATGTAAAATCGGGTAGAATCGTAAATCGAATCGTATGATATACAAGAATCGTAAAATCGTAAGATTTTAAGATATAAATCGGGATTTTAATAACAAGGGGTGTAGGTCATCTCCTAATCTCCTAGTTGCAGTCGGTAGTTTATGTGCCCTAGCACCACACCCTTATAAAAGAAAATTTAGGTACCTTTTAGATACATTTGCATGCACATATATATACTATATAGGTGCACCCAATGAGATAGAAAACTACCATTGAGTACATTTTGCAACCAATTGTATATTACTCCCATCTCTGGTTTTTTTTTATTGCACCATATAGGTTGGACACATTTGATAGTGGGAAAAAAGAGAAAAAAGGAGAGAGAGAGAAAGGTAAAAATATAAAACTGTCCATGTGATATAAACATAAACAAAAAAATTAAGTGTGAGAAAGTAAGATGTATGTTGGGTATCTGCAGTGTGAACAAAGATTTTTTATCCTAAAATAAAAACTATGCAATATTTATAAAACTTTTTTTAAAAGACAAGTGGTACAATATTAAAAGTACGAATGAAGTATATATACTTCGTAGATATTAGTCTCTATTACGAAATAGAATAATTTTGGAAAGATTCCAAGGGTGTTGAGAATTTAGTCTCAAGTATTAAAATGAGACATGAAGAGAAAGGGGAAAGGGGAAAGGGTGGCTACTAGAGTTTCACATACAAAAATATTCCCTTCGTCCCTTTATTTTGCATCATTGTCATTTTTAGACTGTGCATAGTCAAATGGGACAATAAAATAGAGACAGGGAGAGTACTAATTTATTTGATCCATAATTTGTATTAACTTTAGGTTGAGATCTTCCACAAACAAAAAAAAAAAAAAAAAAAAAAACCCAAAGATGAATCTAAAAAAAATAAAATCCATGCACCTGAGGTTCATGTTAATATAGAGAAATTCCTATATAGTATTATATCGGAGAATTAATAGACGCAACCAAAGAAAAGTTCAGCATTGCCAAAGCTTCATTGATGAGAGAGAAATGTATCTGCTCTCTCTCTCCTATGCGCATAGCTAGACTGTTTAGTATCGTTTATTTCTATACCTTTCTCTTTCATCTTGATGTTCATGGCGTCAACCAACAATTTTGTCCTGGGCTCTAACACCATTCCCTTCGATGTCATTTCTTCGACATAATCCAAAGCATCTTCTATTCTTCCTTGGTCATACCTCCCATGGATCATGACCGTGTAAGATCGCTGATCAGGTCCCATGCCGTCTCTCAACATTTCAGCCCAAGTTGATTGAACATTTTCTTCACAATTCCAATTCATGTACAACTTCAGCAGCAAATTATACGAGTCTCCTGTCATCTCACATCCATTAGATTTCATTCTTTCAAGCAAAGTCTGAACTTCCTCTGGTGTTTTTGTTGATGTTAACAAGTGACAATAAGTCCTAGAATTCGGGGAACAATTTCCACCCTTCTGCATCATTTCATCCAATAATTGGAAGACTGCCTCTGTCCTCTGAATCTTACACATGTGCTTAATAAGACAGTTGTAAGTCACCACATCAGGCTCACAGTCTTTCTCATTCATCTCCCTCAATATTTTGAAGGCTTCAGGAATTCTCTTCTTAAAACACAGCCCGTCAATGATACTGTTGCAAATTACCACGTCTGGAGTGCAACCCTTCTCCCACATAGCATGTAACAACTTTACTGCCGTACTAATTTTCCCTGACTTGCATAGTGCATTTATGAAAATCCCATACGTAATTTTGTCAAGTTTACATCTAGAGCGGATAATATCATTCCAAAATCTCTTTGTTTCCCGTAGACTGCCTAGCACACACCAACCATTAAGGATAATATTCCAAGTCTTGATATCATACTGAAACTCACATTTCTTTGAATGGAACAAAAATTCAGCAGCCTCAACATGTTTGTACCGACACAAAGACATCAAAAGCGTTTGGAAAGCAATTAAATCATTCGGAAGGCCAAACTGCCTCCTCTTATCGAAAAATTCAATTGCATCATCAATCCTATGAGCAGCAGCATACCTATGAACCACAATCCCATACGATCTCTCATTCATGGTTCCTCTCTTCGACATTTCGTCAAAAACTTGACTGAGTTCCTGAAAGCGCTTGGCCTTCCCCAATATCCCAAGTAGTTCATTGTAAACCCTAGATCCTGGAAAATAACCACTTGGATTATTAGACACCCATTTGAAGAACAAAAATGCCATTTTCCAATCTGAATGAAATCGTATAAGCACATCAAGCACCAAATCCTCACTTAAAGTCAGTCCACAATTATCAAGAGCTTTAACAAGCTCTTCATATGAACTATTTGAGAAATCTTTAAGCAAATTTTGAACCTTGAGAGCAGTCATATCAAAGTTCATTGGTAGCTCTTCAGAATTCTTATGAAGTTCATGAAGCTCTACTCTTTGATTACATAAAACTGAGTCTTCTTCAAGGTGAAAAGCACGAAACTTGACCAGGTTGGAGGGAAAACATGGAGGGCAGATGTGAAGAGAATTGAGAAACTGATTATTGGGTACTGCCCCTAGCTTACATTTGAGATCTTGTTGAATAACTCTGCAAATTGTAAGTAAATATCCAAGATGACGATGCATGGTAGTCTCCTTTGAATCCCAACAAGGATAACTGAAGTTCCAAAAAAGCAGAGCTAATGTCTTCTTATTCACCCAAAGTAAAAAAAGTCTCCCCAAGATGATCTGAAAGCAGGTGTGAGGCAGATTCAATATCACCTTCATCAGCCCAAAAATTTTCTAGTAGTGAGAGATAAGCAGTGAAGACATACATACTTGTCTGATTCTTCCAGAGACGATACATATATCTGGCAGAATTGAAGCAAATTTTATATGTTAAAGAAGTATTTACTAGCACTTAATCGACCTATTTAACCCATGTTATTCCCCATTTAAAAACAGATAAAGCAAAAATATGGAACTTAATAAATATGCTGCCATTTTCTTTCTAATCTTTAAGAATGCAAATATTTTAGAAAAAATAATAGTAAGAGGGCTTCATAGAGCTTCATTTATGATTAGGAGCTCTTCCATGTTTATTACAATATGCCTAAGAACCAAAACCAAACCACTATCCTTGTGAGACCAAAATAAAATTCTAACAGACATGTTTCCTGCTTCAAATTTTAGAAAATAAGCTGCCTAGTTATTTCAGAAGTACTTTCACAGTTTTACACATCCATGACAAATTCTTACAAAAAAAAAAAAAAACACATTTTTACGGTATACAATATAGAAAAAGATAACCCGCAGACACTTAGCTTACAGCTCGAAACTGTGTAGTGTGTACCCTGTTACAAGAACAACGAAACTACAAATATCTACGTTTACAAGTTTTGCTAAAGGGACAAAACCTTAAACCCAATCCGCAAATTACCACACTAAGTCATGCTACATTGCTACTCAATAATACTTCGTATCGTATATCAGACGACTCTAAACATCTTCAATATTTCAGAAGTGTCAATGATAAACCCGATTAAATTCATAAGCTACAATTACCCCTGCGCAAAACAAACCACAATTTCTAGCACACCATGCCTAATGTTGCCAACTTGCCAAACCAACAACTCTTGTTTCGAAAATATTGATACAGAACATATTCAACCAACTACAGAAATATAAACTAATGTGGAGCAACTGCCAAATGCCGAAGCCCAAAATCGAGTAATCATCTTCTACAACTTCCAAATTTAACAAAACATAAAGCGCAATGTAGTACAAATAGCACATTCATCTTGAAGAACTAACATTTATCCAATGTTTCATCCACTATATGTAATGGACTCAAGTCAACCGTTGATGGTGTATTCGAGGCGCAAGAAAAGGGCAGCAGCCATCGGAGCATAGGGAAGGCATTTCTTTACTAAAGGCCAAAAACAATTAAGGAGATTGAAGGAAAGAAGGGCAACCATCTTTTGTTATGTTCATTTATGGTTTTTCTTAATTAGCTAAGTAGTCACATGTACTCTCCCTAAGGTCAGCCTTGACCATTAGTTTAAGTATGATAGTTGAATCTTGTAATAGTTTCATCCAGAAATTTGTAAGGCAAACACAAGAGAGTGGCTACCTAAAGTGGCTTAGAGACTTGTAGCCTCAAGCTACTAACTATCCTTGTAACCTTTGATTAATCGTATGAAAAATCTGCCCTTCTTCCATAAATTGAATTATTACATTGCAACAATTAAACAATCCAATCTAGTCTATTACACTATACACCTCAATTGCACCTAATATCGCTCAAGGTCATTACATAAAGTGAAAGAATGCACAACAATATCAAATTACAAGCAAATTAGCTATGAAGAGTAAACGAAAAACCCTAATTCGCAGAAAATCAGTAGATATTAGGCTTTTAGCCCAAATTAACCCAGCTATTGAACAAATATAATCTGAAAACAAGCTTATTAAACTCATGAAATTAAAAATGGCATCAAAAAATGCAAATTAAATGAAATTAACGAAAAATTAACATATACTGTTCATTGTTCAGAGAATCAGTTTTTTTTTCGGACTTTCTCAAGAACACAAATTAACCAAAAAAAATTGACAAAAAATACCTTGATAAAGCAGAGAGAACGCAGCCTCAGATGAGAGAGACGGAAATGAGTGTAGGTAAATAGCGAGGCGAGAGAGCTACGGCCTTCAAGCGGCCGCAAAACGCCGGTGAACAGGAAGTATGAAGCTGCGATTCTGCTTAGAAGTTGTGTTGTGAGTCTCACCAAAGTATTTTCGACTTAACTTTGCTAGCCAAGAGGTGGCAAATAGTGATTCAACCGACCCGATTTGATCCAAAAAAATAACGCCAATTTAAATTTCGATTCATATAAACATAAAAATTAGCATAACTCATCAATAAAATAGACCTGGCTTAATTCGGACTTGTTATAGACTCATAGCCAACCCAATTTCCTGACTTGATACCTCACCCAACTAGGTTAATGTGGATTATGTGGTATGGGACTAATAGGAGTAATTCATGCTCTGAGAGACTCGACCTAAATGAATCCACTCATCCACCAAGACTTGTTAAGAATTAAAGATCTCCTCACTTGATAGAGTGACATGATCTATATCATGAATGAAAAACATCCTTAATTACCCAAATATGAATCAACCCAAACCCAAAGTAAATGACCCTTTTGTAACCTCTTGGCCTCTTGTGACTTGTCTTGATCATGTTACTCTTTCATGTGTTTTACATGATTTATTTTGAAAGACTTTGAGCATCACTTATTATTTGTCATAAACGAGTTAAATTTGATTAAGAAGCAAGTTTACACATAATATGATAAGTTTAGACAAATTAGTTTGGTTCATATACATATAATGTTATATAATTAATCTAGACACATTCCCAAAGTATTTATTATAGACAAAATAGATACAAATATGTTTATATAATTCTAAATCTATTTAGATAAGTTAGTTTTAGATAAGTTAAGTTTGAAACTTAAATAAATCAAATAATAAGTTGAGAGGTGCACCAATATTAAATTTAGCCTTTTGGCATTTGAATTACTTTGCAAAGTGATATGATGATTTTGTAATTATGTATAAATAAATAAATAAAAACAGTGTTATTGGGTTGGAATTAAATATCTAATAAGAAGTATAATTTTTTCTTCGACTTGAAGTAGGATCAGTTGATGAAAGACTTGTTCCAACTTAATAAGAGGTTTTAGGTTTGAGTACTTAAAAGGTATAATTTATGTATGCTATTAAGAGAGCTTTCCCTATTAGAAGCCTAACCTGACTTGAGTTTAGATTAATTAAAATCATATAAACTCCGAATTTATAAAGAGATACCCTCAAATACCTTCCACTGCACAAACAAAGTAATCAAGTACTCCATAATATAGTAGAGACTAAAGGCCACTTTATTCTTCGAGATGTAGAGAGCGATGGATTAATAATGATCATTCTCAAGCAAGTTGAACTAATTTAAAAGCCAACAACATATATATATGTAGCATAATCAAATGTGACAATACATGGATAGCCCTTTAAAAGTTGGAAACCATGCTTCTTTAAAAAGTCCTTTTCTACGTACCCAAGTCAAAGCAAAAGGGTGTCCTTTTAGATTGAAAGGGAGCTACACTTAGCTCTCATGAAAAAGAGAGAATGTTTAAAAGAAAAGCAAACGCTCCAAATATCCAACTCAACATTATATAAATCCCTTAAATCTAATCACAATAATCATTACTAAGTACTTCCATACTTTATAGCTTATATGTTCTGATCTCTAAATCACAATTTCATTTCACCAAAAAATCTTATTCTTAGATAAATCAACTTATTTTATTACAGTAACTTTTTAATTTATCAAACTTTTGTATCCAATTTTCTATAAATACTATTGTACTTCGTATTAATCAATCGAATTCTACCATCTAAAATAAGTACACTAAGACATTTACGTAGTATTTAGAAATCGAAGCATTAAAAAAAAAAATAAAAAAAATAACCAAAAACTTTTAGTCTTTTACAAGGGCAGGGTGCATGTAGGGTATAGTTTATAGTTAGAGGGAGTCCATATAACTGAGCTGTGAGACAGCTCTGAAGGTCTCCTAAAAAATTCGTAATTGTAATTATAATTTATAATTGAGAAATCTTTACAATTGTGTTTGTACTCCATGAACTGGTAGCACCTCTCCACGTGGGGTCAGTATCAACTCCTTCACCACTATGAGCTGGATTTCCTTCCCCACCACCTTTTTCTCTCTCCTTTAATATCCACTTCAACTTATAACATTTTATTCCCCTTTTTTCCTTATCCTTTTTTTTTTATTTTTTAATTAAGTTAAATTAAATTTATAACTAACTACCATGGCTTGCATTACATCCATATTACATTTTACACTAATATATACGAAGTATAACTATACAAATCCATGCTAAGTTTTTTTTGGGTTCCACCCAATTCACCTTTTCGGGGGAATCAGTTTTAAATAGTTAGGTTCCAGTTCCCTCCTAATTGTTGTGGGAGATCGACACGCAGTCCTCCTTATCAAGTGTAGTCCTAATCACCACTACACTAACTCACTAACATCCAATTGGTATGCTAAGGGTTTGTTTTCTTCAGCTTAATTTCAGTTCAGTTCAGTTCAACTCCAATCAGTTTAGTATCTTTTCTCATAAACAATTCAGTTTAGTTTAGTTCGGATCGGTTCAATTCACTTCAGATTGTTTCAATTCAGTTCAGCTCCAATCAGTTCACTTCAGCTCGGTTTAGTAAATCAGAATAAGACCATAAGTCGTTGATCGTCTAACAGTTATACAACTAATAAGGAGCATACGTGCCATACACTGCACCCATACTAGCTAGGTCGGTCTAAGTGTCTAACTAGGGTCTAACATGTACTATATTGTGATCTGAGTACATAATGATATATACGGAGTAACAATAACACAATTAACAGGGTATACAGTTGTATACGTGTCATCATACAAGGCTAAGCTAAAAGCTAACTTGGTTGTATCTAGTGGTAGTTCGTCTCTTAGCTTATTTGGCGAAAGATTTGTTTATACTATAACGTATTGGTTGATTAGAATTCTTCCGAAGTCACAATAATTATATTATTGTACTGTTAACACCCTAAAGCCAGGAAGTCTAGTATATTATTCATGGCCTCCATTAGGATTATTAGCTTAGCTAGCTAGCAGAAGAATAAGCTTGGCTGTGTTAATAAACTAATTAAGGAATGAATGAATTAGAATTAGTATATGGATATTATTTATTAATGGATTGTACAAAGGAGTTTATTATTAAACATTTTTTGGGTACCTCATCAAACTACTTCATTCTGCCGTCCAATGATAATGTAGTACATGTTTTTTTGGTTATGGTGGGATTTAACAAATGCAAAACCCCAAATGTTAATCTGTTATGTTGTTATTTCTTTTCATTAAGCTCATATTTAGCACTTATTTTAGTTTTTATAATGATCTATATAATTAGATTTTTCTAGAAGCATGTAATCATGTGAAATTAGTATGAATTGAAGCTTTATCATAAAAAACTTGGTTGATTTGGCAAATGGGTCAAGATTGGTGTAGATATATAAGCTTGAAGACATTATTGCTGAGTTATTAAATGCACTCGGAAGTATGCGTTTTGGTTTTATTGTAAAAGTAACTTAAAGGAAGAGAGTAAGGTAAAATAATTGGTTGATTCTAAGAATCGACAAATATCATAAGTAGTATCGGTTGAAAAGTGTCATATTATAATAATTTTAGAGAGAGGATTGAGAAATGATAATACATAGAAGTTACAATGCAAAAATATGAAGTATCCCACATATTTTATGATGTTGTCGATTACTATGCATATTTTATAATGTTGTTAATTAATTAGTTGACCAATTACGATGATCAAGAGAGATCCGAAAGACTTGTTTGGAGCAGGTAAATGATAATAAACAGAGAAATTATGGTAATGAGTTACATGTCCAACCCTTTATTAAACATCCTCTTTCAATATGAATTTTATAGTACCAGTCATCACCATATCTAATGTATTAGTGAACATTTATGATGAAATATACACGTTCATAGAAATTGTGTTAATTATAGGGACATTGACATGCACTTTCCCTACAAAATGTCTTTTAATTCATTATCCTTATCGCCTAATAAACATGTCGTAAAAGTTAATCATTGTTCACATGATATATGAATATATCAATAAAGTTTTATTTTCAATTTATAATCTTAATCAAAGCCTTGGAAACCATGCAAGTCAATCATCAGCTAGGTAACAACCAAGCCGTTTACATATTATTAAAACTTATGAAAAATATAATATTGTGAAAACTACACATTAAGATGAATTTAACTAAATCCATAATTAATTACTTCAATTCCCTCTTCAAAATGAGATAAATTCATAATCATATATACACATAAATGGAGAGACGGAGTATTATATATTTCTTAGATAGAATCACAAGGTAATTAAATAATAGTGAATTTATAATCAATCTATGCAATCCTTAATAACGGTAAACAGGCCAAAAGAAAGAAGATTAAAAAAAAGTAGAATTGAAGAAAATGATTAGATGAATCCCATAGTCGTAACTAGTCATGTGGATGATAATCAATAAATCATCCTTTAGTGTAATAAACTCGCACGTCACATGGACCCCGTTGAAAGGGTTACATGCGGGAGAACGAGTAATTTGGTCTCTTCCGCATTACAATTTGTGGGTAACTTACATTGCCAACATTCTTAGTTGGTGTCTTGTCTTACTTGAATTATTTGTATTATTAGTGGTTATGCTATTATATATTTATATGTGATTCTTAAAAATGAATGATTCAAGTAAAAGCAAGTTTATAATAATGGTTACAAATTTATATTTTCAATATAAAATTATAAACTAAATATGAATGATTAAATAAACCTTTTAAACAAATCATAAACAACATTTAAAAAGGTAAATTGTAAAAGCTTTAATTAATCATAGATAAAATTATGATAGAATTAAACAAAATTTTATGGAAAAATCATGAGAGAAAAATGAAGAACGCCAAGCTAAATAGAAGTAGGAGTTGTATTTCTATATATATGTGAATAATAATTATTTCAGCTGTATATATATTACAAGCAATGGATTTTGTATCGAGTAAAATAACAATCTATTTTAATGTGTTTCGTTCTCTCATGGAGCATTATATCCTTGGCCAAGTGCAGGGTTGATTGATTATCGACCATGATATGTATGTTGTAATGTGTTGTGTTTCTTGTACTTTCAAGAAATAGGTGAACCACCAAATAACAACACATAGCCTGCCTGTAATAGACACTGGAATTGGAACCCGAATCCCAATGAGAGTCTAAAAAGATTGGTAAACACAGTTTGTCTGATGCTTGTAAATATATCTCAACTGAATCATCTTAAGTTCAATCGTGTTACCAACATAAACAAAAACTCAACAGAGAGAAGCTTCTGTTTCTGGAAAGTTATATTTTACAGCTCATCATTAGATATTTATATTTTCTGTTCTAGTTGTAAAGTTAGTTAGAATCTGTAACTTGCTATATATATTTTTTCTGCTGTAATTTCTTTTAGATTTTCTCATGATAAAATTTCCCAAATTAACTTCACATTTTCTCTCTGATTTTTCCTCTGATTCTAGCTTAACAGAATTAGTTTCACATGGTATCAGAGCTAAACGCTCGATTCTGATTGTTTTTCGCTTGATTTTGATTGATATTCTTCAGCAATTTGCTGAAATTTCTTTTAAAATTCTTGCTGGATTTCTTGATTTTGCTCAATTTCTTGAAAATTGAGGTATATTTTGATCGATTGAACTTGTTTCATCGATTGTGTTCTTCGTTGTTCTACTTTTGTCGCTTGTTTTGTTTGATTGAATTTGCTTCTTCGATTACATCTTTCGATCATTTTAATGGCGGCTCAAGACTCTCAACCTCAAAATCAACACTCTATTACTGCTGGATATATTGATAAGTATTTTCTTGGATTCGGTGACCAACCTGATCAACATCTTGGAGCTCACAAGTTTAATGGAGATAATTCTCTCACCTGGAATCGATCAATTCGACTTGCTCTTGGAGCTAAGAATAAGCTCTGCTTCATTGATGGCATTTGCAGAAGACCTGCTTCTAATTCTCCTGATCTTTGGAAATGGATACACAACGATTATATGGTGCAATCCTGGTTGTTGAATTCAGTGGATAAGCTGATTTCTGAAGGTTTTATTCTTCAACAGTCTGCACAATAGCTATATGACGAAATTTTTGAGAGGTATGGTCAATCCAATGCACCTCAATTGTTTGATTTACATAAGAAGTTGATTTCAATTGAACGAGAATCTGATTTAATTGTTCAATATTACTCTAAGTTGAAGAGAGTTTGGGATGAAATCCAGTTATTGGAAGGTTTTCCAGATTGTGATTGTGGTGCTTTGGCTGGTTGTACTTGTGGAATATTAAGGAAGATTTTAGCTGTTGATCAGAAGCAGAAGTTGATTTAGCTTCTTGCTCGATTAAACAGAGATTATGATGCTGCTAAGACTAACATAATCAATATGGATCCTCTTCATACTTTTAATAGAGCATATTACATGCTTATACAAATTGAAAGGCAACATAAATTGAATGAGAAAGTGGATTTATCTTCTCAGAGTAGTTAGGGGTGGCAAACGGATTAGGTCGGGTCATTTTCGTGTTCGGGTCATTTCGGGTTCGGGTTGAAACCCCCTGACCTGAACTGTTTAGCATTTCGGGTCGAAGTTCTTGACCCTAACCTGATTTTTTCAGGTTCGGGTCAACCCGAAGTTGACCTTATTTAACATGATTTTTTTTGGGTAGATTAAAGAAAAATTTATTACCAATAAAAATCTTAAAAACAAAAAGAAATCAATACAAGTTGAATTTCAACTTTAAATCTGTAAATCATAAATGAATTTAAATGTATTAAATCTACAACCAAAACTTCCTATTAAAGGGATTTGAAACTTAAATTTACAACATAATTTTAACTTCTCAAAATCCTTCACATGCTGGTTTGTTGTTCGTTCTTTCCTGCAAACAATAACAAAAACACATTAATAAATATTCAAGTCATCAATTTAGATTATATAAAATACAAAATCAACTTTAATAATATGTATATTTAATTCCAAAACAAATCAAACCATAAACACTACGGCAAAGTAGTAGAAAGTAGATGCAATTTTCACAATTTAATAAATAGCCATCTTAAAATAAGAAATATCAAATCAAACAAGTAGATTTAGATATTAAAATACAAGCTAAGAACATATATATGTAAAAAAAATTAATAACTGATGATGAATTTGAATATAAAGAGCAAATGACTTCGAAATTAAACAAAAATTAACATGCTAAAAACGAAAAAAAAAAAATCGAAAGCATGTAAATAAATTCAAGAGAAAAATTACCTTGAGATGAAGGAGAAGGTTAAAGGAATGATTGTAGGACTGAAGGAAAGGAGTGAAGGAGACACAAGTGAGGCAATGAGACAAGGAGAGAGAGAAAAACGACTGTTTGCCTGTTTGAGAAGGAGAATGTGAGGGTTTTAGGGGTTTTCTCTTTTAGTAGGTGGATTTTTGGGCTTGGGCTTAAGAGTGATCTCCGTGTTTTTTTTTTTCCCGGGTTAGATGGTTCATTTTCGGATTGAAAATTTCAACCTTAACCAAACCCATTTAATTATCAGATCGGGTTCGTGTCGACCCATTTAAGTTTTCGGGTCAGAAATCTCAACCCAAACCCGCTATTTTCAGGTCGGGTTCGGGTCGGGTCAGTTTTTGCCAGCCCTAAGAGTAGTGCATTTGCTACCTATAAGAATAATCAGGTACCTCAATCTAGACAATCTTCTAAACGAGACGTCAAATGTCTCAAACTTGATAAGTCTGATCGCAAGTGTGATCACTGCAAGAGAAGTTGATTCAGGTCATACTATTGATGGTTCTTTTAAACTCCATGGATTTCCTGACTGGTATGTTGCTATACGCAATAAGCAGTCTGGTGGTGGTTTAGAAATTTCCTTTAAGATGGTTGCAAATGTTTGTGAGGTGGAAGTGAATGATTCACCTTTGGATTTCGATGATTACTCTTCCAAGGGCAAGGATCCTCAGATTGATTCTGCTCTAGTTGGTGCTGTTGCAAAAGAAATGATGAAGATGATGCATGAAAGGAAGGCAGGGACAACAACAAGATGTGGTTGATCCTTGCAGCACTTCTATGAATTTTGCAGGTATTATTTCTACTTCAACTGCTAATTCTGCTTTGACATGTTTTCAAACATCAGATTGGATAGTTGATACAACAGAAAAAGGACAAATTATACACTCAATTCACTATTAATTAAGGATTTGGATCCTTTGAAGGCCCTGTTTGATAGTAAGCTTATTGGGGGTATATTAACTTATTTGACTAACTTTAGTTGATTGACTAGTCAAACAAGCTAATACAAGTGTTTGGTAGTAAGTTTATTGAAATAGCTTATTCCACTAAATAAGCTCTTTTTGAAAAAGCTCATTTTAGGAGCTTTTTCAATTAGCTTATTCATTAATTATTGTGAAATGACACTTATAACCTCATTTAATTTAAAATCCTATCTAAACTACCTACCCTACAATTAGCTTATTGGTCATTTCACATACTTAATCACCTTTAAGCTATCAGCTATTTACCAAACACTTTTATACAATCAGCTAATAAAATAAGTTAATCAAATCAGTTAATACAATCAGCTAGTCAAAATCAGCTAACATAATCAGCTTCAGCTTTCAGCTTTAAGCTATTTACCAAACAGGGCCGAAGTATTTCCTTGGAATTGAGGTCATTAGAAATTCTTCTCTAACCAAAGGAAATACATTTTGGATTTGCTAGAAAATACTGCCATGACAGACTGCAAGGTGGATGATTTTCCTTTTCCAAAGGGTTTAAAGTTTCACAAAGACACTGGTGATAAGTTTTCTGATCCAGAGATGTATAGAAGGATTATTGGGAAGCTTCTATATTTGAATATGACCAGGCCTGACATTTCTTATGCTGTACAACAGCTGAGTCAGTTCTTTGGAGATCCAAGACTGCCACATTTTTCAGCCGCACAACATGTTCTGAAGTATTTGAAAGGCACTTTGCAGCATGGTTTGTTTTATTCAGATAACACAAACTTGAAGCTCCAAGCTTATTGTGATGAAGATTGGGGCACTTGTGCTTATTCAGCCAGATCTCTTACTATTGTATCTTTTTGGGATATTCCTTGATTTCTTGGAAGACTAAGAAGCAACAGGTGGTTTCAAAGAGTTCAACTGAAGGAGAATATCGCAATATGAGTCAAACAACAAGTGAGTTGACTTGGATGCACACTTTACTTTCTGACCTTTATATTCATCCTCCTAAACCAATCACCTTACTTAGTGACAACATATCTTCTCAACATATTGCAGAGAATCCCTATATGCGTGAAATTTTTAAACATCTTAAAATAGATGTACATTATGTCAGGCAGAATGTGGAATCAGGGTTCATTACCCTTGAGCATGTTAGTTCAAACATGCAGTAAGCTGATATCATGACTAAGCCTCTAGGAGCCTCTCAACATCAGACATTGGTTCTCAAGCTTAGCATTGTGGTTAGGGCTGAGCAAAACTACCCGAAAAACCGAAAACCCGAAAACCCGTTCCGTTACCGTTCCGAAAATTAGGGTACCCGATCCGATAACCATAACGGTTCGGGTACCCGTTCCGATAATTTGTAATCGGGTATGGTTTTTGGGTATCATTTTAAAATTAACGGGTACCCGTTCCGTTCCGATAAGCAATTATTTTGTTTTTTTCCTACTTAAATCTATCTTTTCAATATTTAAACTCTTACATTACTTCATAATCACTATAAATATCAATAATTAGTAATGTTATTAATAATTTGGTCAAGATCGTGTGGTATTGTTGTTAATTAGAGTTAAAAAAATATCATAATAATTAATTTTTTTAAGTTTAATTATCACTATTGGATACTTTATAGGGCACCCGATAACCGTTCCGAAAATTCGGGTACCGGAATTCCGGGTACCCGAACTTATCGGTTCGGGTTATGGATATCACTTTTAGTGATATTGGTTATCGGGTACCCGAACTGTTAGTACTAACGGTACGGGTACCCGTCCCATGCTCACCCCTAATTGTGGTACCTGATTAGCCTGCCACCCTAATTCCAGCTCGAGGGGGATGATGATCAGAAAAGAAGCTTTTGTTTCTGGAAAGTTATATTGTACAACTCAACATTAGATATTTATATTTTCTGTCCTATTTGTAAAGTTAGTTAGAATTTGTAACTAAATATATATATCTTTTCTGCTGTAATTTCTTTTAGATTTTCTCATAATAAAATTTCCCTAATTAACTTTACATGTCTCATTTTTCCTCTGATTCTAGCTTAACAGAATTAGTTTCACATTTTAATAAGCAAAAATTAAAAGAAATCAGAAATTAACACTAAATAATGGGTTTATCTTATTTGAAGATTTGAAATAGAACTATATGTTTGTTTGTTTTAAAATGAAAAAAATTATCCTATGATTTAAAACAAATTAGTTTGTAAGTGTGTCAGACATCTTTGAAAAATATGGTATTTCAGATTATTATTTGTTTAAGACAAATGTATTGCAGTTAAACTTGTTAACATATTAACTCGTGCAAAGAATGAAAATTTTGCATAACTTTATTCAATTTTAAGGCACACTTTAATTTGGCAAGTGCTTAAAATTAAAAGATTGGGAGTATTGAAATATTTCCTAAATTTGAAAGTGAATTAGTTCACAACAGAGACTTTTCAATGTATTAGACAAAACACTTATTGAATTTCCATGTGTTTGAGTAGTTCTTGTCAAAAAGAGTTTGGATCTAGCAATTTTAAAGGCCCGCTGTGATTCTAACTGAGTTATATATTTTGTTAGATAATATGAAACTCCTCAGCTTGGAGTCGATTCCATTGATCTCAATATATAGGGTTACAAGTGTGAGTCCTAATCACGTTAGGAAATCTCAAAAGATAATTACACAAAATATACAAAATATATCCAACGATAACAGAATATCTAGAATAATAATCCTATATTCTATCACACCCCCACAGTCATAGCGGGAGGAGGACGTACGCTGAGACTGGACCTGAAATCCATAAATAGTTGTCGGGGTAGGCCTTTCGTGAAAATGTCTGCAAACTGATACCGAGAAGGAACGTGTAATACCCGTACATGCCCCAACGCCACCTTTTCCCGAACGAAATGAATGTCCATTTCGACGTGCTTGGTGCGTTGGTGTTGTACGGGGTTGTGAGATAAATAGATTGCACTGACATTGTCACAATAAACAAGAGTAGCCTGCCGGAGAGGACAATGTAGCTCTAAAAGAAGGTTGCGGAACCAACATGCCTCAGAAACAACATTTGCGACGCCCCTGTATTCTGCCTCTGCACTTGATTTGGAGAGAGTATGCTGACGCTTAGATGACCAAGAAATAAGGTTGTCACCCAAAAAACAACAGTAACCGAAAGTGGAGCGACGAGTGTCTGGACACCCGCCCCAATCTGCATCAGTATATGTAATCAAGTTTTTAGGAGCCGAAGGATATAAATGTAACCCATGATCAATGGTACCCTGAATGTATCGCAGAATTCACTTCAATGCATCATAATGAGCCACTCTAGGATCATGCATGACTAAACAGACCTGCTGAACTGCATAAGTTATATCAGGGCGAGTAAAAGTGAGGTACTGTAAGGCACCTGCAAGACTGCGATAGAGTGTTGGATCATGAAACTGGGGTCCAGCATCTGCACTTAGTTTGGATTGAGTATCCACTGGAGTTTGTGCAGGTTTGCAACTGCTCATACCTGCACGTTCAAGAATTTCTTGTGCATATTTTTGCTGTGACAGAAACAAATATGAAGGTGTACGTGTAACAGCAATACCCAAAAAATAATTCAAAGGACCTAAGTCAGTCATCGGAAACCCGTTCCGTAGATGAGAAATAATATTCTCACGTAGTTTATCTGAGGAAGTAACCAACACAATATCGTCAACATATAGCAACAAATATGCCATATCACTCCCATGCCGGAAGATGAATAAAGAATTATCCATTTTAGCAATGACAAACCCCATCTGCAAAAGATAGTTAGCAAAACGCTGGTACCAAGCCCTTGGAGCTTGTTTGAGGCCATATAGAGCTTTGCGAAGTCTGCAAACATATCCTGGAAATCTCTTATCAACAAACCCAGGGGGTTGATGCATATACACACACTCATTCAATTCACCATGCAAAAAAAGCATTTTTCACATCAAGTTGGTGAATAGACCACTTACGAGCCATAGCCAAGCTCAACGCCGTTCGAATAGTGGCAGGCTTAACAACCGGACTAAACGTTTCATCACAGTCAACACCTTCAATTTAAGACCTGCCATCACAAACTAAACGAGCTTTGTGTCTTTCAAGATCACCATTAGCTTTTAATTTATGACGAAATAACCACATACAATTAACAATGTTCACCCCCGTAGGCCTTGGAACCAAATCCCATGTCCCTGTTTCAATTAAAGCACTATATTCATCACGCATCGCAACATTCCAATTTGGGTCGGAAAGGGCTTGTTTGTGATTTTTAGGAAGTGGGGATCGAATGGTTAAGCTAATAGTTGAGGTCCATGAATATGTATTATACTCTATCACGCCCCCTCACATGAGAGCCCATTGGGCTAGAAGTGTGGATGCAACATGGGCCCTCCTCATACCCAGCGCTTAATATTCCACTTGAAAATGGGGGGTGGATGAGATTCGAACCCGTGACCTTTGTGTCATGTTGGCTCTGATACCATGTTAGATAATATGAAACTCCTCAGCTTGGAGTCGATTCCATTGATCTCAATATATAGGGTTACAAGTGTGAGTCCTAATCACGTTAGGAAATCTAAAAAGATAATTACACAAAATATACAAAATATATCCAACGATAACAGAATATCTAGAATAATAATCCTATATTCTATCGTATTTATCCTCTTATATTTTACTAGTTGGATGAAGATAAAAGAGTTTGAGCTTTCATAATATATATAATTTAGGATAGATTATTAATATTCCAAATGTTACAATCCTAGCCTTCGATAAGGGGACTAGGATTGTTGCGTTAGATGGTGATTTTTAATTAAAGAGATTATTGTGAGATTTTGAAACCTACTTTTTTTCATGATATCGAGGATAGTTTACATCTTAGATTGTACACATTATTGGATTTGTGCATCTCGACTTAAGCATTGATAAGAAATTATAATGTTCGCTTATTGTCATTACAATTACAGATGGAGATGTATTGAAAAAATATATTCGTGAGATACATAATTTCCGTATTGATATTAGGAAAGTTATAGGTATAGGATTAGTTACATCTATAGGATATTTAAGGTGTTACATGGTTTTCTAATAGTAATAACTGAAAGTAGCTAGGATCTCTTGTATAACTGCTTGATGATTTATCCAATAATAAGAGAAGTTATGCTATTAAATCTTTACCATGATTAAACTTCTCACACATATATGTAGTCACTGATCAGTGAATTAATTCCACTCAAAATTCATTCACCAATTTTATATCTTGCACACAAGACATTGCTATACGAATGCTAGATTTCACTTTAGTAATTCTTATAATTAATTATATGCTCGTGGTACGAGTAGAACTTATATAAACATTCTTTAATTAGACACATATATGAAATTGCTTGGTTGTCGAAATATGATTCATCATTAAGTCCATTATTGATCTCAACATCACAAGTTATATTTTGGAGATATAATCTGTTAGTAATTAATCATGATAATTGGTCACTAAATATCTATTTTTGTACGCAAGTCAATTGAGTTAGTACGAAGTAATTCAGTTTGGGTTCTAAAAAGGTAGTAAATTTCATGTCTATTGCTAATAAGCTTATTATAGACACAATATATTACTCTAAGTAGTCCTAATCAACTCGGTTCGAAACAAGTCAATTCCAACGAACCTTTATTCAGATCACTTCCCAGTTTCCACCATCCACTTTCAGGTACCAGAAAGATCAATTTAGTTCGATTCAGTTGAGCTTGGCTAATCGAACCCGGGCTAGAGACGGATTTGAGTTGGTGGCACAGAAAACACATAGCTTTACAGTGATATAGGCTGGCAAATAGAGATTGATAAGAGAGGAATAAGAAAAATTGATTGAGGAGGGGTAGGACTACTACTACTACTAGTGCCATTTGTAATAAAGTAGAATGAATAATAATGTAATAAAAATAATAAAAGTAATGATGAATTGACAAAAAAGACCTAGTCAATTACATAGTCAAGCAGCTGTCATTTTTCTTTCTGGATATACAAAATCCCTTCTTCAAACCCTTTCCTCTTTTTCTCTCTTACTTGACAGCAAATTAGAGTTTGCAACTGTCCCTAATTTTCTTTCTTTCTTTCTCTCTCCTCTCTTCTTTTCCCTCTTAACCTAACCACCCTTCTCCCCTTTCCCTCTTTCTCTCTCTACACCCCATCTCCCTCTTTCTCTCTCTATGATCTTTGAGCCATAGAGTTTGAGCTTGTTAGAACAAGGGGCCTAGGCTCAAGTCCAAAACTCGATACCGCCTTCGAAACCTATAAAGATCATGATGATGACGACAATCAAAGGATTCAATTCCTGTCGTTTTCAATTAAGTTTATGAGCAACTTATAAATTCAATTCCATCATATGCAAATTTAAAGGAGGAGGAGGAGTCGTTATTAATTTTTTTTTTCTTTGGTTATAATATATAGTTTGATCAACCATATATTATAAGCTGCTGTTACTATGGCTCATTACCATGTGCATCATCAATACCGATCACCCTTCGGCGACACCACGTACACCAAAGTCTTCGTCGGAGGCTTAGCATGGGAGACTCCTACCGAAAAAATGCGCGCTTATTTCGAGCAATTCGGTGAGATCCTTGAAGCCGTCATCATCACTGATAAGAACACTGGCAAGTCCAAAGGCTATGGTTTTGTAAGTTTTTTTTTTTTAAATTATTATTTTTTTTTCTTTTTTTAAATATGAAACTTTTAATTTTTACCGATTTTTATAATTTCTTGTTTTTTTTTTTTCTAACAATAACGTTGATCACTATGTTAAAATTGGTTAGTTTTATGATTAATGATCAACTGATTAATTATTATTATATTTTTTTTTTACAATGACAACAAAGACTTAGTCCCAAAATAATTAATTATATTTCATCGCATTATGAAAAATTTAAAACATACAGGTAACATTCCGAGAGCCAGCAGCTGCAGCAAGGGCGTGCTTAGATGCTAATCCAATGATTGACGGACGACGAGCTAATTGCAACATTGCTTCATTTGGTCGCCCTAGGCCTTCACCACCAAGAGGTTTTAATTTAATTTCTTTCTTAATTCTTAACCACCATCATTAACTTTTCTAATTACAACTTTTGTAAAAAGGATATAAATGTAATTTTGTATACATAGCGCGTATTTACTCCATGGCTCCTACAACAATTGAGCCGTTATCTCATGTTTTTGTACAACAAGCATATGCGGTATCTTTTTGTATACATTATGAGCGTGTCTTAATCAATTGGTTTACGCTTATTAATATCTACATGAAAAATCAATCCTAGGAAATTTGAAGCATACAACATTATGTATGTATACATATTTGGTTGCTTAATGTTGGACAATATTGATATGATGAATGTATGTAGGTAGAAGTAATCAAGGAGGAGTAGCAGTACAAGGACAGGCATCGTCGTCGTCGTATAGTGGAATGCCAACGCCACAACAGACATTGCCAACACCATATTTTTATCCTTATGGGTGAGGACACTTTACATTTACTAGTGGTACTTACTACTCCATCCAATAATCTTCTATTCTCCCCTTCATTTTTGGTTCTCCCCACTTATCGACCGAGGGATCGATCCCCCACCATAGGTTTTTATTATGATCTTATTAGTAACCTTAGTTAGCTTGCCCCTATATTGTTAATAAGAAAGTTAAATGAGATAAATGTGTACAAGAAGCAAATAGGGGGTTTTGCAATAAAAGAAAATGGTCCATACAACAGTTAACAAATATAGGAAGATAGGAAGATAGTAGCAGCATACATAAATGATGCATTTGATGCCAACTTAATTTCTCTTATGTTTGATATATAGTTGGCATTGGCATATGATCAATAATGATACATGATCACATATAATGTACCTTATTATTTATATTAATGATGAATACAACATAAAAGCTAGGGTTATGATACATGGGATCAATCAAGGGACATAAAACTATCGATATAGAGAATAATAAATTTATCGGGACTACAGAATGCGCCACTTAAGCGTGTCATGTCACAAAATAAGTATACGGGTGTATGTCGAGTATGTGTCAGTGTGTGTAATAATCTTAGGAGTTGGAAGAGAGTAAGTTGAATATGGTGAAGAGTACAGCTGGTATGTATAATGACACCCTGTAAAACTTTATACTACATGCCATCCTCTTCTTCATTCATTCATTTATTTGATTTGATTTTATTATTGTGTTGCCAGCATGGCATCACGTACCTTAGTTTCTACCTTCATAAGTATTAATACTAGAAGAAACGGCTAATTAATGGAAGATCTGTATATGTTGGTCTTTTTCAATTTCATGAGGCATTTTTATTGGAGTAAAATAAGGGAAAGTCTTCCCTATTTGAGAAGGTCAGCTCAAAATTAGGCCAATTTTTTTTTTTTTTTAAAAAAGTCAACTCAGCAGTTGCAAAGACTTTTTTTTAGCCAGTAGTATTTCAAATATATTTTAGAGATTGTTCAACTTTTAAGTACGTCATTTATTAATTAATTAAGCTTTAACATCTCTGACAAGTCTTTTGAATTTTAGATTATTCTATGTTATCATTTCTAGCTTTATAAGTGAGGCTTTTCAAATTTTAAGGTCATCCAAATGTATGGTATAGATCTAATTTGAAATGAGCAAACCTATTTGATAGAGCAAGCTAGTAATAAGGTCAAATTAATCAAGTAATAGATTATAGGAACAGAAAACAATAAGAAAATTATTACTAGCCTTTTATTTCCTATTCACTCTTCGATTTATCGTATACTAACAAGTAACAACACGACCGCCTTCATTTATTCACAACCTATTTATCTAACTCCTATTACCCTATTAATAATCCATCACCCGGTCATTATCCACACACACTGTTAACCTAGTAGTACATATGTACAAACGTACATACATTGAAGTGACATAAAAAAAACAAAGTAACCCGGGGTTATTGTGCATGATATGATCAAGGATTCACCTTTTAAAAAAACCTATGTAAAATTTATTTCAAGGGTAGATGTGAAATGTACTATGATTGATGCATCCGGAACAAAAAAGTACAATGTTTCATTTCTTGAGCCAAAAATGAAGATTTTTACTGGTACTCTACGATTTTATATGAGTAAAAATGGTCATGTATATATTCTCCTATATAATGTCCTAAATAATAATATGACTATTTACCACATTTTTTAATCTAGTGCGTGCAACCAAGTATGGCCGACCTACACTTGTTGTCTACCCCATCCAAGGGTGTACATTACTTCTGCATTTGAAGCATCAATTATAGTGACTTCTCAATGCATATATTAGTATAGTGGTCCTATTTTTATCTACTACAGGAACTCTCTTATTCTCACCTCATTTTTTGATCTTATTGTATATACTTATTTGATTTGCTTTTAGTACTTCCTATCCACTTCAAAATTTACCATATAGCGATAGCTGATTATATATTTAGTGTTGGTTTAGATGGCTGCATGTCTATATCGATTTTCTAATTCTGCGAGTTAAAAGTGTCACGGCGAGTTTGGTTTAGATATTGAAATAGCTATAAGAAAAATGTTTGACTTATTAGAGGACACAGTGTCCTAAGAAATATAATCATGTGAAGTTGATACTTATTCTCCAGAAAAATATGATGATAACCAATGTATTTCATACAGTAATACTACGATAAATTCCATAATATGTGCACTTGAAATACTGTGTGTCAAAACTTAATGATGGGTTAGTCAAACCTTTTTCTGGTGTCTAATTGAGTAAATGCTAGTGGGGACCACTAAAATATATTTGTATTTTATAATTTTAACATATACAAGTAATTACTCAGGAGGGTAAGATTACTAGTTTTGGGTAGTTTCTTCTGAAAGAGAAGAAATTAATGAAAGTAATTATTTTTGGGTAGTTAATGTGTGCATTCACCTACATAATAATGTCAAACTAAATGCTCTTTTGTTCATGCAGGTACCCTTATACAGCCTATAGTTACCAAGTAAGCCTTTCTTTAATTTTGTCCTCCTTTATTCACCACTTTATAATTAAGAACAAAGGAAGTAAACTTTTTGTAATTGTCGCTTTAGGACCAATGAATACAAATACATGTATACACGATTACACGGGTCAATAAGTTCAGATTAGAAAATTAATGTGTGGAAAGAATAAAGCTCATCTTAATCAATATACCTACATAATCTCATCTTAGAGCATAATCAATATAGTTTAATTATGCTTTTATATGATTGTTAAAACTGTTTGTACAACTGTATCTATCTATCAACTTTTACGTCGTAACAGAAATGAGAAAAAAAATGATTGTTCATCATATCGAATATTAAGCTAGTCTGGTTAATTTAATAAGTAATTGAAAAAATTACCTATATATGTGATTAGAAAAAATAATTGAAGAGACAAAAACAGTGGTTGTAAAACAATAATATTGACATGAGGTGATTGAAAACATGCAGGGTGTATACAACCCACAACAAGTGCAGCAACAATCACAGCAGTACTATGCACAATTCTATGGTGCTGCTGCTGGTGGGTCCCCTTCTAATTCATCCTTAGGCCCTCCCTTTTATTATGGTGGTTATTCTTTGCCTACTACTCCCACTCCTAGAACTGCTGCCTTCTCTTCCACCACTCCGGCGGCGCATTGTATGGCCGCTCCCTCTTATCTTTACTACCCTACGCCGCAGCTCGAAGGTGCTGCTGCTGCTCCTGCTGCCTATAGTCCTTATGCTGCTCCTGCTTTTACTTCTGCTCCTTCTACGACGACTCTTCCCTCTTCCGGATCACAACTTCCTTCGTCAAATGACACAACCCTACAAGTCCCTGCGTCCTCTACAGGTATTTTTGTATTCTCGATACTCCTTTTTATACGAAGTATGAGAATATATAATTTGAAATGATTCAACTACTACTATGAAGATAGCATACTAGCTAGAAAATATCTGTTTAAAATAACGTGATATTAAGTTTCTACTTTAATCTTTACGCATTATGTGTATGTTATATTATATGTGACATAACTATTAAAAAATGAATGCTTTTGTTAGTAATTCTATCTGGAAAGTGATCGAGATTGAGTTTGAGAGATAATTATTGTCAAGTGGCCATAGCAACCACTAACCAGGCCAATAACCATCATCTCATATGTTATACCTTTGCATGTGGACCTCTTTACAATGTGCAAGGTCTTATTAACCTTTGACTGTAATCATTTTTGTGCATGTTACACTATATAAGGATTAAGGAAGCCATTAAAAACGTAAAAACTTATATCAGCAGACATAGATAACCACCACAGTGTCAAATTGAAATCGTGTCAAAATCAATTTTTAGAGTGGCTGGATTAATTTCCGTGATTTGCTCTAGATTAGAAATATCGATGGGTCAATATGATCATGTACGTTCGTATCTACAATATTTAGTACTACAGTATATTGCAGAGAAGGAGGTGAATGTAGTTGAACAAAGAACAAAAGTTTCTCTATCTTCCATTAGTCCTTCCCATCTCCAACAAGGTATGACTAACTTTAGAGGGGGGACCCTAAGAACCCAATTGATAGTGACAGAGAAAGATCCCACTTTTGGGATATTGGACGCCATGAATTGATACCAACAATAGCTGTTTTTCCCTTATTTAAAAAAAAAAAAAAAAAATCACCCAATAATCTTTTCTTTTTATTATTGCTTCCTCGATTTTTGTAGATAATCAATTTTAATTTTACATTGCTTAATAGACATTATTTATGTTTGGTAGAATTTTCGAATTGAAAGCAGTCTCGTGAAATCTTATTAAATTTAATTCAATTTATATGGATTAATAAACATGAAATTTTTTAATATTTTGTTTATAAAATGGAAAAAATATTTTTTGGCAACAAATCAATCAATCAAAACTTTAATCTTATAAATGGGATCGGCTACATGAACCAAAAGTGATTTTTCTAAGTCATTTTTTGACAACAAATGAAATGGAAAATAATACTGTACATGTGTGGTTCCAATTTCACTAGTAACAATGACAACTTTTTAAGGCCTTAATTTTCTCTCTTTTGTAATGCTTGTCTGCAAAAAGCAGTAAATGTACGTTAGTGTACATAAATAGGCCCAGTGGGCCAAATGGCCCACTTCATCTAAGATAGATAGATTGATGCTGCCTTACTGGTTTGCATATTTCTCTGCAAACCGTGGGTGAAAAAACTAGATTCACCTAGGGTAATGTCTATTTCTTCTGTCAGATTTCCAGGTTACTCTTTTAAAGTCTTTCATATTTTGCTTTTACTTCTTCTTTGCCCATCCTTGACCCACTTTATCTGGGGCTTCCTTATAAAATAGACGGAATTTGATCCTATACCTTCAAATCAATAAGGTTAAAACTAGCCGAAGACAATTATACTAAGTAACGTAGTAATTATATTATGGTTTTAAAGTGAGAATATAGTTAAGGATTCTAAATTTTAGATATTTGAAATTTTGCTTTAAGTTTGCAAAGTATCAATAATTTAATTTCATGGAAAGATTTACTCGAGGTAATAGTTGTATGATTGAATAAATAATCCATTTGTCTAATATAAAAAAACTATATCTTTTACAATATAGAGTAATATCAAATAAAATATTGGAGGAGCCATTTGTAACAAAACTTGATAAGGATCTTAAGATGATATATGATGATTGAAAAGTGGGTTTTTTCAATGCTCAAAAAAGAAACATGTGGGCTATTATCTTTAAAGTGGAGGTAGCACCATTTGGGGTCCAAATGATGGCTAGTAAATATTGAAATAAGGGTAACTTGTGTCTTTGTAACATTACATGCTAATTCAAGCTAAGAATTGATATGGTAACTAACTTGAAAGCTCCTTTCATTTCCAAACCAATTGTCTCTAGTTTAAATTCTTTCCCCTTACCTCAAAATATTGAGAAAGCGCCTCTTATTTATGTATCAATATACTACCTCCAATTACTTTTATATGCAACTTTGCAGTACTATTTATGAGATATAAAATATTCCAAAGTTGCATATAAAAGTAATCGGAGGTAGTATATAACACATGTATTTTAATTTGTATGATTATGTTATAAACATGTAATCGGATGTTTTGTATCACGCAACTTTTGTTTATTGTTATAAACACAAAACATATTGATTTGTCATACTTGTTGTGATTGTATTGCTACTATAAATAAATATAATTTTGCATGGTTTTTAGATGTTTAAATTTGCCTATTAAATGCAACTCTTTTAATCAACAGAGGAATCACAAGCTCAACAAAACAGCTCTGTAGAGACGGATACTGCAGTGATCCATTCTGAGGGTCCAAGCAATTGAGAAGGATCCATGTTCACAATTGTATAATCTTTTAACAAAAAAATTCATGCTCCTGATTTTTTTTTTACCCACCATAACAAACAAATTTATAAGTATAATTTTTCCGGGTCCTAAGCTGTTACATTCGGGTCAACAAATGGATTTTCAACCAACAAAGAGCATGTCAATGGCACAAGCTATGGACTGACCAATATTATTATTATTATTACTACTATTATTACTATTACTATATTTTACTTCATGCAAAACTCACTTATTCATTTTTTTTTCCCTTGGAAAATAATTCTTTGTGAATTATTCTTTTCTTTTTTTTACCTCTTTTTCTCATATCTTGTCAATTGACTATGTTGTTGAATACTAAGCGCAAAAGCTTAACAATTTACTAATGTATGAGAAAAAGGACCCTTTTGAATAATAAATTTATGTTAATACATCAATTTCAATTTATATAATTCTTGGATACACTCAACTAATTTTTATATATCAAGTATGTAATTGGTTCTTACTGAGTCTTCTTAGATTCCATGTTGGTGGTATCTAGACTCTAGAACATATAATTTGTGTTTCTTGATCTTGAGTCTTGATGATTTAAAACATTAATTGAGAGCATATGTGTGTCTTCTTGAGGATTTAGATTCTTGATAAATTGTGATCCTTTCGCCTCAAATATATATGGGTCACAATCAAATTAGTTGACATATGATCTTTTTAGATATTTTTTTTTGTTTGAAAGAAAGGTTTATTGGGCTTTTATTATATCATAATAATATCCGCCAAGATTATCAAGCTTTGTGGAAAAGAACCAATACATAAATGTCTAGAATTACTTATTGTGTAATAAACTTCTTTTACTTTTCTATTACTCCGTATAATAGATGTATGGTAGAATAATTTTTTTTTTTTGAAAATTTTGTCAAAACCACCCTTTAAAACCCTTATTTTAGTGAAAAAACTATATTTTAAAAAATGTTGTAAATAACAACCCAATATAAAAATTTTGTTGTAATTTTCCCCCAACAAGATTGAATCATTAGTAGTCAAAGCTCATTTTCCTGCACTAGGTGTTGATTTACAATAAAAAATTTTAAATTGGATAATAATTTTTTTTTTTTTTAAAAAAGGTGATTTTTTTCACAAAAATAAGAATTTAAAAGGTGGATTTTGACAGAAAAAAAAGTTCATAATGAAATTAAAGATCTATTATTACAAATAGGATGAACAAGATATAAGTATATATTCGATTAGATTATGAAAGTGATAAATTATATTGAAAGAGCTAGATATTTTTAAAGATAACATATGATGAATTGGATTCTTCTATTTGGTCCATAAAATTAGAACCTTGTCCCTTACTCTACTTATATTAGTAACAGATTGGCCAGAGTAAAGTTGTCTGTTTAGAGAAGTCTTGGATAATTATTATATTTTGTAGCTCGAGTTTTTTTTATTATAGGAAGAACAAGAACTACTATTCCCATGTGAAATAATTGTTATATACTTTCATGCAGCGAAAAACTTATCCGATATGCATGTGATCATGTATGTATATGTTGGATTCCTACTATCATAACCATGTTGAATGGATCTCTTGTAGGAAAGAACATAAATTCTTATATGTAGTCAACTGTAAATCATTTGTTGACGATGTGATCAATTCACATGTAAGTAATTAATCAAGTAATGTGGGTTACTATAAAGATAATTTATTCAAAAAAATGAGATTACCTATATGGATGAGAGAAAACTACAATGAAATATTAGAAATTCTCATAATATACAAGTGGAGTTATTAGTTTAATAGTTAGTAAATATTAATTAATTAAGGGTGCATTTTATTCACCTGATTTTTACTTATATGAACTTATTAGCCCTTATTAAAACTTATTTTAGTTATAAATTTAATTGGGTCGTAGCCCTGATTAATTCTTATCACAACATATCTGAACTTATTTTTCCTGAATTTATCTTATCTGAACTTATTAACCCGTATATGAACTCATTAACCATGAAATAAATGAAAATAAGGTGAACAGAACATGGCCCAACTGTTCTCTTACGTTGAAATTCAGTTCAGTTCAGTTCAATTCAGTTCAGTTCAGCTCAGCTCAACTCCTAATTTCCTTCTCTTATAAAATATTCAATTCAGTTCAGTTCAGTTCAGTTCAGTCAATGAGAACATGCCCTAAGTGATAGTTTGTGAGGTTTCAAAAAAAAAGTGATAGTTTGTGATGAGACGATTTTCTAAACGTCCAACATATTCAAGTGGTCTTCTTTCTAATAAGTTATGTCCTACTGTTTAATACAAGGGGTTAAACGTACCACTCAATTTACGGATAGATTTGTTTTATACAATATTAAATAGATAATATAATGCTCAAGTATAAAAATAAAGAGGATTTATTTTATTTTATTTTATTTTATTTTATTTTATTTTATATAAAAGAATACCAAAATAAAAAATTAGAATTCCCTTCATGACTTAATAGAACTTATTTGAATTTTATTATCAAGTAATTTATTCATTATTAAGTTAATTACTATAATATATTAGAGGTGGTACTACAAAACTTATATAAATACTTTATCCATTATAACTCTCTTACCATAAAGAAAATATACCATTTTAAATACGAGGTATATACTAAAGCATGAGCTCAAAATAAAATAAAAATTAATTCAGCCCGTCAAATGCCAGATTTATTCCTGCAGCATTGCAGTAACCCAAAAAAAAGAGGCCATAATCTGCATTTGCGTGTGTTATCATATGCTGCAGTTGCTTGTGGATTCATCAAGGAATTGAAGGAATTTACTTCATGTATCTAATTCAATTTATTACCTCTAACATACACACCAATAAGGTAGGTCCAACAACAACTCAAATATACAAAAATCAATAACATTCTTCTCATCATGTATAAAAATAAAATGAATAAAAGATGAAAAAACAAAAATAAAATAAAATAAATTTTTTTTTGGACTTCACTCCTTTTCTTTCACCAAATTTTGCTTGGTATAGTGCACAAAAACCCTTTATATTGCTTTACATAATCAAGCTTTCTGCAATGAAAATTTGCTAAAATTACACAACTTAGGGCTACCAAAATTAATTCATTTCGTTTTCGAATCCAATACCAGGAAATGAGAACATACAGAAGAGATTAAAAGTGCATACCTACATTAAGATATAAATTAAAAACCCATTTATAAAATAATAATTCCTAAAGATTGTTGTTTTATTCACCAAGATTCATACTCCAGCTGCCTACCTAATATCATACCACCTTAAAAGTCTTCTTTGTATTTAATTTTACCGTTAACATTCATGATTGTATAACAAATTTCCCAACTCTTAGGTACTTACAAACCTCCCCTAGTCCGAATTTTATAGTATATATACTATCTCTGTCTAGAACTAATTGTCGTTTATGTTACTTTAAGATGTACGAAAAGGTTGTACAAGTTTCAAAATCTTAGACTTTAAAATAAGTTGTAGTTTTAGATTATTGAACTTTTATTATACCCTTGTTAAGCTAAGGTTACATTATGACATATATAAGAGAATAAGTGAATAAATAATGTAAGTATTATAACGTACGGATCGATTATTCTATACAGTAAAAGTGAATAATCATACATTAAACTTAGGGCCTGTTAATTTTCAAGGTGTTTTTATGGCTTTATTTTTCCGGTTTTTATTTTCAGTTCAGTTCAGTTCTAATAAGTTTGGTTTAGTTCAGTTCAACTCCTAATTTTCTTCTCTTATAAAATATTCATTTCAGTTCAGTTCAGTTCAGCTGAGTTCAGTCAATGAGAACAAGCCCTAGTAGAGTATGGGGATTTAAAGTATAATGCATACTAGTATATTATACAATTCAAATTAATGCATGCAATTATTTAATTCAATTCCTCATGTATATATAGTTACTTATTTTACATATCAAAATTGATGTTTACAACTCCCCTGTATTTTTTTATTAAGTGCCCTAATTTACATTATGCACTATTCACATACACCACTTTAATCCATAGAGATGTTTACAAATAAGATTAAGCACAGTTACTCCGTTTATAGGTATTTGTTAAACTGTTTTAATAATATACGTAAATATTTTGAATATCAGCATGTATATTATATATAATATATTTGTATATTTATTGATAATGAAAGAGATAATTAGTTAAAGTTTCATGTTGACAAATGTGCCAAGTACGTCAATTGGGGCATTTAAAAAATAAAAACTAGGACTACTTAGTTTGTAATTAAAATCGTGTGTAAAGTGTAATTTCTTTTAATTACCATTTCTCCACTTTTAAATATCAAAGCACAAGGTTAAGTCCTTACGTATGCGGGATGCAATGGTAATAAAAAGTGTATGTATACCTAATATGAGTATAATGGATATTTGGTAAAACCTGTTCATATCTAGAATTACATAAGGTTAGTACGGGACCATTTACCCTAAATTTGCTAATTCTAGCTATACAAAGGGTGTATATAAATTATGGTGGTAGGGATCTACGTACAAATCTATCAATTCAAAAATTTCATGCTATAGACATAGATTATAGCCTAGAATTCCTTTATAGATTCATCATTCATGAAACCATTTACGACATTCTCTTGCACTTCTTCATTAGGTAGTTTTAGTAACAAAGATGATGATAAGAGAATCGAACCTCTCAACCTTTTTCCGGGCAAAGCTGAGAGCTTCTCGAGTGTTAAGGATTTTAACAACGCGAAGAAGTTTAACAACAATGAAAAAGGAGGAGAAGATGATGATAATGATGGTGTTACAGTTGCCTTGCACATCGGGTTACCTAATCATGATAACTTGGTAAGGAAGGGAAATGGAAATAATGTTGGTGATAATAATAATAATCAACTTCGAATGATGACTAATAATTATTGGATACCAAGTGATGTTCAAATTCTAGCAGGGTTCACCCATTTTTCTTGCCACCTTTGTAGTAAGACCTTCAACCGTTACAATAATCTTCAGGTAATTGTTCCTTTTTCGTTTATTGCATTTTAGTGCATATAAAAAGCTTATTCCATGGTTGTTTTTTTAAAAAAATTGTAACTTGTTTACTTGTTTTCTAATTGCACATATTGGAATTTAAATTCTATAGTATTAGGATTTATCACTGTATAATAATTTCATACTTTAATGTATATGTATTATGTATGTTCATTATTTGCATTGGAGATTCACTAAAATAGTAAGGCATTGAATCGACCAAGTTTATTTTATTTTTTAAAAGATATACATATGTAAGGCATGTGTATTCATGAAATTCATCAAATGTGGCTCCAAACTTGATCACTTCACGATCACTTCGTGTTACTAGAAATTTATATTGAAAGTAAGTATTTTTAAAACCCAATCCTATTAGTTGGGCGTTCGTTAGCTTTTGCCTTGAAATAAACATCGACCTAACACATTGTAAAACATAGATTCTCGATAGTTGATTAGCTATCATTTTACAAAGTACCCATTTTCACACATTTTAAGAAGTTAGTTAAATTTTCTTATTATTGCATTCATATTGCATAGCGACATCATACAAATTTAATCTATTGACTAGTGATGTTGTTTTGATTTTATAACGCAAAATTAGGTCTAATTTACACATTAATATGATGAAATGACCATCAGTTTCTTTATAATTTCAGGGAATTTAACTTTTATTTAATATGCTATATACGGTAGATTTAATATTTATTGACTGATTGGAGGCAATGGAACTCTGTTGCATCACCCAAAAAAAAAAAAAAAAAAAAAACTAGTTGAAGGCCCTTCTTCTTAGCGGAAAAAAAGCCCAAAACCATAATATCAAAGTTAGGCTTAATTATTTCAAAATAAAAATAATATTGGGCTACAAATTCTTCTATGGACCCTATTCCATCTAAAATAGCTAGACCCTTATTAAAACTCAACCTTATATAAATGAAACAGAACTTCATTTTCTTCTTCTTTTTCTCACCATCTTTACAAAATTTTGTTTCTTTTCTTTTTTTTTTACAGAAACTCTCTCTCTCTCTCTCTCTCTCTTTTTTTTTTTAATCCAATCACTTTTTATTTCTCTATTGAATTTACTTCATTTTTTTTTCCAAATTCTTTTTTTCTCTCTCCTCTATTCTTTGATTTTTCTCCATTAAATTTCTGTATTTAACGTGATGGAACAATTTTAAATTCCCAAAGATATCAATCAAGGTTTGTTATTATGAACTCATTGTGATCAATATTAATTTATTTTTTGATTTTGAGATGAATTTGTGGATGAATTAATTATTTTAATATTAATTGAATTTGTGAAAGCGAATTTGATTGATTTCAATTTGTAATCGATTACCTGATTGTTTTTACAGTTCTCATTAATTTGTATGTATTTTATTGATTTTAAGATGAATTTGTAGATGAAATCATTGTTCTAATATCAATTGAATTTGTTGAAGTTAATCGATCAATCAATTCAATTCATATCTATTATTATCTATTACCTGATACTTTTGAACATTTAGTAAGCAAAATCTGAACAATTGCAAATTTTGAACATAAAAAAAAAAAAAATGAACATCAAAATTTTTGAACATTTAGTGAAAATATCTAAACAATCGAAATGTACCACGCTTATACTTTTGAACATTCAGTAAAAAGGTTTGAACAATTGCAAATTTTGAACATTTAGTAAAAAAAATCCGAACATCGCAAATTTTGAAGATTTAGTAAAAATATCTGAACGATCGCAATGACCACGCCTATACTTTTGAACATTTAGTAAAAAACTCTGGACAATTGCAAAATTTAAACATTAAGTAAAAAAATCTGAACCTTGCAAATTTTGAACATTTAGTAAAAATATCTAAATAATCTCAGTGTATGCCTATACTATTAAACATTTTGTAAAAAAATTTGAACAATTGCAAATTTTGAACATTTTGTACAAAAATCCGAACACTGCACCACGTCCATACTTTTGAACATTTGGTAATAAAATCTGAATAATCGCCTATGGTCCAGCTATCCAGGGTGCATAATAGACTTATTGATGTTGGGCTTAATTCTGAAGCTTAACTCTTTGGGCTCTATAGTATCCAAAAACTTACCATTTTTATTTTATCTATTGGGCCACAGATGCACATGTGGGGCCACGGATCACAGTACCGAAAAGGCCCAGACTCCTTAAAAGGAGCCCAACCACGAGCCATACTAAGTGTGCCATGCTATTGCTGTGAGGAAGGGTGCAAAAACAACATCAACCACCCAAAATCTAAGCCTTTGAAGGATTTCCGCACACTACAAACTCACTACAAGCGCAAGCACGGTCACAAGCCTTTTAGCTGCCGCAAGTGCGGCAAGTCGTTGGCTGTCAAAGGCGATTGGCGCACACACGAAAAAAATTGTGGCAAGCGTTGGCTTTGTCTATGTGGTTCCGACTTTAAGCATAAGAGGTCACTTAAGGATCACATTCGCGCTTTTGGGTCTGGCCATGCTCCTTTCCCTCCTTCCTTTGATACCATGCAGCTACTATAGTTGATGTTATAGTGATAGTGTTTTGTTTGTTTAAACAATATGATAGGTAAAAATGGTTGTGGCTAAGATAGTAATGGATCTTCATGTGACATGTTAGTTATTGTTCTACAAGTCGATATAATGATAGACGAAGTATAAACTTTTTCATCCCAAAAATTTTAAACACAATTTCTTTCACGAGTTCTATTTTTTGCTTTCTTTGAGCTTTAATAATTAATACTTTTACATATGAGTTTGTCAATGTTTAATTTCAACTATCGATATCTTTGTCTAAATAATTCAAAGTTATAACAAATTTGATGTTTTAATTTGATACATTGAGCCCCTAAATTGTGTGAATAATGTAAAAGTCAAAATGTTATAAGTGTTAAGAAATGACGAAGTATGATTTTGAGTACATACATGTATACATAGGGCTAGTTGAAGACCACTTAATTTGTATTGGTGTTCGGATTTGAACACAAATCATCCTTTGGGCGATCATAGATTCATAGGGTAAGAATAGCGCGTTTGTCCATGTAGGAGCAAAGGTGCAAGCGGAATGGACCATAGATTCGTAGAGCGGGGATTATTTTGGGCTTTGATTGCAGTGGATGCACAAAAATGCATGGGAAAGAAGGTAAAAAAAATTAAGTTGCAACTTGCCAATATTATAAGTATAAACGTAACAGAAGGAAGTTTATGTATAAGTTCATAATATTATGTTTGGACCACGTCACATAATACCTTAAATTAAATTCAGATCAAACCTTACAACTCCATAAACGAATCTCATTAGATACTTTTTTGAAATAAAACAAATTGGCACAAGTTTGCCTCCAAAGAAATAGCTGTATCAAAGATAACAGAAACATAATTTATTCATTTAATTCATCCAATAATCAACTAGGCATATGAGCTTGCTTGCTCAATTTTATGATTGCTAGGATTTGCTACTTGATTTTTTTGAGAGAAAGAACCTCTTGGTTGACTAATTTTTCAAAGTCTAAGTAGGATGAACCACTTGGAGTTGCTAATGCTTCTTCAGCTAATTTTTTCCACTCCAATGCTTTACTTGCCATTTCTTCCCCCCTTTTGTCCTCCATAAGCTCTCTCACTTGTCTCTCAACCTCACTTCTCCTAACATCGTTGTCGATCTCCATGCCTATACCCCATTTCTCGAAACTAAACCAACAATTGGTTTGTTGTTCCGCGAAGAAAGGCCAACACATAATAGGCACCCCGCTACATATAGTATCTAGTGTCGAGTTCCACCCACAATGTGTCAAAAATGAGCCAATTGATGGATGGTATAAGATTTTTTCTTGGTCACACCAACTAGTCACTAGACCTCGATCTTTTGTTTCAGCTAGGAATTCAGGTGGTATAACAGCGGAATCACCAGTTACAATATCTGGCCTAAGAATCCACAAAAAGGGGTGCTTACTATTGGCAAGACCCCATGCAAATTCAATAAGATTTTCATTTGTCATAGTTGTGATACTCCCGAAACTTACATAAACAACAGATTTTGGCTTCTTTGAGTCAAGCCACTCAAAGCAAGTCGAATCCTCCTTCCATAGGTTAGACCCTAAGGACTTGACCGCGACATCATCAGACACATTATTTAGTTGCAATTGCATTGGTCCGATGTTGTATATCGGACCAACTACTATTTTCGATATATCCTCAAGAACATCATGCTCCAATGCATCAAATGAGTTAAAAATAATTGGTGCTGAAGATTTAGCAGCTCTTTCAGTTGTGAATTTTAGGAAATTTAACATAATGTCATCTTTGTTTGTGGTACGGATAAAGGTTGGAATATATTTTAATTGTATACCTCTCAAGCTAGGCACCCAATCCACGACCATGTCTAAGGAGCCGTCTGTTGCGAAATTGGAATCTGCTTTAAAGGCAAATTAAAGCATAATTAGGATCAAGTAATAAAATAAACATGCTTAATATCTCTAATACGAAGTATTACGTATCATCTATATTGTAACCAATTTTATTGGTGTCCTGATTTGGGGTGATTTGCTTCCAAACAATAGAGTAGAATATTGGCAAGTACAAAGTATATATATATAATGATAGTATCAATTTTCATGTAAATTTTTGTTGTATTATATTTATTAGATTCATTAAATATTATTTATGTTGATCAATACTTGTTTTATCCGTTCAATCCTATATAGATTCAGTATCAATAAAAAAAAATCTCTTAAATTTGTTTTGTTTAAATTATTTTACTCGTATGATACAATATTAGGCGCGTTTTCTTTGTGGCAAGCTGACACACACTAAAACACTAAACGGGAAATTCCTAACTGATTGAATAACTCTTAACTGAGTAACCCCTAACCAATTGAGTAACTCTTAACTGATTAACCTCTAATTAATTGACCGAATAAGTTCTAAATAAGAACCCCGCCAACATAAAACTTTGTGTTTTTTTACAACCTAAACACCGTATAGATCATTATTTTAAATTTCTATCCTTTCTTGATCCCATGAAATATTAACTCAATTTTATCATTTTACACTACTTTCCATTTATTCAAATCTTCCTATCCTATAACATAATTAATAATATAATATAGTACATTAGTGCTGTAATTTGCCACTAAACTTGACTAACAATGGCAAAAAAACTTTCAACATAATTAATATAATACAGTACATTAATACTTAAATTTGCCACCAAGCTTGACTAACAATGACAAAACTTTTCCACTTTAAACACGGGCCATATATATCATTAGCAATATGAGTATTTTATTTTAGCTTTCAAAATACAGTACACGTATTGGTCCTAGCTAGAATCAATTTAACTTTTTTTTTTTATTTTGGAACTTAATGTCGCAAATGACAAAAAATTGCTCATGCTTTCCCCCTATCCATCGGTTTATGTCTAAGTTTGCAATCATATACAAAGTACTCATAAATCACAATCGACATAAATCACATACAAGTAATTAATATTTAATATGCCCTTTTCCCACATATTAGTGCTCTACTTTAATTTTGATGTTTAAGTTTGTAATTAAATACTCTGTATCACTTAATCATAAACATTGTAGCACCTCCTCCCCTCACCCAAAATAAATCATATATATTGTATATATATATATTTGGTTAACAACGAATGTGATCGCTTGTAAAAAATAAATTAACTTTTGTAACATTGACAAAGGAATTCTTGTAATAATAACTAAGTGATTCGTTTAACATGAACACTAGCGAACTAACATATGTAATACGAGTATTAATTGAGTAACCCCTGTAACACTACTGAAGTAACCCTCATACTGGTTTGATCAGCCAATATAAATGTCTGTGTTGGGCTGAATAACTTTTTAAACATATCTAGATATCCTTTTTTAGCTTCAATGCTATTTTTAATTAAATTATTAAATAATATCTCTTATATGGATGTTAATATTTTAGTAGGTAAATTTAGTGGAGGTATTGATTGTTAAGACATTGCCTCGTGACAGCTCCTACTCTCCCTCTTTACATTGAAATAATGTCATATAAATATTATTCGTAGATCTCTAGAATAATTACGTATTATGTTAATATGTAATGATTCTAGAGATCTACAAATAATATTTATATGAAATACTATCATATACTCCGTAAATATTTATTTATAGCTCAAGTATCACTTAGGGCCTGTTTTCATACGTTGAAATTCAGTTAAGTTCAGTTCAGTTTAGCTCAGTTCAGTTCAGTTCAGCTCCTAATTTCCTTCTCTTATAAAATATTCATTTTAGTTCAGTTCAGTTCAGCTCAGCTCAGCTCAGTTCAATTCAGTTCAGTCAATGAGAACATACCCTTAGTGTTTCTCCGTTTGTTTTCTTTATATGAAGTACTCCTTTTAAATTGCTTGTATGTCTTCGTTAATATATTCACTTCATTTGTTGATTATTATTTTTCTTCTTATAACTTCTCTTATTTCATAATTAAAGTAGTTAAGCAATAATGCGTTCGATATTAATGACTATTTCTTGTCAATTTTTACACTATACACCAAAACACATCCTGCTAGATTATATATATATAGACACGAATTATGAAATGAAGAGATTAATTAGTAATTTAGTACCAAATAACGTCAATAAAACTGTAACAAAGGGGTAATATATATAAATCGTACCTTTAAAGGGCACGATTCCCTTATCAATAAGTGTACCATACTGAGAATATCCCAAAAAACCATTTGCACTAGCAGTCCACAACCATACCAACGGGATACCACCAAGTTGTTGTGAAGAATCAAGAGTGAAAGGCATGACACAATCCGATATGATCAACGTGACTGGTGGAGAACCCGGGGAAGGATCATTAGTAAGCCTCGAAACAAGCTCCTTAAAGGGCTCAAGGAAGTAGTTCATAACAGCATGACATAGGGTGGGGATATCTTGGGTGGCATCGGCATCAGAGGGAGGGAGACCGTCAGGGATGGACTCGAATCGAAAGGACGAAAGAGCTTCAAGGGAGTTAGGTCCCCTAGCACGGAGTAGACGACGATGGTTGTACTCAGTGTTGACAAAAGTAATGTGGTTACCTTTAGAATGGAGGAGTTTGGCTAGTTTAAGCATAGGACTTATATGGCCTTGTGCTGGATATGGTATGCATAGTATGTGTATCTTAGCTTGTTTCTCTCCTTCAATACTACCCATATTTTTTTTGTTTATAGAATCTTTGATATAAGTGGAAGAGTTTGTAAGAAATTTCTATGATTGGGATATGATTTTAATTAAAGAGTTATGGCTATATATAGTAGCTTAATTAGCTTATTGGAGCTCACAATAATCAAAGATAATAACTTTATTATAAAAAATATACAAACTATGTATACAACACATGGTTCAAATTATACCTTATACTAATAAAATAATTGAGAAATACGGAATACTCAATAACCAGGAAATAGTATGATTCAATTATTTATCTATCTATTTATTTATTTATTTTTTGTCTTTGAGTATATTTTCAATAATTTTTGTTGGTGTATGAATATGTGTATCATTTGAGCTACCCTTCGAGGTGTATATTTTTGTAATATTTTTTTTTTCAATAAATTAGTATGAATTCAAGAATATTGTCATTAAGAGTTTTTTTTAGGAGTTAATAATCTTTTCTCCGCTGAGTTTTTCGAATAGTGTTGTACGTATAGCTATATACATCAAGATTATAGTCCGCTACATTAAGGGTCTGTTCTGATTTACTGAAATGAGCTGAACTGAATTGAACTTATTGAAGCTGAACTGAACTGAACTAAATGAATATTTTATGAGAGAAGGAAATTAAGAACTGAACTGATTGGAGCTGAACTGAACTAAACTGAAAATAAGCTGAATAGAACAAACCCATAAAGCTTTCAATTTGGACGACTGATTTTGGTTCGATTGAGTGATTGCGTCTAGTCATGCTAAATCATTGGGCCACTTTTAAATCGAGTCAGATTATTTTTTGACATCTTTAGGGTTTTGCTACATTAAGTAACCACAAAATTATTATGGAGTATATTTAATAATCATTTACTTCATAATTGATAATTGATAAGTATCAATAATCAATTGAAAGTAGCCATACATATTCCCTAAGACAAGGAGATTAAGCTCCGAATGGTTATCTTGGAAGATCTTGGGCCCGAATTATAAAGAGAATAAACAAAAATGACATACTATATTCAACTAAAACCCATGCGAATATGTGATTCACAATGATCTTGCATATCTGCTTTTGATTAATAAATTAAACATGGTGATTTGCTATTAAACTTTGGTCAACTTTGTATGAAACTGTGAATAGCCCATTTTTTATTTTATTTGTTTTATATTTTAACGTGATCTGGTCATGTTCTTAATTATAGTAGTCTCAGTGGCAATTCCAAAGAAATGCTAACTTGTGATGCAAATAATTTACAATACTTTGACAAGTTATTACTAATTACAGTAGCTTTTATAATCTACATACATTTACTTATTAACAAAGCAATATTGTTCGGTCCGTGAATTAATCATTTCATTAAGTTTTATTACAATTACCTTTCAATTATATGCTGTGGAGTACGTACCAAATAATTTTATTTATTTTTTCACCGTATAACTTTGGCTTTTTATTCAATTCTTTTCACAATAATAACGTCCGTGGGAGTTTTCATAAGTACTAATTGATGCATGATTAGTGATATGTCTAACAAAGATAATAATGTTAGCCTATTAACCCTAAATAGATCACCTCTTAACTCGAAATCTCCCTTATCTTCTATTAATAGTTAACATTATTAGTCGCTATTTTTTTCATTGCTTTTGAAGTTTCCTATGTTGTTTTAACTTAATTCAACTATGAACTTGAGGTATTTAAAATGACAAACCTTGGTTCTCTTCTCAATTTCTCCACCAAATTGCCTAGGGTTCATGATTTCTCCATCAATAATTTTAAGTTTTTCTTGTTATTGATTATGTTGCTTTGTGCTTTTGGACTTTTGAAGAAGAATAGAAGATGGGTCCTCACGAAACTGGTTCCATAATTTTTGACATCAAAACATGCTGCCAAAGCCCAACAAGCCCATTATTCACCAAACATATTAGGCCTACTTGCTTGTTATGACATATTTTTTACTTGACCCACTCATACAAATAGAGGTGTCAAAACCGAACCGACCCGAAAAAAATTATCCGTTTCGAACTGTAACCAATCCGATTTGATTCGAGAAATTCAAGACCCAAACCCGATCCGTAACCGAACTGAACCCGAATCTGAACTTGACCCGATCTGAACTTAACCCGGCACCGATTTGATCTGACCTGAACTCAACCCGAATCCGATTTGACCCGACCTGAATTCAAACCGAACCAATTTGACCCGACCCGAGCTCAACCCGACTCGAAATTGACCCAAAAAATAACTGATCTAATCCGACCTGTTTTGACCCGAACTGATATTAACCCGATCCGATTTTAACTCGATTTGATTTTTACCCGATCCGAATTTAACCCGATCATAATTAATTATTTACTTTTTTATTCAAGTTGTTATACTATATATTTACTAATTATTAATAAGTTAACTTTTTGACTACAAAGAAATAATCTGGAGTCTTAAGTTTACTTCATGTACATATCAATTATATTAATTTACTTTCTAAGCTTTAATAAATGCCACAAGATCTAATAAACCTAAACAATACCTCTAGTTTAAAAATAACCTTATTTGGATATGAATTTGGTCAACTCAACCAAAATCCAACCAAACACAAAAAGAAATTGAACCGAAATTGACCGAACCGAACTTGACCGAATCGAAATCATCCGAACCGAAATCAACCCGACCCAAATTCATCCGACCCGAAGTTACCCGGCTAAACCCGTTTTAAACCCGATCCAAATATATCCGAACCGAAAGTGAATCGATCTGAAGTTGACTCGACCCGTATCTGACCCGGACTCAATAGACCATGACCCGAATTTGACCCGATCCGAGTTAAAAGGATAATTTTGATCCGAACATATCCGACCCGAACAGACCCGACCCGAATAGACCCGACCCAAACTCCATCCGATTATCCGAATTGACACCTCTACATACAAACACACAATTCATTAAATTACCTCTAATCCAAGCATACCTTAATACAATATCATAAAAATAAGATAAAGAACTAGAAGTAATACTTTCATAAATCTAATCAGGGTCATTTTTTCAGTTTTTCAGTGGAATAAACACTTGATTCATCAATTGTTCCAGATTCAAGCATGATGAACCAGTAGGCATTGTTGATTCTTCTGCCAATTTTTTCCACTTCAATGCATTCTTACACATTTCTTCACCCTTTTTACCTTCCATTAACTCAATCACTTGCCTCTCAACCTCATCCCTCTTAACATCTTTGTTTATCTCCATGCCCATGCCCCATTTGTTGCAAAAATACCAACAATTAGTTTGTTGCTCGGCGAAAAATGGCCAACAAAGCACAGGCTTTCCTCCACATATAGTATCAAGAGTCGAGTTCCATCCACAATGTGTTAAGAAAGCACCCGTGGCTTGGTGGTTTAACACCTTTTCTTGATCACACCAACTAGCTAACATCCCCCTATCTTTCGTTTCAACTAAAAAATCTGATGGAAGAATTGCGGAATCACCTGTTACAATATCCGGTCTAACTATCCATAGAAACGGGTGTTTGCTATTTGCTAGCCCCCACGCGAATTCTACTAGATTTTCATTTGTCATGGTTGTGATGCTCCCAAAACTTACATACAGCACGGAATTTGGCTTCATCGAATCGAGCCATTGAAGGCAATGCTTGTCCTCTTTCCAAAGATTAGACCTTAGAGACTTGATCCCACAATCACCATTATTATTTTCAAGTTGGTTTATATTTTGTTTTATTAGAAAATGTAACGGTCCAATGGTGTACGTAGGACCAACCATTATTTTGGATATGTCGTTGAGAACATCTTGTTCCAATGCATCAAAAGTATTGAAAATTACTGGTGATGAAGATTTGCAAGATTTTTCTACAGAAATCATCAAGAGATAAAGCAATATATCATCTTCTTTCATGGTTCTAATGAAGCTTGGGATATCTTTTAACCGTATGCCTTCCATGCTAGGGACCCAATTAACAATCGTGTCCAAGCAGCCGTTTGTTAGGAAATTAGGATCTGCAAAAGTTAATTAAATTAGTACGTGACAGTGGGGACAGAGGAAGTATACTATAGATGACTTTTATTATTATTACGGAGTATTTTTTTTTTTTTTTTACTAAACCCCAACATAAACATTCCTATTTCTATTGGCGACTTTAATGCCTTAATAATTGATTATATGATGTCTAATTATTACTTTTTACTATCTTATTTTCTTTAACAACCACATAAAATCACTAAATTTACAATATTTCAAGTTCGCATGGAGTAACTTAACATTATATATGGGACTTGTTTGGGAAGTGGCTTTTCATTGATTTTTGGCTTTAAGTTTTTTCATTTAGTCAAATAGCCAAAAAAATAGTTTAGTAAATGGCTTTTTAGCTAGCTAAAAACAAAGCTTTTTATGTCAAAATGAAAAAGCTATTTGGAGCAGCTATTGCCTTTTAGATATCAAAATTTATAATAAAATAAGGCACAAATTATACCAAACAAGTTTTAAAAAAGTGAATAAAACCCAAGAAAAATGGCAATACAAACAGCTAGTCAAACCAGTTAAAACTAGTAAAAAAACCAATTGTAATTGCCTAACAAAGCCCATATGTGTGGGACTGAATGATTGATCACAAAAAAAGGTCCATAATTAGTTTCTCACCCTAGCTTTTTTTAACATGCGTGCCATTTAAAGTTGTCAAATTCCTGACCCAACTCAATAACTCGACCTAAATTCAAATTGGAAATTACTGAAAAAGAACTCGATCCGACCCGAATCTGAATCCAAAGTTATTGAGAAAGAACCTGAACCTAACCCGACACAACTCAACCCAAATCAAACGACCTGAACTTGACCCAATTTGATCCATTTATCATATTTTGTAATGTCATGTTTTTACACTATTTGAGATAGAATTTATATTTTTAGCATGACCTGAAATTTAACTCGAGCATTGACCTGAATTGACAGGTGTAATTTATTAATTAATGTACAAAGTAGCAAGTATAGTGGATAAATATAAAAGTTAAATTAATGATACGGACTACTTACAATTAACAAGCTAGCAAATCGAATTCATAGTAATCGTAGATAAATTAAGGAACAAGGAAATAAAACCTTTGAAAGGCACAATGCCCTTCTCAAGAAGAGGTCGATATTGAGCATAACCCAAGAACCCACAAGCGCTAGCAGTCCATAGAAGAACCACAGGCAAATCCCCAACCTCTCGTGCGGCATCTTGAGTGAAAGGCATGATACAATCCGATAAAATATACGTGACACGAGGTGTACCTTCTTCATCATTAAGCCTTACTAGAAGTTTCTTGAAAGGCTCAAGACAATAATTTAAAACAGCATGGAACATGGCTGGGACATCTTGGGTTGCATCGGGGTCCGAGGGTGGTATGCCATCTGGGATGGCCTCAAATCGAAAAGACGATGGGAGGCCATCTAGGAAGTTCGGACCCCTTGACCTTAGAAACCGACTATGGTTAAACTCGGTATTGACAAAGGTTATATGGATGCCTTTGGTATGGAGTAATTTGGCTAGGTTTAACATGGGGCTTATGTGACCTTGTGCGGGAAATGGGACACAAACTACATGAACCTTAGCCTCATTTTTTACTTCAATTAATGAGCCCATTTTTTGTTAAGTAGTTTGACTAAGCACTTTCACTAGGGAGAGCTATACTCTAGCTATTGGTGTGGTTGTTATGATGTACTAGTTGATGAAACAAGATCCATTTATAAAGAAATTGCATTTACTGTTTATATTTCACTTGTATTGAATTTTTTTTTGGAAAGACACTTGCATTGAATTAACCGAGAACGTTCTGTATTTATGTATGTCTGTTGATAACCCTTTTACTGAAATGGTTAATTTAGCAAAAGTATTTACCAACATGACTATTCATAAATTCTGAACTAGCTAAGGAAATTTTCTATTGAACCATGATAAAATCCCTTTACTCCATACCTTTTTTTAGTGTGTAATTTGGATTATAATATCCCCATATAATTTATATTCAAATTAAAGAATTTAGATCAAGCAATTTCTTACAGACTTTATAATACTCATATATATTCAACATAATATATGTATGCAAATATGCAATAGTTTTATATGTTATATTAAGTTTTGCAAAACAATATAGGGAGTACAAAAATCCATCTCTATTTTACTTCCAATCCAAATTTATTTAGCTATAATTAATTACAGTAACTTTGAATAATTTATAATGTAACTAGTATTTGAGTCTAGGCGATGCCCGGCCCGAGTCATTACATTTTTCCTTGATGATAAATTTATTCGTTATACATATTAATATTTTGTATCAAAAGGTAACATAAAACATCTCATATCTTGGTGGTAATATGCTCAAACCTCTAGAATTAGAGGTTTTGTGTTAAAATTTTGTGAAGAGCACTTTTTCAAAAAAAACTATACTTCCTCCGTTTTTTTTAATTGACACCGTTTGATTTTTACACTATTCACACAACACGCTTTAACTCGCTGTTGAGGTTTATAGATACGATAAAACATATTCATGTGGGATCTTGTTTAAATGAAATTAAATCGTTTCAATGTATATTTTATTAATATATACTTTTTATAATTTTACAATATTAATAATTAGAGATATTAGTCGTTAAAAACATGGCTTGGCAAACGTGATAATATAAAGGTGTCAACTAAAAAAACAGAGGAAGTAAATAACTAAATTCTGACATACAATGAGAAACATATGGAAGGAAGAACCATATGGCGTTGAGTGGGTGACATGGCGGAATAAGAACATGAGTGGATGATGTGGCGTAATAAAGGGTGTATGTGACACATAAACTTTTTTTAAGAACGCTTTTTAATAGATTAGTATAGATTTAAACAAAAGTTTAAAATAAATGGAATACTAGAAGTCCTAGAAATTAAATGAAGAGGTTATATTATAAAGGAATGATGGAAATGTTTGTGTAGGGTTGTTTGCTAGAGGCTGTTTACCATTATACTCCCTCTGTTTTTAAATACTTGCTCCATTTTTCTTGGACACGCATGACGATGCTAATCTTTGATCACTAATATCTTTAATTATCAATAAATATAAATTCTCAAGATTGAAAATTAATAATCTATTTATCGAGATAATTCCAACAAGTACCCATAAGACTATATTTTTTTTCCTATGTATAAATCACAAATATTAGTCAAAGTAGGACAAATGAATAGTGTAAAAAATAGAAATGGAGCAAGTATTTAACAACGGAGGAAGTAGCTTTATATATATAAAATTGAACACTCAATAAATTGACTAGTTTTGAAATTCCTTGCCGTAGTATTTACAAATTACAATTTCAAATCCAATAAAAAAATCCCTTGTATTCCATACTTTCTAACAAAAATATCTATAGTATGTGTCCTGTCTTAATCTCTTGTACTCCATTCAATTTCTAAGCCATAAAAATTTTAACGTCTACTCCTTCCATACCTAAATTACATTTCTACTTCTAGCATTTATTTCTCACATAATAATAGAGAGAAATAGAAATGTATTTTAGGGACGGATGGAGTAGTATATACGTACTAGGGGTGAGCATAATAGGGGACCCTATTAAAATTCCTGGAACCAGAACCAGATTTTCCAAAATGAGAATCAGAACCGTTTCTGAAAATTGGGAACCAACTGAACCGGAGGGTATCCTGTCTTGTAAAATACTAACTTTTTGCATATTTTTTAACAAAATTTTTGGTCACTAATTTATAATGTTTACAACTCGCAAATAAAACAAATTAATAGTAGTTGTCTAACAAATTTGATTTTTGCACTATTCACATACCATGATTAACTTGATTTTTTCACATCTATAAAAAAAAATGTTATTATATAATATATCATTAGATTCGTCATAATGTCTAGTTTCATAATATAATTTTGTTATAATTATTACAAATTAACAATTAAAGATATTATGGTCAAAGTTGCGTCTTGGCAAGTGACAGTCAAACTGATGCAAATAAAAGAAAACAGAGGAGTATTTATAATTGTAATTAATTATTTTAAAAAATAAGTTAGAATTGGTGTATAATTTAAAATTAAATGATACTTTTATCAGGTTACAAAGTACCCTACAGATTTCAATTCCAAAATTGAGAACCCGAATCGGAACCGAAACCTGCTACAACAAGTTCTCCATATTTTGCTACCCGGAATCGAAACCTCTTGCACAGGTTCCTAACAAGTTACGGTTCCGATTCAGGGCACCATGATTTTTTTACTCAACCCCTAATACGTACACTGCTAATTTGAATGGACCGGCCATATGATGCCATCCCCTTTCGACAACACCTCCACAAAAGTTGTGGCTATTAATATGGATAGTTAGCTGCCATTGACTAGTAAGAACGTAATCTAGTTACTAGCTCGAGCCACTACGTCAATTAATGCCACTCAATTTATATCTATTTGATTGATAACAATAATCAAGATTGGTGTAGTAGACTAGTATTTGAAAGCTCTCCTTTCACCCATGCGAAAGGAAAATCAATAGATACTAGTGGGGTGATGGGATTACATACATGCAATTGATAATTTGATATTGATGTCTTAAAAATAAAAAAGATAAATCAATAGAAGTAATAAGAGTTTCTTGACCCTATGACATCGCATGTTGTAGAGGTTAGTGTCGAAATTACAAATATAACACTAACCTTCTTCAAGATAGTGACTAAACTAATATAAGGTTGATTTGGTCTTATTTCATTATGAGATTTAGTTTTAGTATATCGTCCTTTTCCAAACAATGAGGTAAAGTTAAATCGAAAACATTATCTATGCTATGAATTAATTGAAATTTATGTGGATTTGTCAATAAAACCTAGACCATGAGTTATTAGCGATTAAATTAGGAAATTTTGTGTAGAATAACCCTAAAGATAGGGTCATTTGTGAACAACTACCCAAAATTTTTTTTATTTGTTTAGAACTACCCGCAAGTTTGAAAAAGTTTGGATAACATTACCCACTAACGTTTTTCGTCTAATTAAAACGTTATTTTGGCCCAATTTTTCACTTTTGGACTGATTCCAATTTCGGCTTTGGCATCCTTGTATTTGGAGCTTTGGGCAACATTGGCGGGCCCAAAGCTCTCATAAATCACTACAAAATTTATCATCGAAATTTATACTACGTATCATACTACTAGTATCTTCAAAGAGTCTGTTCCAATTTTTGTTTATCAATGATAGAAATTTGTACTTTCTCATTTTAAAATAAGAAAATGAACTCTTCAAATTGTGTGTTATGTAGGCAATACACACTAGACAGAAAATACAAACAAATGTTCACCAAAAATAAAAATGAAATACAAACAAATGCTAGTAATTCAAATTCTTCAATAAAAAAAGTCCTTTAACAAGTTGTAGAGTTCAATCAAATTTATATTGTGAAGATTGAAGGACATCGATAACCTTGTCCAAATTGTTGTAAGAAGATCCATTTGGAGCAGTAACAGCCTCATGAGCTAGTCTTTTCCACTCCATCACCTTTTCCTTCATCTCCTTCCCTTTCTCTCCATCCATCAACTCTCTCACTTGTCCCTCAACTTCACTCCTCTTCACATTCACATCAATTTCCATCCCGATCCCCCAACCGTTGCAAGAAAACCAACAATTAGTCTGTTGCTCCGCGAAGAATGGCCAACAAACAATAGGCACCCCATTGATCAAAGTCTCTATTGTCGAGTTCCAACCACAATGAGTCAAAAACCCTCCAATCGCGGGGTGAGTCATAACTTGCTTTTGATCACACCAGCTTGTAATAAGTCCCTTATCTTTCGTCTTTTCTAGAAACTCCGGTGGTAGAACAGCTGAATCTCCAATGACTAAATCAGGCCGAGTAATCCAAAGGAAAGGTTTTTCACTATTAGCAAGTCCCCAAGCAAATTCAATCAATTGATCATTAGTCATAACAGTAACACTTCCAAAGTTAACATACACAACAGAGTTAGGCTCATAAGAGTCGAGCCATTCGACGCAACGTGTGTCCTCTTTCCATAAACTCGTACATATTTCTTTAGTTTCATCTTCATTGCAACTTTCAATGTTTTCGAGGAGGAGTTGCAATGGACCGACGGTGTAAAGGGGAGGGAAATCGGAGGAGAGAGCTTCAAGGACATCGTGTTCCAACACATCATAAGAGTTAAAGATGATCGCGGTTCCTCTTTTGATCCCGTTAACTAGTCGTGGAATATAACTAACCATAAGGTCATTAGGATCAGTACTTCTTACGAAACTTGGGAGGTCTTGCATTCGGATGTCCTTCATTGCAGGTACCCAATCTAAGACTGTTTGGAGATCTCCATTTGTAGCAAAGTTTTCGTCTACATAATAATTTTCATTGTAGATACACTAAATTAGACACTTTTGAAAGATAAACGAACCTTAAATAAACACGTACAAAAGTAATTACTTAGGGTCTGTTCTCATTGACTGAACTGAACTGAATTGAACTGAACTAAACTAAACTAAACTAAACTAAACTGAACTGAAATGAAATGAATATTTTATAAGAGAAGGAAATTAGGAGCTGAACTGAATTGAACTGAACTAAACTAAACTAAACTAAACTGAAATGAATATTTTATAAGAGAAGGAAATTAGGAGCTGAACTGAATTGAACTGAACTAAACTAAACTAAACTAAACTGAATTGAACTAAAATGAATATTTTATAAGAGAAGGAAATTAGGAGCTAAACTAAACAGAACTGAAAATAATCGTATGAGAACAGACTCTTAATTCTCCATCTAACAATACATTAAATTAATTAGGCGTCTAACAATACATGATATGTGTATCGTCATTTGTCAAGATCGGACCCTGTATAGCTAATCAAATTTAATGTCAACATAATTATATAATTTAGATATTGATCGAGGAAATCAAAACCCTATAGGCTATAGTTTGACAAATTGCGTAGAGTTACAACAAATGACAGCAACTTGGTTGCATAAGGTGAAATTTTTAATGTACTTTGGCATGCAACTATTATATTGACAACTACTCTGTATTATATAGTCGAGTAAATATACCACTACAAGACATACTTGAACATTCTAAATATCACTACTACCACGACGGCACGATATCACTCCCCATGCATTATTTAAATTATGTTTCGTAATTATAATTTCATCACTTATTGACTACAATGACTAGAGTTAAAAATGGGTTGGACTAGATCTAGTCCGAATTCATTGTCTACAAGTGGATCCAGATTCATGGATTTGAAATTTTCATACTCAAATCTAAATCTACAAATGTAACTTTTGTTTTTCACCATTAAAGTTAAAAATTATACTAGAATTTGTTGCTATTTGCTTTAAGGATAATCCTATATGTAGTCCTAAGTTGGGAATTTATTGACAATTCATGAGTAATTTGGTGTAATAAGTGTTTATTTAATGTATATTCATTCTTTCCATTTTTAGCTTAAGGGCTGCATATAACTTTTTCCTTAAACATATAATGATAATTTTTTGTTTTTTTTTTTTAATTTGGAAAGTCAAATTAAACAATGAATTTTAATTTACATTTATTTTTGAAGAAGAAATGAAATTTTTATTACATTATTAAAGGATAATGTCTTGTTTGATTCATGCAATGTCTTATTTAATTTTTTTTTTGAAACAATAGAGCATTTTATTAAAATTAAAGGAGATCCAATTCCATCAAAGTGGTGATCCAAGTCCAATGTTTTGTTTGATTCATGCAATGTCTTATTTGATTCATCTCCTTAATTATTTTCAAATTATTAGTTTTATGCATTTTTCAAAAATACATACGTAGGCATGTTAATGGGCAAAGAAATACTCCCTCCGTTTTTAAATACTTGTTCCACTTTTTTTTTCTGTCCGTTTTTAAATACTTGCTCCATTTCCTTTTTTAGAAAGCTTTTACAATATTTAATTCATTTCTCATACTTAGTGGACCAAACGTAATACTCTCTCTCCTCCTATTCTTCCACTACTTTTGTTTTTTACAATTTTTTATTCTCTCAACTACCCCACTACCTTCATATATTATTACTTCCTCCAATTTCTCCTAAAACTCCGTGCATGGAGAAATGGAGCACGTATTTAAAAACGGAGGGAGTACTCAGTACTCCGTATATTAAAACTCATTTTAGAAACTTCATACTCCACTAAAATACAAACATGATAATATTTTTTCTAATATCTATACTACAAACTACGATTACAGTATCTATTCTTTTACCTTGTGAATAATGGTGAATAATACGTTAAGCACATAATTACGAAACAAACAAATGCAACCTCATAGAGACACAATTGTATCATTTTTTTTTTTTTTTTTTTTTTTTGTGTGTGGTGTTAGAGAGCTACAATGCAATGTATAGTGGGTAATGAAAATCAATCCTATAATTTCCTGGAATCGGAGAATAACTCTAAGCAATCAAGTTATCCCTTACTCTCACAGTTATATTAGTTGTTTGGGTCCAATTTAGTCCAATTGGGCCTAAGCACTAAATGATCCAATTAAAAGCCCAAGGTCAAGGTTCAACTCTCCAATTGTGCTAAAGTCAAAGGTCAGCCCACAAAGCAAGCCAATTGGGCTAAGGCCCAACCTCTCCATGTATGATGAGGTATAAAAGCCATCATATTGATTGATTCATGGAGGGATTCTGATTCATTCATAGATTCATATGTTCATTCATATATTCTGATATATTCCATAAAAGCCTCAAGCAACAAACTCTCTTGCATAGTGTCCTCTTCTTACACATTGTACTGACTTTAGCATCGGAGGGGCCTTCCTCGGCAACACCCCCGAGGCTAGTTTACGTGTGTTTACTGTGCAGGAAACCTTGGGCCCAACATAACTTGGACCGAATCCAGCCTTCCCCACAGACGGCGCCAAATTGTTTGGCACGTCCGTGCAGATGATGCAGCACAGACGTGCCAAAGGTGCACGCCCGTGCTGCAGCAGGTCGTCTTAAACTGAGTTTCTGCCTTGGTCTGCACGGACGTGCCAACTTCAGCACGTCCGTGCAGACCTACAGTTTACCCGTTTCTTGTTTTCACCGTCCTCTTATTTTAGGGGGTAATATAAATAGCCCCTTTGGACCATTTTAGAGGGGTTCCCAATTTTTCCAGATTTTCATACTCCTCTTAGTTTGAAACACAAAAATCCTCAAATTAGCATAGATTTTAGTTCTTGTTTTGAAGGTTTTTCAATCCAATCATTGTAGAAGACAAGTTCCACCATTGTTAGTCAATTATTGAAGCTTCTAGTAATTTTTTCTTACTCTTTCTTTCTCTCTTCTATCTTTAATTCTTGCTTTTTATTAATTGTTTGGTTGTTCTTTGCATGTTTAATTGTTAGATTCTACTTAATTCTTAGTTTTAATTTGTTCATGAATTCCTTGAAATCTTTAATTGCTTTAACCTCCATGGATTGTGAGTAGTCTAATTTCTAGGGTTTGGGTGAACCCTCAATGTAATCACCAACACTTGTTGCATGAACTAATTTGTTAATTGTGGGGTGTTAATTAGTTGAGTTTAAGAGGTTTCATTGTTAATTCTTGTAATTGGCCATTGCTTGAATTATTTATCTAGCTTCCTCAACGAAGGATCGAGAGATGAACTTGAGGAAGCTCCCTTATGCTTGATTGACTTGATTTGCCATGAGAATAGGAATTTCTAGTCAAGGGAATTTGCATGTTATCGTGAGGATGTTTTAACACTTGTTTCTTGCCCATAATCACGAGAGTAGGTTATGGTTTTGATGTCAAGTAATCCCTCTAGCTTGAGAGAGTAGTTGGGTGCATTTGATAACTTCCCCTAATTTATCCCCTAAATCACCATTTCTATGCATGCTACTTGTGGTCCGTGATGAAGTTTAGTGGTGTAACCCATGCCCTAGGCCTTCTTAATATTGTTAATCACCTCTTAGAATTAGTTGATTTGAATTAGAATAGTGTGACATAATACCAACTTAAAACCCCCGACTTAATCTAGCTTGTTTAAACAATAACATTTGGTGGTTGATTCAACGCCTCTCATGGGTTCGACCCTTTCTTGCCCTTGCTACTAGTTGAGTAGGATCAAGTTAGGTCTTATTTCTTGATAGGTTGACGACGTCCTATCAACTATCGAGTTACCTTCTTGTCGTGCACAGCAGCGTCTACCCTATCTTGTAGGGTATCTATCAGCTCTACAGTGAGAGTCTGCTTGTGTACGAACTGAAAACAGGAAGACAAAAAAAAAAAATATAATAATAAATAAAAAAAATAGAGCTGAATTTCAGAGGAAATGAAGGCAAGGAAAATTACCTGCATCATCAGCAGTTGGTTAGACCTGGCTGGGTCAGGAACTGATCTGCTGGATTCGCCCATCCCAGCAGTGGCCTTCAGCGACCAGATCCTTGCCCTATCTACTTCGGACATGCCAGCAAAATCGCCGAAGTAGGCTGCAGCTCCTTCTCGGTTCTGACCCCATATGAGGTCCCAGATGTGGTCTGGGATTGGAATTCGGGGGGCCGAGAAACCCATTTCTCCAGATTGCAGAGTCTGGGAGGAAGGGAAGGATGACGATGGAGCTTGATTAGCTTTGGATGGCTCAGCATCATCCTTCTCAGAGGAGTCAATTACTATGACCTCCTCTTTTTCAGGGGTGAGGACGAAAGCCTCAACCTCTCTTGCGATGTCCGCCGTGAAGCCCTCAGCACTGGACATCACGGCATCCTTGTTTTCGTGCTCAGCAGCACTCGCCTTAATTTCTTCTTGGACCGCTCCCTTAGATTCGGGAGTTCTCTGATCCACCTCCATCTCAGGAGGTGGCGGAGGGGTCTTTTGAGGTGATTGGGGTGGTGGCCGGGGAACCCTCGGCGATCCATTGCCTTCCTCGGGTTCCCTTATTGCAACGCCGATGGTCATCGGCCTCCGCTGAAAGTCATGAGGGCCGATGATGGCCATCCTTCGGCGCCTTTTCAGAAGGGGCTGCTCGTCCATATCTGAGTCTGAAGACTCTCTTTGTATTTGGTCTTCGGGACGAACAGGAGCTTTCCCTTCTCTATGCCTGTTACTCTCTTCAGACTGTAACAGACAGGGGGAGGAAGAATGTGAGTAAAAAAAAAAAAAAAAGAAAGAAAAAAGAAAGACAAAGTTGTCTGAAAACTCACCGAGGTCTTCAGCAAAGCCTCGTCTTCTTCAGCTGCTCTAGCTGCAGCTTCTGCTTCAGCAGCTCTGGAGGACCCTTCTCCTCCTTCGCAAGCTTCGAGAAACCGTGCAACCTCTTCGGCTGTACGGGCAGCTTCAGCTTCTTCGTCCAGCAGCTGAAACCAGGGGTCTCTCTTCTTCCACCAAGGCTTCTGCCTCTGATACAGAGCAACAGCCTCAATATGGAAGTGGGAAGAGTTTAGATGAACTTCCCTATGCCTCGGCTCAGTGATAGACGGGGCCCGTTCAGTTACAACTCGTTCTCGGTTGACACCAAGACGAGCGTAGTTAATGCCAACGTTGGTCTCGTCCCGCTCTGAAAAAGGAAAGGGGAAAGGTTAGTTCAGATAGGTTGGCACAGCATGAAAAAGCGAAGCGAGAGAAGAAAAAGAGATAGTTAAAAAGCCTCGGCCCCAGCCGAAGAAGCTTACCATCCTTAAACTTTCGGCTGAGGCCAACAGCTGCTAGCATGTTCTCTTGGAAAACGTAATGCGTATCGGGGAGCCAAGTCTCCGGGATATGCTGCATTCGGCCACTGCCCCCCCGGTTCGGCAGCTTGCCGAAGATATGTTGCTGATCAAGGTTCGGATCCACCCCGTTATCTGCGGGGGGACCTAGACTTCCCATTTCGGGATCAGGCTCAGCGAGGTACCGGGGAGCGCTGAAGACGCAAGGGTGGCCCGGATCTGTGGGTGCCCTAACCCAAATCCATTGACCTCTCCAGTCCTTGTCTGAAGAGTCGTTTGGCCACATGGTTAGGTATTGGGGCCGGGACTCAATCCGGTACCACCCAGAACCATGGCTTCCGTGCCCACTTTGAATATTTGGCACTAGCCGATGGAGCTTTTTGAAGCAGTGCAGGTTCGGCACATACTTGAAGAACTTGCAGACCCATAAGTATGTCATCACCCTTCGGATGCTGGTGGGAGTTCACTGACATAGAGAGATGTTGTAATGGATCAGCAAGTCTCGGACGAATACGTCCAAAGGGAACCTCAGCCCGTACTGAAGCTGTCTTGTGTACACCCCCACATACCCCGGGGGTGGACGATGGATTCTATCGGATGCCGAGGGCATTCGACACCAATACCCATCAGCTTCAAAAATGCCGTAATGCAACTCAATTTGCTCGGCAAATCGATATTGATCGGCATTCTCCACCCACCATGGGTAGGGGCGGTTCTTTATCATGGCCGAAGCAACTTCGGCATTCTCCCATTCTGAAAACCCGGGGAGGATATCCCAAAGGACAGCGGGAACTTCATCATCCCGTCCAGAAGCGCTCGGCTCCTCCGTTCTCTGAGGAGGAGCCGAGGAAAGGGGAGTCGCCCTAATCCCTTCAGCAGGGTCAGACTCTGGCCTTTGTCCATTCCAGGTCCCAATCCTGTTCCTAGGATCGGGAATCGGCCTTGCTCTTCTTGGAGCACGGGCTCTACCTCTAACTCCTCTTGCCATTGATTATTTCGAAGAAAAAAGTCGAAAGAAAAGGGGAAGGAGTTCGAATTCGAAGAAAAATAAACTAAAATCAAAGGAATTTACCTTAATCTGAAGCGAAAGTTGCCGATTTACGAGTTCGTAGTGGCAAGTCTCAGTTTCTAAGCTTAATGCTCGGGGAATTTGCGAAGTTTTGATGCGGGTTCTTGGTTTCTCTCTCGAGAATTCTGGGTTTGTGTTGGTGAATAAGTGAGGAGAGATGACGCGCCTCTGTTTATATCTCCAGGTATGGGATACGAGGAGTCTGCGTTTTAATTTCTCTTAAATACTCCACTAAGTAACCGTTAAACACATGATCTTGTGATTAAACTGCCCATTATCCGTCCAACTTCCACAATCAACTGCCTTAACCGTTGTTATCTCATTAATTACGGTTTAAATTCAAATTTTTGGATTAATTAAATCATTTACTTCCCTCCTTTTCTGAATTAAATCAAACCCGACCCGTCATCCTTCCAAATCGGGTCTGGGGGGCAAGTTGTTTGGGTCCAATTTAGTCCAATTGGGCCTAAGCACTAAATGATCCAATTAAAAGCCCAAGGTCAAGGTTCAACTCTCCAATTGTGCTAAAGTCAAAGGTCAGCCCACAAAGCAAGCCAATTTGGCTAAGGCCCAACCTCTCCATGTATGATGAGGTATAAAAGCCATCATATTGATTGATTCATGGAGGGATTCTGATTCATTCATAGATTCATATGTTCATTCATATATTCTGATATATTCCATAAAAGCCTCAAGCAACAAACTCTCTTGCATAGTGTCCTCTTCTTACACATTGTACCGACTTTAGCATCGGAGGGGCCTTCCTCGGCAACACCCCCGAGGCTAGTTTACGTGTGTTTACTGTGCAGGAAACCTTGGGCCCAACATAACTTGGACCGAATCCAGCCTTCTCCATTTCAGCGGACCTTCGGCAAGGTCCCATTGTTTTCACCCGAAACATTAATGATAATAGTACTTCCTCACGAATAAATCGCATTTTGAATATAAACTATTTGATCTAATCTGATATGGCCTTGTATAAACTGATTTTTCCTAATCAATTCAATTAAACTTATTTTTAGATGTGAGCTTGACTTTTTGTATTATAATTTGAATTGATTAGCTATTATATATTTATATTGATCTATATGCATGTGATATATATGCAAGGACAAATTGAGGTACCCCATTCCTATAGACTGTATAATAATAATGTACATACGAAGGTCTAACAACACATACATATAAACAACTAATTGATTAGATTACCTTTGAAAGGAGTAAGTTCCAAGTCAATAAGCTTTTGGTACTGAGCATAACCCAAAAGACCACAAGCACTAGCAGTCCAAAACAAAACATCAGGAATACCAAACTCAACAGCTGCATCAACCATAAAAAACATGGCACCATCTGATATAATACAGCTCACAGGAGGCACATCACCGGCCTCATTAAGGCCGGCGATGAGCTCCTTAAAGGGTTCAAGGCAGTTGGTCTCGGTGGAGGCACACAGAGAAGGGACATCCTGAGAGGAGTCAGCATCAGTAGGGGGCAGACCATCCGGTATGGTTCTAAAACGAAATGTTGGGCGATCAGCCAGGGACTCAGGTCCCTGGGATCGCAGTAGGCGATTGTGATTATATTCGGTGTTTACGAATGTAATGTGGAATCCTTTAAAGTGGAGGATTTTTGTTAGCTGTAGCATAGGGTTAATGTGACCCTGAAGGGGGTATGGGATGCATACAGCATGGGGTTTTTGTCCATCAACTCCTGATATTAAAGCTATGTTATATTGTTTAAGCTTATATCGATCGAAGAAGATTAGACAAGTTGTGTTACGTTTGATCTTTCTCCTTTTATAGGAGTTATATGGGTGAAGATATATTATTGTAACGTTTTTCATTGGAAGTGTACGTACGTATGTTGTGAGCATGAAGGCGTCATCAATATTGATTAAATGTATTTTTATATTTGTTAGGTAAAGAAAAAGTCGGGTCATATTTGAAACTCTAATTTAAATTTGATCTCATAGCTTCATGCCTGTCAGATGCAACCAACAAACAAATAATTTATTTCCAACAAACATATAATTTAACTAAATTTTTTTTTGGACATTTCTTAACAATCAAACTCAATTATGACCTTATTTGTAATGACACTAAAAATGTTTGTAGACACCAATAAGAAATGCATACCCAACTAAGATACTTTGTATTTATTTGGGTATCATCTTAATTATTGGATGGTTTGGTTATGTTTCATACTCAGCTAATATATATTTTCTTTGATTTGAAGTTGTTTGTTTTTTTCATTAGCCTATATATTGTTTTCAATTTTTATTATATTGTTTATAATTATTTTATACCTCAAATAATTTAATTTATAAAGTATATGCTTAAAAAATACATTTTTAAACAAGTTTATATGACAAGTGACACTCACATACATGTGGCTAGAGGTGTCAATTTGGATAATCGGATGGAGTTTGGGTCGGTTCTATTCGGGTTGGGTTTGTTCGGGTCGGATATGTTCGAAACAAAATTATCCTTTTAACTCGGATCGGGTCGAATCGGATTAAATTCGAGTCGGGTCAAATTCGGGTCATGGTCTATCGAGTCCGGGTCGGGTCAATTTCAGATCAATTCACTTTCGGTTCGGATATATTTGGATCGGGTTTAAAACGGGTTTAGCCGGGTAACTTCGGGTCGGATGAATTTGGATCGGGTTGATTTCGGTTCGGTCAAGTTCGGTTCGGTCAATTTCGGTTCAATTCCTTTTTGTGTTTGGCTGGATTTTGGTCGAGTTGACCAAAGTCATATCCAAATAAGGTTATTTTTAAACTAGAGATATTGTTTAGTTTTTACCTTATTATTGGGTCAATATGATTATTAATTACGAAGCACGAAGTTTTAGTTTTCTCATTTGATCAAGTTATGTGTAATTTTTATCTTTGAGGAAAATTGATATTGAATAATTATCGATGACTTATCATACCTATATAAGTGAGAAGTGAGATCGAGCTAGTGATATATTGACGAATAATAGTTATATATGGTGATACATACAAAAAAGTATGTCATTTGGATTCAAGTGATGATTTTCCATCTAAATGAGCATGGAGCTGTTTAAAATCTCATGCCTTGTATTTTTTGTGAAGCCAAGAATTTTTTTTGGAAGTGCAAGGCTTTTGTTATTTTTGAGGAAGTCGTACCCATAAGATATTATTGGAGTCGAAACATTGCAATGATATTAAATGCAACGTATTTTGTATATGAAAATGAAACTACTGAAAAATACCTAAGTTTGAATCATTGGATTATGTATATGTAATATATTTAATTATTATAATGAAAATGTAAGCGCTTGAGACATCCTTTAAAACTTTATTTATTTTGCTTTCATAATTGTTTCTTATAGGTTGCATCAGACTAGTAGTAATGTGATTTATATTGATATAATTGGTTGTAGGTGTTAGAGAAAAGGATTATTAGTTCATAAAATATAACAGAATGGGAGGAAATTCATTAAAAATGACAATAGGCTTTAGGCAACATTTAATTAGAGCTTTACAAGCAAATCAATTAACTCCCGCTTAATGTTTAGGTTTATTAGATCTTGTGGCATTTATTAAAGCTTAGAAAGTAAATTAATATGATTGATATGTACATGAAGTAAACTTAAGACTCCGGATTATTTCTTTATAGTCAAAAAGTTAACTTATTAATAATTAGTAAATAATTAATTATGATCGGGTTAAATTCGGATCGGGTAAAAATCAAATCGAGTTAAAATCGGATCGGGTTAATATCAGTTCGGGTCAAAACAGATCGGATTAGACCGGTTATTTTTCGGGTCAATTTCGGATCGGGTTGAGCTCGGGTCGGGTCAAATTGGTTCGGTTTGAGTTCAGGTCGGGTCAAATCGGATTCAGGTTGAGTTCAGGTCGGATCAAATCGGTGTCGGGTTAAGTTCAGATCGGGTCAAGTTCGGATTCGGGTTGAGTTCAGTTCGGTTACAGATCGAGTTTGAGTCTTGAATTTCTCGGATCAAATCGGATCGGTTACAGTTCGAAACGGAAAATTTTTTTCGGGTCGGGTCGATTTTGACACCTCTACATGTGGCTTGTTCTTGAGATTTCGACTTTATTTTTTTACTCATCCATTAAGGCTTTAATTTTAATATGGACGGAGGTGTATGAAATGTTAGTTATTTATGTACTCTCTCTGTGTTCTTTTTAAGTGTTACAGTTTGACCGACACATAGTTTTAGGCAATTTAACTGACTTAAATAAAATAAGAGGTAAGTGGGGTAGTTGGAGTATTAAAAAATTGTAAAAAAAAATAGTGAAGTTAATAGTTTATTGAAAAATAATAAATTTGAGAGGAGAGATATATATAATTTAAAAAATCAGTAGTGGGTTTTTGGATGGGGATCATGAGAGGAGAGTGATATAATATTTTAATGTAGTTTTTTGTCAAAAAAGGAAGTGTAACACTTATTAAAACACTGCCAAATTTGGTAAGTGTAACACTTAAAATAACACGGATGGAGTATTTATTTTTTAACATATGTGAGATAGATTCATACATCATAATACAAGTATTACCATATATATTGCTAATCCAATTCCAATAATGTGCTGTCCTGTAAAATTATGTTGAAGTCGTCTATTATCGATCTATTGCATAATTTTGTTTAAAGAAAGTCGGCTTTCACAAATTCACATGAACGACTTCATTCTAATCAATGATTGTCTGCTCATTTGGTTGACAACTTGACACTAACGTTTCAAAATTTTCTTTTACTTTATCTTAAATTTTTTATTCGGTGATTGATCCTTCTTTTACATTGTGTCTGTCTTATATGGAGGAGTATACGTACACAGGTTGACCTTTACAAAATTAAACTTACAAAAATGAGTATAAGTTAATATGATTAAAATGAAAATTTGGTTTTTTTGCACTAATGTATATTTCGAGACAAATTATACAATAAAACATGATTGAACATGATTTTCTTATATATGAGCTACAAAAGATGGTTACACGAGGTTATATATATCAATATATATATGGTTGAGATTATTTAGTGTAAAGTTGAAAATATTGTAAACTAAAAAGTAATAAGGGATTTTATAGCTAATAATATTTCTAGATTTGATAATGATTACTCCTGCATAATTAAGATATTACAGAGTATTAATAAAATAAAACAACATATATATTACTCCGTATAAATTATAGGAGTCTTTCTAAAAAAATATAAATAAATAAAAATTATAGGAGTGATACAACTTTATGGGGCCCGGTAAAAAGATGCACACTCAATACAAAATTACAAGCAGAAGCACAATGATTTTATTTTCCCTGATGTGTTGTAGAATGGGCAAATACTTTCAAAGTTGAGCAACCACAATAATATGAACAACATATAAGTTAATACTTTCTTTTATTCACGTTTATCAATGCACTTATTCAATTATTAATATCTTTAACTATCGATAAGCAAATATTATGAAAAGTTGTCAAGTTGATATTTTGAAAATATATAACATGACGAATCTAACAAGATCCCACATGACTATATTGCTCCCACAAGATCCCACATGATTAAAATGAAATTTTGAAAATATTAATAACTAACCAAATATTAATAACTACATATCAACATATAAGAACTAACCAAATTCTGAAAATATTGCTCCTACTTAGGATGAAACTTCAAACCGAAATAAAACCATATTAATTCGGTTTCGGATTTTTCTACCCTAACACACCATATTATTATTAGGTCCAAACAAACTACATCGTTTTGAATTTGATTTTTTTTTTATTTTTTAATAAAACAAACAAACAAACCGCATTGCAATATTTTGGACTTAGTATTTTGGGCTTTAATTGGTAACTTTTTTGGGCCTGACAAACTAACCTGTTTTTAAGCCTTATATAGCAGGGCTGAAAATTAGATTTGGGCTAAAATTCAGATATGGGTATGTATTTCGGTTTTCCAAATCTTAAAATTGAAACCAAATCGCATTTTTTACATTTCTGAAACCACACCGAACTATATTATTAAAATAATAATAATAAACCCGAACCACATTACCTATTTTGTTTGGTTTGCGGTTCAGTTCGGTTAAGTTTTATACCGTTTTAGTTTCAACCTACTCCCACTTCCTTTGCTTTATTTTCAATAAAAGGGGCTTCGAATGGTCGAGCTTGTTGATTAGTGAAACCAGAGTTCGTTTGTGGCTAGAGGTTCATTTGATCATTTCTTATGGAGCCCAAGCATTTAACGTGACTTTTAAAATTAAATTAAATTGGCTATATACAAGTATTCCAAGTATATAAATATATTTTAGGATGACAATGGTGCAAATATCTTGAGCTTAAGTATTAACATTTCTTATTAGGGAAAGGAAAATAGCAATATTATACAAATTCATATAAACAACTTGTGCAATAATGCATGAAGTTAAACAATTGGTAGGATAAAAGTACACAAAAAATAAGGTCACAAATTGGTGCAAAGATAAAACATACTTGAATTCTTAATGATAGAGTATAAAACATGTTTCTGAGCCTCAACCATCAGCGCAACTTACTTTATCACTTAAGAACCATTTGAATCACACAAATCACTAGCACTTCGTCCAACAACCCGCATAACTAGATCTTAGATCAAATTTTCCTAGGACAATAGCTAGGACTCTAGCACTTTGATGACCTTGTCCAAATTGTTGTAAGAAGACCCATTTGGAGTAGCAACAGCCTCACTAGCCAACCTTTTCCATTCAATAGCATTCCTCTTCATGTCCTTCCCTTTCTCTCCTGCCAATAACTCTCTCACTTGCCTCTCAACTTCACTCCTCTTCACATTCGCATCGATCTCCATCCCAATCCCCCACTTGTGGCAAGAAAACCAACAATTAGTCTGTTGATCCGCGAAGAAAGGCCAACAAATAATAGGCACCCCACTAATCAAAGTCTCAATTGTCGAGTTCCAACCACAATGAGTCAAAAACCCTCCAACCGCGGGATGAGCCAACACTTGCTTTTGGTTACACCAACTAGCAATTAGTCCTCTTCCTTTCGTCTCCTCTAGAAACTCCGGTGGGAGACTAACCGAATCACCTGTGACTAAATCAGGCCGCGCAATCCAAAGAAAGGGTTGGTTGCTATTAGCAAGTCCCCATGCAAATTCCATCAATTGATCATTAGTCATAACAGCAATGCTTCCAAAGTTAACATACACAACAGAATTAGGCTCATACAAATCAAGCCATTCGAGGCCACGTGTGTCCTCTTTCCATAAACTCATGCTAATCGTTTTAACAACTTCGTCATTTCCACCTTTACTTGAATCATGTAGGAGCTGCAACGGGCCGAGAGTGTAGAGGGGTGGGAAATCAGTGGAGAGAGCTTCGAGGGCATCGTGCTCCAAGGCATCGAAAGAGTTTAAGAGGATCGACGAGGCTTGTTTCAACTTGAGGATCATTCGTTGAATATAATGGAGAAAAAAATCATCAGGATTAGTGGTTCTAATAAAAGTTGGGATGTCCTTTAATTGGCAACTTCCCTTCATTGCAGGAACCCAATCTACGACCGTGTTAAGGTCACCATTTGTAGTGAAATTTGCATCTGCATATACAATAATTATCCACATTAACACACTATAAATCAGCAATTAACATTAAGGATAACATTTTGTTATTACGGAGTAATACAGTGGAATTTGAGTCTAGCTCTTTTAAAGTGAGTAATTATCTAATAAAACTCATATTTTGCGAGAAAATACCTTATAAAAAAAATGTTGTAATAAACTACCTAATAAAGGTAAAATGTTGTAAAAAAAAACTACCTAAGAAAAGGTAAAATGTTTTGAAATACTACCTATACTGAATTTTCACCGTTGATCGACCTCACAACACTCTCAAAACCACTGCTTTCATTCCCAAAACTAACACATGCAACTTGCTTGCAATCGTGTCCACCACATCTAAACTACCTTTCAACCCTAAAACCACACCACCTCTAACCCTAAAAACCACCATTCTGAAGCACTAATCTACCCTGACCAACTCGGAATATCCTTCAACCACCGCGAAAATAACCGTACCTCCTTGAAAACCAACCCTCACGCTGGTTTTGGGGGTGTTCTAAGGTGGATCAACATCATAAAATTAAATCAACGATAGAATTTCGGTCTAAGGTAGTACTACTTCCGTTACATATTATTTGCATTGATTAGACATTTTTCCTCTCTACTTTATGTCAACTCGTTGTAAATAATATGAAACGAATGTAGTATATTACAACATTTTATCTTTTATAAGGTAGTTTCTTACATTTTTTTTTATTAGGTAGTTTCTCACAAGTTTTAGGTTGTATTAGTTAATTTTTGACAAAAAATCTCTTTTTACTATTTATATTGGAGTAGCTTTTAATTACTCCTTATCTTACCGTAAGTTTCATAAGGATAGCATTTTTAGAGTAAATTACAAGCCGTGTACAATGATTATAGTATACCTGGATATTTTTAAAAGTTTGCCTAAAGTTAAGGCATAGTTTAATAGAGTGCCCCACATTACATATATTAGAAAGTGAGTGAGAGTGAGAGAGAGAGTAAAATAATTATTGGCTGGATTTCACATACAAGTAGATCAAATGATGAGTTGAGACAAATATTTAGATATTGACCAAATATGTAAGATAAATATTTAAGAATGTATGGTGTACAAGTTCTTATGCTTAGGCAAATAACACAAGTGACCCACTTAGATTTGAACTCTCATGAGGACGTTTAATCGAGTCTTGATTGACCCACTTAGATTTGAACTCTCGTGAGGTCAATCGAGTCTTGATTGGGATAGCAAATAAAGCCTATCTCTATTACAAATAATTAAATAAATAAATAAAACTATTTAATGAAACAATGATTTTGTTGAACATACTTTACCAAAACAAAGATCAGCCTGGACCAGATACAATTTGGTCCACGAAAGTTAAAGATAAAACCGTCGAGAAAGGCCATCTAGAGTATAGTAGATAATACTCTATTTGTCATAACACATTTTTGGCAACACTCCAAAAACAGAATACATAATAGTTTCACTCTAACAGCAAGTCAGCAAGATAGTTATCACCTCATCCTATCACAAATTTGTTCTTTGCTCGAGTATGTTCGGATGTGTATTCATAACGAAAAATATACTGTTGATGAAATGTTGGAGATATTATTTTTTTTATTTTTATTTTTATTTTTTACAATGGCGAAGATATTATTAATAGCTTAGGGTACTTTCAAAAGACTCCCTTCATTTTTTAAATGTTATTTTTGAGATTTTGCACTATATGTGACCTTTGACTTAATTTTTTTTTAACTAATATATAATGTATATGTTGATAGATTTGTCACAATTTCTATACATAAACTAGTTATTTTTTTTATAAAATTTTTAGTAAATAAAAATATTGATTGTCAAATTTGGTGTCTCAACAAATGTGCATACCTGAGTGTAGGATTTTCATTTTTTACACAGAGGGAGTAACTAATAATAGGGTTTCTCCAAAATCTTGGTCGTTTAGGCCGTAAATAGTCTAATTTCTTCGGAATTTAGACTATTTTCTACCATTTTTCCCTTAATTTTATTTAGTTTTTCAGTTTAGGTTTCAATAAATCTACACAAGTAGTGTAGATATTCGTCCGTCTCCGTATGGTGGAGTGTCTCCCTATGGTAGAGTCGTTAATTTTAATTAGTTTAGTTGTTCATTTATGTTTAGGGTTTGTTTGTGTGTTAGGGTTTATAAAAAAAAGGTAATCATGCATCTTTTGCAGTATTGTCAGTTCTTTGGTAAAGATTTGTTCAGGATCGCAACAGTTGTCAAGTTTTCAAATGCGTTCAAGCAAATCAGATGAAAATCATCTTTACGGCTACAACAAATTGTTAGACCGTCTCTCCAAAAATGTTGTATATTCCAGCGACGTGTGTGAGAGATGTACCACATTGCAAGATCTTTTCAACAATCGTAGCTTAGATGAAGAAAACCCTAATTTGATTCAATTTTATGTATTTGTTAATTTGGATTTTATTTGTAAATGTCGGATGGCTTTTTATTAATGAATGGATTTGTTTCAAAAAATAATAATAATAGGGACAATATTATCCGAACTTAACTTATTAAAATTTATGATAAACTAGCTAATAAAAAAATGTTGTAAGTAACTACTTCATAAAAGGTAATAAAATGTTTTAAGTTACTACCTTCAGCTGAATTTCTACCCTTGACCTAATTTTATGGCGTTGACCCACCTCAATACACATTCAAAACCACTAAGGGGGTTGATTTTTAAGGTTGTAAGGTTATTTTTGGGATGGTTGAAGAATATTCCAAGTTGGTGAAGGTAGTTTCGTAATTCGGGATGTTGGTTTTTGGGGTTAGAGGTGGTGGTTTCGAGGTTGGAGGGTGGTTTCAGCATGGTGGAGGTAATTTCAAGCAAGTTGTGATGGTTTTGGGGATGAAAGTAGTATTAGTTTTGGGGGTATTTTGAGGTGGGTCAACGGTGCAAATTTGATAAAGGTAGTTATTTACAACATTTTACCTTTAAATGGGTAGTTTCTTATAACATTTTACCTTTTATCAAGCAGTTTCTTACATATTTTTTTAATACATAGTTTCTCACAAAATTTGGGTTTTATAGGTATTTTTTGAAGGAAAAAAAAAAGTCCTAAATCTTACCACTTAATCATTATAAGCACCCTGTATAATTATAAGTTACATTTCATTTTTCTTATAGTAAATATTTTTGTTTTTATAATTTAATATTTGGATATGAATAATTAGAATTTTACAAATTCTTATATGTGTTGACAGGCATTATGGAGATTACTTTGTTAATGTTATAGGGGTTATTTGGTAAGTGTAGCATGACTTACTCGGTCAGTGATATAGGAGTTACTTTGTCCTTCTATTAGCGCGCAACTACATGGTGTGATCAACAACACAAAAAATGCGTTGTTATGATTTATGTTACTAGTAGAAGTATTTAATTGGGATAAAATCATGGTCGAAATTATGAATTGAATTGAAGCCAAAATATAAAGGCACGTTTGTATTACCTTTGAAAGGAACGATTCCCAACTCAACAAGCTTATGGTACTGAGCATAACCTAGAAGACCACAAGCACTAGCAGTCCAAAACAAAACCACAGGAACACCAAACTCCTTAGCTGCATCAATAGTAAAAAACATTATACCATCAGAAACCACACAACTTACAGTAGGCACATCGTCTGCCTCATTAAGGCAGGCGATGAGCTCCTTAAAGGGTTGGAGGCATTTATTCTCAGTGGATTCACATAGCGAATCCAAATTCTGTGAGGAGTTGGAGTCGCTAGGTGGCAGCCCATCCGGTATGGTTTTAAACCGAAAGGATGGGCTGTCAACCACAGCATCCGGCCCTTGGGCTCGTAGTAGACGTTTGTGAATATACTCGGTGTTTACGAAGGTGATGTGAAAGCCTTTAGAGTGGAGGATTTTGGCTAGTTGTAGCATTGGGTTTATGTGGCCTTGCAATGGGAAAGGGATGCATACAGCATGTGGTTTTTGCCCTTTAGCTTCTGATATTGAACCCATTTTTATGTGTTTTTTTCCCTTAAGTTTCAGCTTTAAGTGTGGTTGGAGATATCAAATGTTAAGTCCTTGCCTTTTATAGGATTTGAAGGGGTCATCATGCAATGAGCACGTGATTAATTATTTTATTGGCCATAAAAATAAGCTAAGGATCCAATCAATTATCAGTGCACAAGATGGCAAGTGAGTGGATGTGTATCGTCTTCATGTTAAATAAAGTGTGTATCTTGTTCATAATAAAGTTTATGTGATTGATTTGGCTACTTAATATGATGTTAGAAGACAAACCTAACCTAAAAACTAAGTTGATGGTTGAATCTAATGATTAGTGTATGCACTTTATAAGGCCCCTTTTAGTATGGACTTCTGGCCCTCATATCCAGCGCCACATATTTCACTTGCAATTGAAAGTGGATAGTGAATTTTCACGTTGGCAATACTATGTTAGAGGTCCAACTCAACCAAAAAAATTAGCTGGTTGAAGCTCATAATTGATTTATAGCTCTAGCATATAAGTTTGATATGATGTTAGAAGACAAACCTAACCTAAAAAGTAAGCCCATAATTGGTTTATTCATGTCGTACAGTGATCAATTATTATTTCTCCATTCGTTCTTCAATACAAGGTTTTTTTCATTTAATAATATAAACTCATATGAGGCATTGAGTTGAGGCCCATATGATGTTTGTTCCATTCAGTATATAAATTATGCACATTATGCTTAAAAAAATATGCACATCTCATTTGAGTTGCACAAAAAAAATTGTATACGTAGTTGTAAAAAATATGCATATTCAAGATATAGTTGACCAATGTTTAAGGCTATAAACCTTGTCATACAGATGTACAATTAAGAAAAATCAAATCCGTCAATATATAGTATCAAAGCTAGCCTCTATGCTCGAAAACTCTAAAACCTAAAAACTTAAATTTAAATTATTGATATCATGTGTGGAATTGATTTTCCTCAGTTGTATTTCTGTGTGACAAGGTTATATATATACAGCCTTATAAATAAATTATGCCTTAAATATTGGCCCAAATACTAAATACAATATTAGGGCTTAACAAGTAATGAAATTGAGAGTGAGGAGTAGCTCAAGTGGTTAGAGCTCCCCTCTCGGTTCTAGGTAATTTTAAGATCGATTCTCATCACCTGCCCTTGTGCTCTCTAAATACCAAAAAAAATAAAAAAATAAAAGGTTTACATTTGACAGGTGAGGGGGTACTGCATAAAATTGATGTTACGCTTATAAATAAGAGAAAACTTTCTTCTAATAGTAGAGAAATGGTTACTTAAATTAACAAATGAGTTTTTTTTTTTTTTAAACGGATGTTAGTCATGTAATAAATTGGGATTACAGTTGTTGACTTAATAAGGTTATTCGTATAAATCATTGAGGTTATTAGGAATTACGAATAAGAGTTATTCTATATACAAACGTAGTCACACTATGTGGCTAGCCATACATACACAAGACTTGCTGAATTATAAAAAATTTATACTAACATGTGTATTATTCAAATTATTGTGTGTTGCAAGTAGTGAGTGTAGGAAGTAAACAAATTTGTTTATTCTTACTAATTACCAATACAAATTTTTTCTGTTACTAGTTGTGGTCCACCTCAGCTCTAAACATATACGAAGTATAAAGCTTGTGAGTTGTGGCTGTGTATAGCAAATTGAATACACGGTTTCTAGAGATTGTTCGCAACATCCTGAGGAGCTAGAGGTCAAATCTCTAATCATGGAGTTGCGTTTTCGTTTTTTTAAAGACAGAAACGTTTTTTTTAAAGATGGTAACGTTTCATGTTATTTAGCTACCATAAGATTTACAATATCATTGAATTTTTGGAACTTACTTACCCATTTTAGAATAATTACAACAATTTTACATACACATATTATTCACAATTAAGATGATGGAATATGTAGAAACGAGTATCTTTTATTGTATTAGGCTTTTTTTTGTTCGTCTACCGAATATTGAAGATTTAGGATTTTATAATCTCAAGCTGAATTAGTGCTAACTCAAGAATTGTATTGTTTCGAAAGAAGTTTTTTTATTAAGGCAATCGCTAGTTGATCGAATATGAGATGTAACTAATCTAAAGGTGATTTGAAGTTTTGTTAGAATTTTAGATTTCCTAGATTTTGCTTGTAAGTACCATTTGGCAATCTTCTGTTAGAGAAATCCTTTTTCTTGTAAAAAAAAAAATATTTTCATGTCTCATCTCTATACTCTCAAGTTAGGAAAATACTCTAAGCACATCATAACATGTGCTAAATTCACCTATCTTGGGGTTGACAAAGTTTAGACATATAACCCAACTCACCAACTACATTCAACATTTCCGTCACAAACTCACAACTATTTTTTAAGAGGTTTCTAAGCACATATTAAGCATCGAGTCAAGACGTGACATATTTACGTGCCTAGCCCAGCTTTTATTTTTATTGTCATGTTTCGTAATGGACTTATGTACAATGAGATTGTTCATTTTGATATTCATTCATATATGGAGTAGGTGTTATATGTAGTAACAAACAATCCTTCTTTTCATGAACAAAACAAAATACTATGTGGTAAACCTGGCAATCCTGACCAGCTAACCCGATATGAATAAGAAGTTAGAGAAATCCAAACACAAGTCAAAAATTTGATGTACCCCAATTTAAAGCCAGCAATAGGCAGCCTTGCAGCCCAATCTTACCTGGGCTTGGCCCAGTCTATGATTGTAATATACTCCGTAAAGTTTCTTTTGTTTGTCCAATGTACTAGTACTTGTATAAAAAAATTTATTTGAAGAGAGAAATTTTATTTGTGAGCATCACCATTTTATGTAAGAAATGAGTAAAATCTTATGTAAGATCTTGTTAGTATCGTCTTGACTTATAATTTAAATTTTTTTCCAGCAAGCATTTTATATTTTTGGTCTCAAATATGTCCAATGAAAACATACAAAAAGTAAATTGGTACAAACTAAACTAAAAACATAGAGGAATACATGTTAATAGGTTAGTTTGTATTGTAAGTTGCTTGTCCTTCTTCTTAGTGATTTTAGACCTATTGGTTTATGTAATTCTATCTATAAGCTAATAACTAAAGTCATCTCAAATAGAATCAAGCCCTTGTTGGGAGATCTTATTAATCTGGTCCAATCTAGTTTTATTGAGGGAAGAACTATTGATGAGAACATTTTAGTCATTAAGGAGATTGCTCACCTCTTCAAAAAAGCTAGCAAGAAGAAAATTATGGCCTTCAAAATTGACATCTCTAAAGCCTACGATAGTTTGGAGTGGGGATTTATTAGAGAAACTCTTTTAGGTTTTAATTTTCCGGAAAATCTTGTCAAACTCATCCTAAATTGTATTACGACCCCGTCTATTTCCATTCTTTGGAAAGGAGAAATAACGGAAAGTTTCACTCCTTCAAGGGGAATTAGGCAAGGGGATCCGTTGTCTTCCTACATTTTTGTTCTTTGTCTTGAAAGACTCTCAATCATGATCGAACAAAAAGTGAGGCAAGGCCATTGGAATCCAATTAAAATAGGTGATGAAGTAAGTATTTCTCACTTATTTTATGCGGATGACGTTTTTCTTTTTGGTAGAGCTTTCATTGAAAATGTTAATACTATCAAAAATACTCTTTTGGAGTTTGGGAATAAATCGGGCCTTTTCATTAGTCCTACAAAATCTAAAGTGATCTTCCCCCCAAAAATGTGTCTTTCATTAAAGATCGCCATTCTTGAATCCTCCAATATTAAGGGCGCTCCTTCCTTTGGTAAATATTTGGGTGTGAACATTAGTCCTAACAAATTAAGGAAAGCGGACTATAACGATCTCTTGATTAAAACTAAGGATAGAATTAAGGGTTGGCAAGCTAAGCTTTTAAACATGGCGAGAAGGACTACCTTAATCAAATCGGTGCTCAATTCTTATCCCTTGTATGCAATGCAAACTACTCTCTTACCATGTACTATCCTTGATGATTTGGAGAAAAGTTGTAGGCGCTTCCTTTGGAATAAAGTAGATCGCTCTCACTACCTAGCTAGAACAAGTTGGGAGAAGATTTGTCTGCCTATTGGTTTGGGAGGGTTAGGAATTAGGAAGTTGAGAAATTGGAATCTTGCTTTTATGGCTAAATTGTGTTGAAAAATTATAAATGATCCTAATAAACTTTGGGTTAGGATCCTTAGAGCACGTTATTTTAAAAACTCATCATTTCTCAATTGTTTTCCTAACCCTTCCGACTCTCCCCTTTGGAAAGATATTCTTCGGGGAAAGGATCTTTTCTTGAAAGGAATTGCTTATAGGGTTGGAAATGGGGAAGACATTTGTCTTTGGTATCAGCATTGGGTGGGAGAGGCTCCTTTTTACAAAATCATCGAAAACCCCATTCTGGATAGATTAGCCCATTGGAGAGTTAGTGACATAATTAGAGGGGGTAAGTGAGACTTAAGGAGAGTGAAACACATTATCCCTAGCCATATTTGCAAATTAATTGAGCTCACTCCTCTTCCCTCTATTGCTGCCGTTAAGGATTCTATTTGTTGGAGACTTGAGTCTCACGGTCAGTTTTCTATAAGGAGTGCGTATAAGCTTTGTTCCAATTACACTAATCACCCCTCTTTTCCTTCTTTAAATTGGAACAAGTTATGGCACATTAAAACCCCCTATAAGTAAAAAATGTTTCTTTGGAATGCTTGCCACCAAATTCTTCCCACTGCCTCTATTCTTCAAAACACTATTCCCAATTTTAATTCCGTTTGCACTCGTTGCGAAATGGATAATGAGACCCATATACACCTGTTTCGTGATTGCATTAATTCAAAGGTTCTCTAGTCAAGAATCTTGACGGGGAATAGGTTAGATAAGGATTTTAACTTCCATACCTTTTACAACTCCAACTGGTCTGACTGGGTTCGTTACAACATTAGCCTTGGAATGAACTGGAAAGTCATTTTTACAGTCGCTCTTTGGCATATTTGGAGGATAAGAAATCAGGCCGTCTTTAGGCTTGCTATGGTTCATCCTGTCACCTTGTTTAACAGATACATGGTCGATTTGGTGGCTACTATTAATGTGTTTCAGGGACCTGAAGGTGATGCAAGGATAAGCAGGGAGGAGGTTGTCTGGTCTCGGCCTGCTCGTGGTTCTGTTAAAATCAATGTCGATGTAGCGTGGCAAAACGAGGAGATGGCAGGGGCTGGTGCGGCAATCAGAGCCAGTGATGGAGGTTGGCTAGGAGGATGCTCATGGAAGATTACTGCTAGAAAGCCATCAGAAGCCGAGCTTTTGGCCATGAAGGTAGGTATGATCGTGGCTATCAACGCCAGATACAAGAAGATCTTGATCGAAACTGATGCTTCATCTTTGAAAGGAATACTGGAAGACCTAAGGAAGAGTGGCACTCATGAACTAGCTGCCATCCTTAAGGATATAGGGGAATTACTCAAGGGAGCTTCTAAATTTGAGTTCAATTACATCCCAAGGGAGGCTAATGAGGTAGCCCACCACTTGGAAAAGTTCTCTCTTCAAATGGAAGGTCACATTACAACTCATGAGGCTGTCCCTCCCACTGCAAGGCCAGCTTATGAGAGGGATTTAAGGAACAGCGATGGAGACAATTAAGCAGGTTATTAGTTGGTGGAGTTATCTATTCCCAGATTGTTGTGCTAGTTTCTGCGGCAGTAGTTGCTTTTGGACTTTGTTTTTTTCTTTGTTGTTTTGGCTTTGTTGTAACTGCTTAAGCAGGTTTCCAAACTTGTGGTGGATGATTAATTTTTAATATAAGTGTCCTTTTTTCCCTAAAAAAAAGTATTGTAAGTTGGAGTAATGAAAACAAACTACTCCCTCTGTAACTTTTTAATCTTTATGATTTGATCATTTATTTCTCAAAAAAAGATGTAAAATGTAAAGATTAAAAAGTGACCGAGAAACTAATATCGAGCAGGCAGCTCTTGCCGGTCCTACAATTGAAAGCCTTGCAGCAGAGTTGATCTTATTAGTAGGGCATTAAATCTTCCTGATATGCGTGGGAAAAGCATATACACTGTTATTTCATGCTAAACTACCTTCTATTACTCGGCCTATATATGTAGCCAAATGTAGGTAAGATAGGAGGCACTCACATAACCATGATACCAAAGAAATCCTGAACAAATTTTTGCAATTATGAATATGACTATTAATCCTGGAGTGGATATAAATATTACATGTTAAAATATTAATCAATTAAACAAAACAACCCAAGATTCTTACAATATACTTTTGGAAATTTTGACAATTACCACCTTCTGTTTAGTCCATTTTAGTAATTACCACCTTCTATTTTTTATTTTTTTTTTGAAAATTACCACCTTCTATTTTCAAAAACATCAAAAGTTACCACCTTCTTGCCTCCTAACTACTACATGACATCATTTTGGGCTCATTCTTTCCCTTTCCTCCCTATTTCCCTCACATTTCTCATTCCTAACTCGATTCTCATCCCCCCTTTCACTTTTTTCCCCCAAACAATCAAAAACACTTCAATTCACTCCTCCAAATCAAAATTGACGAACAATTATTGGTGGTTTGGGGGAAAAAAAGTGAAAGGGGAGATGAGAATCCAAATAAGAATGAGAAATGTGAGGGAAATAGGGAAGGAAGGGAAAGAATGGGCCCAAAATGACGTCATGTGGTAGTTGGAGGGCAAGAAGGTGGTAACTTTTGATGTTTTTGAAAGTAGAAGGTGGTAATTTTAAAAAAAAAAAAAATACAAGGTGGTAATTGCTAAAATGGACATAACAGAAGGTGGTAATTGTCAAAATAACATATACTTTTGTATCAAACATTTTTAAAAAAAAAAAAAAAAAAAAATTAAAAAACACACGCACACAAATTTATGGGGGGAAATTTAGAAATATCTGAATCGCACAAATCACATCCGACTAGATGTATAGCTATAATTCAAAACTTGATCAAACTTTTATTAAAGGGACCCTAGCACTTTTATGACCTCGTCCAAATTGTTGCAAGATGATCCATTTGGAGTAGCAATAGCCTCATTAGCCAATCTTTTCCATTCAATAGCATTTCTCTTCATGTCCTTCCCTTTTTCCCCTGCCATTAACTCCCTCACTTGCCTCTCAACTTCACTCCTCTTCACATTCGTATCGATCTCCATTCCAATTCCCCACTTGGTGCAAGAATACCAACAATTAGTCTGTTGCTCGGCGAAAAATGGCCAACATATGATAGGAACCCCATTGATTAAACTCTCTATTGTCGAGTTCCAACCACAATGTGTCAGAAACCCTCTTATAGCGGGGTGTGCTAAAACTTTCTCTTGATTACACCAACTACTTATAAGTCCCCTGCCTTTCGTCTCTTCCAAAAACTCCGGTGGGAGAACAGCCGAATCTCCTGTGACTAAATCAGGCCGAGTAATCCAAAGAAAGGGTTGGTTACTATTAGCAAGTCCCCAAGCAAATTCTATCAATTGATCATTAGTCATAACAGTAATACTCCCAAAATTAACGTAAACAACAGAGTTACGCTCATAGGAGTCAAGCCATTCTAGGCAATGTGGATCTTCTTTCCATAGACTTGTACTAATTGATTCAATTTCTTCGTTTTTGGCGGCCTCTAGAGAATCGAGTAAGAGCTGGAAGGGTCCTAACGCGTAAAATGGAGGGAAATCGGAAGAGAACGATTGGAGAGCTTCGTGCTCCAATGCATCAAAGGAATTATAGAGGATCGCGGTAGCTCTTTTCGAGTTATGGACTAATCGTTGCACATAATTGAGCATAAGTTCGTTAGGGTCCGTGGTCCTAACAAAACTTGGCATGTCACGTAGTCGAATGTCCTTCATTCCGGGTACCCAATCTAAGACTGCTTCAAGGTCACCATTTGTGGAAAAGTTTGCATCTGCATAATAATTAATGTAACACAATGATATGATTAACGTCAATTTCTATATCGAATGAACCTTCACACGTCCTAATTATTGAAAGTGAGAGGTACGTTAGATAAAACTTTATGCAACTAATTAAGCACTAGTCAACATAATAACAGTGATAAATTTGCGCAGTTTTAAAAAAAATTCTTTCTTTTTCGTGCTACACAACAAATCCTTTAACATATAGTCAAATAGATGATATTGTTGATTAGTTTGAAAAAATTACTGATAATTTGGCAATTACTTTTTTTTTTTAATGATGTCTTCTAACATCACGCAACAATTAATTTATTAAATATAACCCTCAATCAAATAAAGACATAATAATTATACTAAATCATTGAAAATTTATTGAAAGTGAAGTGGTTAAAGCTTCCCTTTCAATTTCAGGTAATCTTGAGATCGATTCTCATCACTTGCCATTGTAGTTCGAAGTTAGAAAAACATTAAATATAAAAATAGTATATTATTTTTAAGAAAAATTAAAGAGAATAGGGTCTTATACTAATTATGTTATATGTAGTAACTACAAATTCCCATTACTTTTTACTACGTATGATATTATACAGTTATGTGTATGAAATACCCTACATGGATCACGTGGAACACGCTGTGTGTAATTGTATATAACATTAGCTAGTATTCACTTTGTCAGTATCTTTTTACGAGTATTTGTTATTTTTTTTTTTCCCTCAACAAAAATATAACAAATACTCGTAAAATGTTACTGACAAAGTGACAATACTAGCTAATGTTATACACAATTACACACGACGTGTTCCACAAGATCTATGTAGGGTATTTCATACACATAACTATAACTATAACTATAACGAGTATTTGTTATATTGTAAAGTAAAAATAAATTAATTATTTCCACAAATTCCGGGCCCATTACCTAAATAATGTCGATAACTTGTTAGTATTGTAAAGTACAAATAGATTTAGCATTTTGTATGTAGTCCCACATATTAGCTAGGTGTATTACTGGTAGGTGTTGCAGCAAACAAAATAAGGTAGTAGTATTTATTATGTATAAAATACCACTATTATAGCTCTACATTGTATTAACTTTTAACCATTAGTAGTAAAAAAAAATTGTGAAATTTTAAAAAAGTAATTTTAACATGGACTACTTATAGAAAATTAAAAATCACTAGTTCATTCTATCATTACTTTCTAGTTTTTCATACAAAATATACTGTAACTCGTATCATTTTAACAAACATACTTAATACTCCGATCCATTGCTTGTTTTTTGAAGTTATTATATCCAAGTATTATGTCACCAAACTCTCAAAAAAATATTCCATTTAGACATTTGTTATGAACTTATGATATTATACACAATTGTTATTAGGAGGACTACTATATAACTGCAAGATAATAACTAAACAACTACGGAGTATAATTATAAAAATTACCTTTAAAGGGAATTTGTCCTAATTCCACAAGCTTTTCATACTGAGCATAACCCAAGAAGCCACAAACACTAGCAGTCCAAAGCAACACAATTGGTACGCCCAACTCTTGAGCCGCATCAATCGTAAAAAACATAGCACCATCAGACACTACACAACTCACAGGAGGCACATCGGCCGTCTCATTGAGACGGGCGAGTACACTCCTAAACGGACCAAGACAATTAGTCTCAACAGAAGCACAAAGTGCTGGGACATCCTGAGTGGAGTCAACATCATCACTCGGGGGCAGCCCATCGGGTATTGTTTCGAACCGGAAAGACGGGCGATCAGCAACAGCTGATGGCCCGCGGGTGCGAATCAACCGGCTATGATTGTACTCAGTGTTTACATAGGTAATATGAAAGCCTTTAGAATGAAGGAGTTTGGCTAGTTGTAACATGGGATTTATGTGACCTTGTGCAGGGTAAGGGATACACACAGCATGTGGTTTTCGCATCTTAATTTCTGATAATGAACCCATAATTATTCTTCTTGATTTGAATGTGATTAAATTATTAAGACTTAAATTTTAGAGGTTGAGATATGTTATGTTACGTAGAAAATGATCGACTTATATAGTAGTGTAGTCGACTAGTCGAGCCATAGTAAATGTATTACTACCTCCGTTGCATATTATGTGCAACAATTAGACATTTTTTCTCTCTACTTTATTTCAAATCGTTGCAAATAATATGTAACGGACGTAGTATGTATAGGGCAGGAGTGCCGAATGCGTGACGCATTCACATATGCAACCCATAATTCCCATCCGCCCAAATTGGCTAGTTTAAATGCATGATAATTCAGACAGAATTCGGTCACATCATTTATTATTTAATTATTTTAAAGCACTTTCTTCTTTACAACTTGATTACTATATTTGACTGTATAATCTCCATGATACGTTTAAACTAATAATTTAAAATAAAATCTTTCATTTCTTAATGATTAAAAAATTAAAATTTACTTGAATACATGCATTTATACAATTGCAACAAAGTTCCCTTTAATTACAATTATATTTTTATACTACCTTAAAAAAATTGGTATATTATAAATAATACTTAAAAGTTACACATAATAATTAATGAAGGTAGTACTACGTACTGGTCGATTTAAGTTTTGACGCAGCATATCAGTGAGATTATTATAATAATATATAACAGAGTCAAAGGATCTAATATATAATTATATATTAGGACGGAGTATGTCAGATGCACAATAACAGTAGGATCCTTGAACGAGATTGTTCGGCGGATGAAGAGTTCAAATGCAGTCAATAAAGTCTGCAATCAAGTTGAATGGAGTTTTATTTTCTTATTGATTGAATTTTGGGAAGACGATTATTTTGTTATGATTATATTCCATAATTTTTCACTTTTTCTGTCTCGCTCTATAAGTTTCTTTTTATTTTATTGTCATATCCAAAAAGAATTTTAGCTTATACAAAAAACTTATAAGATTATTGCAAAGTCTATAGTTTGACTACTTAATTTTTCACTTTTTTTACTAAAGAAAATTACATCAACATTCAAATGTTGTTCCTAAAAACTGAAACCTAACTAATACAAAGGTACTATTCTGTACGTATTATCTAATGAAATAAATTAATCAATTTATTATCTGCTAATTTTAAATGTCAATATATATCTTGATGTATGCAATGATTAAATATCACATCATTTATAATCGGTTGTTGTTGGACGATTAATTAGCTTCTCAAAATTTAATGTTGATCAATCTACGATTCTACGAGTATATACTTTATATAGGGTTATTTTCACTTACAACATTTTAATTTTACACTATTTGTACACTTTTCTTAACAAGTTTCTGTGATATATGATGAAAACAAAATGTTTTAGGTTTTTATATACTGTTACAGGTTATGTGCAATGATTAGACATTTTCTCTCTCTACTTTATGTCAAATCGTTGCACATAATATGTAACGGAGGTAGTATTAGATTTGTATAAAAATATATTTCGTACAATTAATAGATCAACTTTTTATATTGTTAACATATATTAATAAAATATTATAAAAAGACAATTGTGATGACCAATATCATGTATTAATAAGCTTTAAACTTTATGTGTGTGATGTAGGGTTGTTTATTGGTCTAAGCCGGACCGGATCAAAAATTAGAAATTTAAGAATCGATGACCGGACCGATTAAGCTGGAACCAAACTTGGACTAGACCGAAAGAATCGATTAAAAAAAACCCGAACCGGACTGATTTGGACCGACTTAAATTATTTTAAAAAAAAAGAATTCTAAATTTTTTTATAATTTAATAAAAAACTCCAAAAAAAGTAAAGAAAAAAACTATATTTTAACGTCTTTTTTTTGTGTGTGTTTAGTACAAAGAAGCTCATAAAATTAAAGTATTATAAGCTTATTAAGGATAATGTTAATTATTATTTAAGGTTTCACGCATATTTTTTTTTTAAAAAATCGCTCTGGTCCAAGACCAGTTTTTATAGGGTTTTGGACCGGACTAGACCAAAGATTGGGAAAATAAATTTCTAGACCCAAAGACTGCGGTTCAGTCCAGGGTGGTCCGATCCATTTGTTCGGTCCGGACTAATTTATAAACACCCCTAACGTGATGGTGCAAGTAAAAATTAATACTTGTATATGAAATACTGCGTATTAATTACATTTGAAACATAATTGTTGTTGTACATTTTAACTAGTTCGCTTGTATATGCAACTTTGACTCGTTTGATATTTTTTAATGAGCACAATAGCATTGGGTGCACCTTGCACCCGAGGGTACATTATAAGTTTTATATGTCTTACCCTCGAATGAATTCTCTTATAATTACATTCAATTACGTAAACACGTTAATAGAAATATGATATACAATCCATATCACAAAAATATATTTATAAATATTGACTATGTCTCATATCTCTAAGCTCTAACCGAAGTAGAAGACATTTATGACTTCATGTGTAGGGTGATTGAAGAAAACAGTTCAAATAAGAACCAAAGTTATAAACAGAGAAATTTTCAGAAAAGAAAAAAAAATTGCATTGAATCGGTGAAGAATACATACGTCGGTGCAAAAAATTAATTAGACATTACTCAAATAATATGTGATATAAGCAATTATGCAAATATATTGAAGTAGGCAATTTGCCAACTTTCTTTCAACACCCCTACAAGTTTTGTTCTTTTTTTCAAGTATTAATTTGAACATAAGACTTATAATTCACTTTAATATCTAATACTTTTTAAAACATCACCACAAAATCTTTAAAATCAAAGTGAAATTATAGGTTATTGACACAAACTCATTCATACTTCATGGGGCATGAAACTAAGATAGAGAGAATAGTTTAAAGAAAATCGTGAAAAACGAGGGAGAGAGGCCTGGAGCCCATAGAAGAAATCAATTGGCCAAATGAAATACTATATTCATGGGGTATTGGTATTACATTTGAAAAGTTTTGATTGCTCTATATTATATGTTATTAAACCTGAAATTCAAGACTAAAAGAAGTCAAATAAAAAAATTATCACAACGTATGATATGATTTTATTAAAAATATCCAATACAAATGTTTAATTATTACGAAGTATAAGTTACACTAATACGTACATATTTATCTTACAAATTACTAAATGTGTAAAAATGACTAAAAAAAAAAAAATACTTGTAACTTTTTTTTTTTTTTGAGGCAAATACTTGTAACTTAATATACTTTTTACAGGATTATACATTATTAAACTGTTATAATTAATTTGAAACTGAAAATATCCCATGTCCACGTATAACAGATAATGAAAGCAATGATGCAAATGAATTAGGTAGCTTGCCAACTTCCTCCAAACACCACTAAATGTTTTAATCGATATATTATTTTATAATATTGCTTAGGATAAGAGCAATGATTTTTTATTCTATAGAAAAATGGATAAGACGAATAATCTAAAATTATCTTTTACATTGGTTTCGACTTTAGAGTACTGTTTATCTCTCCTAGCAGGTTTTTTCAAGTGCAAATGACATAGAGCACTTTTTTTTTTTTTTTTTGAGATAACACAAAAATTAGCTATGCTAGCATAAATTAGTATTAAAATAGATAAATAAAAACATAAAAATATACTCGTATATACTCCATCCGTTTTATAATAATCGCAACACTTTGACCAGCACATATGTTAATGAACAATTTTGACCATTAATATTTGTAATTCTATAACATTGAGCGAGAAATATAAAAGATTAATATAATGAAGATATACTTAAAAACTAATTCAAAATTTTTTTTACATGTCAACATAGTTTTTTTTTTTTTTGGGTTTTTTTATATATTGGTAAATTAAATTAGGAAAAAGTTATATGAAGGGCTACATATAAGAAACTAAAAGTGGAAAGAATAGACATTAAAATACTCCGTAACATTCATTACACCGATTTGCTCGTGAATCGTCGATAAATTCTCAACTTAGGTCGTGTTCTATTCATCTTATTTTCACTTATTTTAGGAAAAATAAGTTCCTATAAGGTTTAATAAATTCAGATAACATAAATAAATAAATAAAAGTTCAGATAAATTGTAATAAAAGTTAATTAGGGCTATCCAAGTTCAATTTATAACTAAAATAAGTTCTAATAAGGTCATGTTCTATTCAATTTATTTGCACTTATTTCAGGAGATATAAGTTCAGATAAGGGTTAATTAGGATTTGTTCAATTCACCTTATTTTCACTGATTTTAGGTGTAATAAGTTCAAAATAAGTTTAATAAGTTTTTATAAGGGTTATCCTAGTACAAATTACAACTTAAATAAGTTTTAATAAGGTCTAATAAGTTCAAGTTCAGGTAAGTTTAAATAAGTTCGGATTAGTGAAAATCAGGTGAACATAATACACCCTTCGTATAAGATAAGTTTAGGAAAAATAAGTGTTGTGATAAGGGTTAATCAGAGTTACCCAACTTCAATTTATAACTAAAATAAGTTTTAATAAGACCTAATAAGTTCAGATAAGATCAGATAACTTCAGATATGATCAGATAAGTAAAAACCAGATGAATAGAACGCATCATTGTTCAAATAAATTCATATAAGATCAAATAAGTTCAAATAAGTTTGGATGAGATCAAATAAAAATCAAGTGAATAGAATGCACCCTTAATACTAAAAAAAAAAGTATATAAAAATACTCCGTATAATCAAAGTAGGCATATAAATAGTGCAAAAATCAAAGTGTTGCGATTAATACCAAATAATGGAAGGAGTATAATCTTAGTCAAAAACTAAAATAGGAATTAATTAAGTGAAATTCGGAAAATGGTATGATTGAGAATCTTTTTAGTGTTTAGAGAGAGATAAAAGCGGGTGAGAATCAATCCCAAAATTTTCTGAAATCGAAAAGAAAGCTCTAACTAATGTGATTATCCTTCACTCTCGATATGATTGAGAATATACTAAACAAAATTACATCAAATAAAGCGTATATTTGTCAGTCTAATACATGTATGTATCTAATGCTGTTCATTTATTTGGTGTCAATTACTCGTTGAGTCGTAAAGTCGTTGTGTAAGAGTTAGAGTAGAATTGAATATGAGTTAATTCTCCATCCTCTTCCCTGTCGTTTCCTTCCCCTTCCCTGTCGTTTGGAAGAATCGTATTATTATGTATGCAACGTCAAAAGGATATGCATAAAAGGGACAGTTTACTTTAATTCAATTCAATATGGAGTATGTTTCCACATTTATTGAAGGCTAAAGCTACCATACGACATTAAATATGTTTTTTTAAGGGCGATATTAATTACATTAACTATTTTACAACAGTTTATTAAAATTAACTCAATTCCCAATACAGATATTTATGATTAATAAAAATACTCTCTCCGTCCCTTAATTAGATTGTTAATCTTGGTGGCAAACTTATAAATATAGTTGTATAATTTTTTATTTATTCATATTATTGCATAATTGGAAGTTTAGTTTACTCAACTTGCATGTGTAGTTGACAATGAAAGCAATATAGCAAATAACGGAAGTTTTCATCCGTTAACATCCATGTCATAAATTTGTCATCCATGCGTAGGATAGAGAAACCAGATTTCGAGCTTTGGGGTAAAAAAATTAAAGCTCAAAATTAATTGCAATGGGGGACCTTAATGGAGGATATTAATGGAGAACGAGGCCAACCCTATCCTTAAGGATTCACCAAACCCTTAATTACTCCTTTTTTTCAAAGGGTTTTCGTTTTATTCGGTAGCAAAGCCGCCGAAAATGGTTGTGTTGGTGGAGATAGAGGAAGGAAGAGGAATCAACTTCAATGGAGGAGGAAGAAGAAGAATGAAGTACAAGAATACAACAAACGTAAGTTATAATTGATCCAAAGAAGTATGTACCACTTTTATGCATGTACCCTGACTTCCAAGTGAATAGCCGAAAATATTCCCAAATAAACGAGGTATCGTTAATCTAGCAGATGAACTGGGTTTGCTAGATATTAATGAACTAAAAGTAACCTCATTTACTAATTTTAGTTTCTCCATTTTTACCATTAATAAAAATAAAATGCTATACATAGCATTAAAGGTTAAGCAAAAGAAGGTAAAAAAAGAAAAGTAATAAAATAATGAAATATATTCATTAATTACACCTTTTTGCGCCTAATTTTGTGAGTTAAGAGTACAAATAGGTACTCCCTCCGTCCTTAAATTACATTCCTCTTTCTAACATTTATTCCTCACATAATAGAGTGAAAAAGAAATGTAATTTAGGGACGGATGGCGTACTCAATTCTTCAAATTTTCACCTTTTAGGTACTTAATTTTTTTTCTTCACCTTTTAAGTACTCTAACTAATTTTCAGGCTAATTAACTCACCACTAACCATACCTTATTTAAAAATTAATTTTTACAAAAAAAAAAGCATTAATTAATATTTTTGTTGCTACAAAAAAAAACTAGCCGTTATTAGGCTATTTAAAGGGTTTTGAACCAAGCAAAAAATTGTCATGAATACACCAGCAACAAAGTAACGACAAAATAGAAGCAAATCCAGTTTTCTTAGGCTAATTTCATCTTCCACGATTTTTCTAGGGAAAAAAAAATTCGGAATAGCTGCTGCTTCATCCAGTTCATCCACTCTGTACTGTAGCCTAGTGTCATCCAGGTAGGTGAAATTTTTTTGGAAGAGAGCTACAAGAACAGAAACTAAGCCTCCCTTACAAAGTGCAAAAACAGAAGCATTCAGCTCAATTATGGAATGCTACCACTATACATAACACACTGACCATAATTTTAAGTTAGGCACTTCAAATTGACAACAAAAACACACATAACACCATCAATCACACATACACAGTTGAAGCAAAACCTCCCCTGTTTTACTTCTCAAAACACATACTTTAATCAAACACTTGCGCAAAATATACAACCACTACAAGAATGAAGCTGTATTCCGATGGACAAAATCCATCGGAAAAAATAAGAAAACCGTCGGAAACAAAATTACCGATGGCAACCATCGGTAATTGTCCGTTGGAAGCCCATACATCGGTTATCCAGACTTTACCGATGGACAAGCCATCGGTAAAAAAAATTACCAATGGTTTTACCGATGGGGAAACACATCGTGGAAAATTATATTTTTTTCCGATGGTTTATTCCATCGGTAATAATTTCCGATGGTTTTTTGCCATCGGTTTTATTAAATCACCGATGGTTTTTAACCATCGGAATAATTCCAAAAATTACCGATGGCACTATAACCAACGGAAAATCTGAAAATTTCCGATGGTGTTACCATCGGTAAAATAATTTGTAATTATACATATACATATACAAAATTTGTAATTATACATATACAAATTAAAAAGCCATCAGTAATTGTTATTGGTTTTTTTTAAAAAAAATAAAAAAAAAAAAATAGGTACTACTGATTATTGGCGATATTATCAAACCTGTTATGTACCATATTGAGAACCTGCATTTTAATGAAACCTGATCATGCATATAAAACTACAAAGTTGTACACACAAAGAGTGCTTGGAAACATATATCTTAGTTGATGCATACACACTAAGTTCATAATACACTAAATATATAAAACAACCGAGTTCTTACTACCATACTAAGTCAAAAGGTCATGCTAATCTAAGTCAAAAGGTCAAGCTAATCTAGATACGAAACCCTATACACATGCTGCCCCTGAATACCACCCACATCTGGTTCATCATCGCGATGTTGCCTAGGAAATGGGGGGGGTATCAAAGTTGTGGGACCTATACTACAACATCCCTCTTCTAATTTCCTCAAGCAAAAACTCTTGTCTCTTCTCCATTTCTGCTCGTTTGGCGGCCAAAGCTTTCTCCACTTGTGCCTGAACTTGTGCCTGTACTCGTGCCTCCACCTCATTCTGCACTTGTGTCTGGAACTCGGCTTGGAATTGAGTTTGCATTGCTTACACCCTCTCTTCAAATTGTGTCTGTAACTGAGACACAATGGACGGTGTGTATGATTGGGAAGCACCATGTCGTGCTGGAGTGCCATAGTACAAGTGATCATTCTGACCTAGTCCTTTCACATAACCCCTGTTTCGGCCCCCAGCTGCCTCAAAGTACACCTGGTTGGGATCACAAGCCACACCCTGACTACTTGATTCATCCATTCTTTTCTTGAAACGTTCCTGCAATTAACATGTTTGCTTATATTAAAGGAACGAAATAACATGGTATACTAAACATCTAAGTTTTAAAAATTCATATAATTCACACTAGTTACAACTTTCTAACACTTCACATAACCATTATTTTGCACATTTAAGAGTTTTAAGGTACAATGTGCACAAAACTAGTTCAAAATGGGCATATTTTGGTACTTGCTTTCCTATAATCCACATATTCATGGAAATGCTTGAATAAACACTTGAATCATGTCTTAAACATGTAGTTACAACTTTCTAACACTTAACATAACCATTATTTTGCATATTTAAGAGTTTTAAGGTTCAATGTGCACGAAAATAGTTCAAAATGGGCATATTTTGGTACTTGCTTTCCTATAATCCACATATTCATGGAAATGCTTGAATAAACTCTTGAATCATGTCTTAAACATGAAGCTACAACTTTATAACACTTCACATAACCATTATTTTGCATATTTAAGAGTTTTAAGGTTCAATGTGCACGAAAATAGTTCAAAATGGGCATATTTTGGTACTTGATTTCCTATAATCCACATATTAAAGCAAATGCTTGAATAAACACTTGAATCATGTCTTAAACATGTTGTTACAACTTTCTAACACTTCACATAAACCATTATTTTTCATATTTAAGAGTTTTAAGGTTCAATGTGCACGAAAATAGTTCAAAATGGGCATATTTTGGTACTTGCTTTCCTATAATCCACATATTCATGGAAATGCTTGAATAAACTCTTGAATCATGTCTTAAACATGTTTTTACAACTTTCTAACACTTCACATAACCATTATTTTGCATATTTAAGAGTTTTAAGGTTCAATGTGCACGAAAATAGTTCAAAATGGGCATATTTTGGTACTTGCTTTCCTATAATCCACATACTAATGCAAATGCTTGAATAAACACTTGAATCATGTGTTAAACATGTATTTACAACTTTCTAACACTTCACATAACCATTATTTTGCATATTTAAGAATTTTAAGGTTCAATGTGCACGAAAATAGTTCAAAATGGGCATATTTTGGTACTTTCTTTCCTATAATCCACATACTAATGCAAATGCTTGAATAAACACTTGAATCATGTCTTAAACATGCTGTTACAGCTTTCTAACACTTCACATAAACCTTAATTCATAACATTTATGACTTTTAAATTAAGGAATTTTAAATTATCGCAATCTCCAAAGCTTTCTTACTAGCGGGAACGAACTGTTCCTTTTCCAGGAACTTCTTTGAAGTGAGTGCTCAAGAAAACTTCTCCTGCGTGTGGCAAGACACCTTCTTTAGCCTTCGCCTATAAAACATAAAAAACAGTACCATAGTATTGAAATTTGAAAATTTTTGGATTTGTAATTATGTAATTAAATTAAGCTAAAACTGATTCTGTCCATACCATCTTCTTTGCATGTTGGGAAGCAGATATCGAACCTTGGAAGTGCGACGGTTCAATTTCATTAGACAGGGAACCGCCCCTCCTATTCTTCTTGTTCTTCTCTGATCTAGCCATGAATTCTTGATTGGTGTTGGGAACATCCATCATTGTCTTGTGTGCTTCTTCATTCATCCATTTTGGCTTCTTACCGTTCATTCTTTTGGTCACTTGGTTGAACATGTCACGAAGGCGATAGCCAGCTTTGTGGTGGTATCCTTTTCTTACTTGGGCATCTATGGCATCATCCTATTCAAACTTTTTCTGCATTCACAACAACAAAGTAAGTAGGACAAATTTTAAAGACTAACTAAAAAACAAGAGTATCTACTACATCTTACGGTAAACAAGTTCCACTAATGTTCTTTAGTGGCATCGTCAACTGTTCCGTAGTTATGTCAGCCATATAAAAAATAGCCCTTTATGCACTTCGAGATGGCCTTACTAACCGAACTGTCGTCGAACCTAGAAATAAACCAAAAAGCAATAAGGGTATTGTCGTTAGGATTACTTAAATGCATACAAATTTAAATCATAGGTTTTTTACCACAAGTCGGTCGGGTGTAATCTCTTCTTTCCAGATGGCTGTGAGCATTCTCCTTGCTGAAACTATGTCTGGCTCTGCGTATGAGGGACTTGAGTGTTATTGCTGAGTCCCAAATACGACTCGTCCTCATCCTGCGTCTCGGAGTCTTGCATTTCACTATCTTCTAAGTGACGAGATTTATTCACCTTGGAACGAGAATCCTTGCCTTTACCTTTTTTCCCCCTTCCTGTCATGTTAACCTATAACGAAAACAAACACTACACGTAGGTTAATTACATGTAACCAAAAAACACTTAAAATTTTATGCAAATTAAAAATACATGTAACTAAAAATTAACCTCAAAATTACATGTATCTAAAAAACACTAAAAATATATGCAAATTCTTTATCACATGTAATAGTCTCCATAAACTAATTAAAAAAAATAACATGAACGTTTCAGGGACAGATTTAAAACACAATATAGCCATTACTACTCAAAGATGCATGGTTCATGACATCACAAATATTAAAACTTAGCAAATTAGAATCAGTACTAGGATGAATTACAAACTACTACTGTGATTCATCACAACTAGGGCTGGCAAAAGCTGACCCGACCCGACAACCTGACCCGAACCCAACCCGAAATAAATGGGTTTTGATAGAGATTTTCAACCCGTTTATGTAATTGGGTCAACCCGAACCCGACCTGAAATTAAATGGGTCGGGTTCAGGTTGAAAATCCCAACCCGAAACCAACCCGCATAAACCCGTTTATTTAATTGGGTCGGTTTCAGGTCGGGGTCAACCCGAACCCAACCCGCTTAACTTAAAACCCTAATTTTAAAATATGGGCCAAGCCCAAATTATCTAACCCTAATTCCCTAAAGACCTAAAGTCCTAAACGGCTAAAACAATCCCCTCTTTCTCTCGCCGCTTTCTTTCACTCAAACTCTCTCTCTTCTCAGTTTATCTCTCTTCTCTCCTCTATTTTCTCTCTCTAACTCTTGAAGATTGAAATAAAAATTCTTGAACCTTGAAGCTTCATCTCAAACATTCTGAAGGTAATAATCCTATTATTCGATTTTTTATGAGTTTGTTTGCTCATGAGTCATTTGTTTATGCAATTTCCTTGATTTGGTTATGCAATTTTCAGATTTCTTTGATTTTTTAATGCGATTTTTTGCTATTATGGTTTATGTATGCTTTGTTTATGTGATTTAATCATTTAATGTTGTTCGTTTGTTATTTTCTTACTCTGCAATTTCTTTCGAACATTTGATTTGTTATTTACTTATTTTGCGATTATTTGCGATTTGTTTATGCGATTTTTTGCCCTGATTTGATTTTCTTACTCTGCAATTTCATGAGTTTGATTCTTTATGTCATGACTCATGAGTTTATACTTTTGTTTTTCATGTTTTATCTTTTATGCCATGAGTGAAATTTTTTTTTAAATTTATTCACAGATGGCTAATAGCCCTAATCCTGATGAACCCATTGATCTTCCGGATTCTGATTCAGATGATGAAGTTTCTGATTCTCATCAAACGGAATCAAAGAAGAAAACCTCTAATGTCACCTCGCTGAATAAGCCTGGAATTCATTTCAAGCGCCAACGAAAGCTCACTTCAGATGTGTGGGCAAATTTTGAATTCCTTGATAAACCTGACGAACAAGGTAACATCATTTGCAAGTGTAAAAAATGTGGGCAGAAATATAATGCTGAAAGTAGGCAAGGAACTGGTAATTTAAAACGCCACATTAAGAAATGTAAAAAAAGGACCTTTAAAGATGTGGGTCAGATGATTATTGATTCAAGCAGTTCTGGTTCTATGATGAATAGGGTTCCTACAATTGATTATGATATTGTTCGTGAGATGTTGTATATTGCTGTGGTGAAACATGATTTGCCTTTTTAGTTTGTTGAATATAGTGCTGTTAGGAAGTTGATTAATTACATAAATCCTGATGTTAAACTTGTGTCTCGAAATACTTTGAAGGCTGATGTTCTGAAAATGTTTAAGAGGGAAAAAGATAAACTTAAGGAGGAGTTGAGTGTAGTTAAGGGTAGGATTTCTCTTACATCTGATTGTTGGACTTCAATTACTACTGATGGTTACATGTCTTTGACTGCCCATTTTGTTGATAATCAATGGAATTTGCAAAAAAAAAATTCTGAACTTTCGTTTTTTGCCTCCACCTCACACCGGTGTCCATATGTCTGACCATGTCTATGATTTGCTTAAAGAGTGGGGTATCCAAAAGAAAATCATGTGTATTACTCTTGATAATGCTTCCTCTAATGATGTGTTTGCTGATGTAATTAAAAATGAACTTGATTTGGTATGTGGGGGGGATTATTTCCATGTGAGGTGTTGTGCACATAATCTAAATTTAATTGTGCAAGATGGGTTAAAAGAAATTAATGAGGCTGTTGTTAAGGTGAGAGAAACTGTGAAGTATTGTAAAGGGTCTCAGGCTAGAAAGCAACGTTTTTTGACTTGTGTGGCACATGTTGAACTAGACTCAAGTAGAGGATTGAGACAAGATGTCCCTACTATATGGAATTCAACTTATTTGATGTTAGAGAATGTTTTGTACTACAAAAAAGCTTTTCTTCATTTTCAAAAGGTTGATGCCAATTACATTCATTGTCCAACAAATTAGGAGTGGGGGAGAATAGAGAAGTTATTCAGATTTTTGAAGGTCTTTTTTGATGTGACAAATGTTTTTTCGGGTACTAATTATCCTACCGCTAATGTATACTTCCCAAATTTGTTGAAAATCCGTTTACTCTTGAAAGAGGAGCTTGAAAATTCTGATAACTTCATGCATAAGATGGAAGCAAGAATGAATGAGAAATTTGCTAAATATTGGACCAACTTTAGCATAATCATGGCTGTGGCTGTTGTTTTAGACCCTCGATTTAAGTATGAGTTTGTGGAGTGGGCTTTTAAGAAGGTGTATGGGGAAATAGAGGGTACTAATGAGTTGGTGAAGTTTAAGGAAAGGTTGGATTATTTATATGGTGCTTATGTGACTGAGGCTTCCACAACAACACCACGAACAAGGCGCCGTTCTTCTAGACAGCCTAATGAAGAGCAAGTTGATGTTGCTTCTGATTCTTTTATGATGGTAATTGTGAACACTTGCTTTTTGTTTGATAATCAACTTTAAATTCTGTTTTTTGTATGCTTTATTGTAATTTTTGTTTAAACATCTTTTAGGACTTTGGTAACTTCTCTTCTAGCAAATCATATGTTGCTGCTAAATCTGACTTGCAAATCTACTTGGAAGAGCCATTGATTCCTCGTTCAACCAACATTAATATTCTATATCATTGGAAAACAAATGTTGTGAGGTATCCAATTCTTTCAAAGATGGCAAGGGACATCCTTGCAATCCCTATTTCAACAGTAGCTTCAGAATCTGCCTTCAGTACTGGTGGTCGAGTTTTGGACTGCTATAGAAGCTCTTTGAAACCAAACACAGCAGAAGCTATCATTTGCCTCAAAGATTGGACTTTTGGTGAAGGTATGAAAATAGTTTATGTATTTAAAATTACAATTTTTTTTGTTTCTTTTGTGTACTATTTTATTTATGCTTAAGGCTGAAATTAACTTTTGTATGTATTCTTTTGGTTGTAGCTAATATGGATCCGCAATTGCAAGATTTATGTGGAAAAATCATGGCCATGAAAGTCAACGATGATGTGGGGGATACTCCCAGTCCCAGCCCTCCACAAAGTGCACCAGAAAGTCCTGCTGTCATGGAGAGTCAAACCTGATTATGTTGTTAATTTCTTCTAAAATTAGTTGATGAAACTGTTACTGTTATTTTGGACATGTATTTGGTTTTCTAGTTGAACTTTTATTTGCCTACTTGGAAGTATTTTGGTCCTCACAACTATCATTACAATCATCGACATCATTACATTAATCATCATCACTGTCCTCATCATCAATATTTGATAACCAAATGCAATCATCCTCGCCATCCTCACTATCACTTGAATCAACCTCTGCCTCATCATCGCTGGAGAATGAACCTTCTTGAACCAAATCCTCATTGTCTGAATCATCATCTATTTCTTCAGTACCAACACCATAGTCCGGAATATCATTTGGTGCACATAATATTGTGGTGGTGTCACTAGTTGTTTCTTGCAAAAATTCCATGTCCACGGGAGCATCAAAAACTGATCTGGCCTTTGTCTTAATCACAACCCACCATTGTGCTCGATCTCTTTTCAAACTCGGGTAGGGTGCAAAGTACACTTGACTAACCTGATAAGATAACACAAAAGGGTCGTACTTGGGGTATTTCTTGGTGTGGTTGACATCGATGATCTTGTATTCCTCATGTACCATCATCTCCCTGACAGAATCCATCCACTTGCATTTAAACAAAATGGTCTTATATGATCTAGTAGGACTTGTGTAAACGAGTTCAATAATGTCCTCTAAGGTCCCAAAATACTGACCCCCTTATGCATTTGAAATAGAATCACCATAGTTCATTGTTGATTTGTATCTTCCGGTCATCTCTGTTTGAAAATTATAGCCGTTTACAAATATTTGCTTCCAAGTCCTTACTTGACTAAAAGGGCGCATTGACAATGCCTGCACGATATCATCTGCTGGCTTATCTCGAATTACCTAAGGAATACCCAAATAATTCCATAACGTGAGACAAGTTATTAGCACTTAATCTCTTTGGACAAGTAAAAAGCAAATATTACCTTATCACAAAACCAATTAGGAAACTCTTTCTCAAATCGTTGCCACACATCTTCTCTACGGAAATTAGGTTGTGTGTGAAGAATGTGATCCTCAAACTCCCTAATAAATTCAAACAAGCAGTAATTGATGGTTTGCTATATAATCTAACTCCGTTACATAACAAAGTTGGTACTTTAAAGTAGATAATTTTGGGGTTACCTTTCATACACCTCTAGAATGCCACAGTTTGATAAGACATAAAGGTGTGCCCTTTCAAGTTCCTTAGAATCCAGATAACGCAATCGCCCAGAATTAGGAACACGGCCACAATCAACCTTGAAGAGTTCAAGGACTTTGTTATTAGGTTCCATCTTAATGTCGACCGCGACATTTGCGTTTCTACTAAGATCCCTAGTTTTGGTATCAACACCATCTTGGAAATAATTAGAGCAAAAGTTTGCAATTTCCTCCGTAAGGTACGCGTTGCATATAGATCCTTCTACTCTAGCCTTGTTACCAATTTTGCGTTTCAAATGATTCAAGAACCTAAAAACATAGACATCCTAGTTAGAAGTGTACTGTACTGACATTTTTCCAAAAAGTGAAATTGACAAAACGTAAGACACATTACCTCTCGAATGGATACATCCAACGATATTGAACTGGGCCGCCTACTCTTGCCTCGTATGGAAGGTGAATAGGCAAGTGCTCCATAGAGTTGAAGAAAGCAGGGGGGAAGATCTTTTCAAGTTTGCAAAGAATCTCAGCAATGTTGTTTTGCAGACGTTCCATGTCAGTATGTGTTATAGTGGAGCAACACAAATCTCGGAAGAATTGGCTAATTTCAGTAATAGATTTCCAAACATGGGCGGGGAGCAACTCTTTCAAAGCTATCGGAAGCAATATTTCCATGAACACATGGCAGTCATGGCTTTTCAAGCCATGAAGTCTACATGCTTGCATATCGACACACCTACTCAAATTAGAATCAAAGCGTACCCATCAGGAAACCGTAACTCTCGAATCCATTCGCACATGACCTTTTTCTGAGACTTGTCGAGGGAAAATGGTGCCTTCGGTTTGGTCTTTTTACCTCTTTCATCAGTTACAACATGAAGTCCAGGTCTCTTGCAGTATTTTGCAATGTCTCTTCGAGCACTGATCGTGTCACAAGTCTGCTTTTTAACATCCATCACCGTATGAATGAGTTGATCAAAGAAGTTTTTTTCGATGTGCATTACATCTAGATTGTGACGTATAAGCAAGTGCTTCCAATAAGGAAGCTCCCAAAGAGTGCTTTGCTTAAACCAACCTTTTTTGGCCTTTTTAAGCAATTTCAGAGCAGCAGGACCATCAGTTGCCTTTGCCAGGTCCTTAACACATTCCCATAATTCTAGCCCAGACATAATATGCGATGGTGACCCCTTTTCAACTTTGTTCCTACAAATAGCTATTTTGCTTTTTCGAAACGGGTGATCAAGATCAAGAAATTGTCGGTGACAATCAAACCACGAAACTTTGCCACCATGATCGAGCCAGAAAGCCTTGGATTTTTCTAAGCAGTACGGACATGCCTTCTTACCAGCAGTTGACCATCCAGATAGCATACCATATGCTGGAAAGTCGCTAATGGTCCAAAGTACGGCAGCCCGCATAATGAAGTTTTGCTGCTTAGAAAGATCAAAGGTGTTTGCCCCAACATCCCACAATTGCTTAAGTTCTTCAATCAGTGGTTTCATATAGACATCCAAGTTGCCCTTTGGGTTTTTAGGACCAGGAACAAGCAGAGACAAAAACATGAATTGTCTTTTCATGCACATTGAAGAAGGCAAGTTATATGGTGTCAATATCACTGGCCAACAGGAATATTGTCCTCCAAACTTACCGTGAGGAGCAAATTCGTCGGTGCACAATCCAAGTCTCACATTTCTAGGTTCTGGGGCGAATTCTGGAAAGGTCTTGTCCAAGTGTTTCCAAGCATCACTATCAGAAGGATGAGCCATTGTGTTTGCAACTCTAGGATTACTGGCGTGCCATGTCATTTCTGCTGAAATGTTCTTTGTTGCAAACAACCTTTGCAACCTCGGTGTAATCGGGAAATAAATAAGCACTTTCAAGGGCACTGAACTTCCTTTTGAAGTCTTGCTATACCTTTCGCTACCACACACTCTGCAGTTGGACAAGTTCACATCATCCTTCCAAAACAACATGCAACCTTTTGGACAGGCATGTATCTTCTCATGAGGAAGCTCTAACCCGTTAACTACTTTCTTAACCTCGTAGAATGCCTCTCCCATGTTGTTATTGTCAGGAATTGTTTCATTCATCAAAGAAGCAAATCCATCCACACACATGTGAGGCAAATTGTACTCACACTTCAAACTTGTGATTCTAGATGCAATTTCCAGAACAGACATGGAACTCCCTTCATATAAAGGACGCTTAGATTCCTCCAACAAATTAAGGAATTTCTTAGCTTGAGGATTTGGCTTTTCCTCCTCAAAATGACTCTCTTCTCCACCACCCATGTTAGGTGGGTCATTCCCAAGGGCATCCATAATCATGTCACGATATAGATTAGGTTGGAGAGGTGGGATGATTGGAAACCCTTCACCTTAACACAACCATTCATGTTAGTCCTCCACAAAACCCTTTCTATATAAGTGCATTTTAACCGTCTCAGAATCATGTAGCTGAAGATTCTGACATTTGACACAAGGGCACCTAACCTCATCAACTTTAATGCTTTTTGGATGATCTTTACAAAACTTAATGAATTCATCAACCCTTTTCACGAACTCCGGTCTAATGTTGCGGCCATCCAACCTTTCATACATCCAGCTACGCTCTATTCGTTTCATGATTGCAATTCTACAAATCTCACCCAAATGACCACAATATTCAATCTAAATAAAATAATCATGTTGTTTGAACAAGTAAAGCAAGCAATAAGGTTATTAATGACATCGTAGGGTCCTTATCTCTCCAACCTAACCCATCCTTGGACGTGTAATCCCACTAGTAATTGTATGCCAAGTTTTCAATTCCATGGAAAATTCGGCAGCATTTCCCTACAGTTCTCCAAGTACACAATATGAGTAGTTATGTATACTTATATGTGTACCTAGAGAACAGATTAGGAAAACACGTAGCCAAAATTTTCCATAGAATCAATAACAAGGCATACAATAACCACAGTGAAAATGAACGTCCAAGAACAGTCCCAACCGGGGACTATTCAAGACATACACCTAATGTGTATGTCTTGAACGGGTATCTAGGCAAATGATGATGCAATTGTTGAATCAAAATTGAGACAAGTACATGAAGATCAAGAAACAAAATTATAGACATTAACATCATTATCCACATAGCATTGCATAAAAAAGTAACACATAAAATGTGCAATTAATTCACAACAAAATCCATAATCAATCAAGCTAGAAACATATAAATTTTTGGTTTTTTAATTTATGAAACATGAAGCAAATAGGTGTATTTAAACATCCAACTAACAAGATCCTAATACATTATTATATTTTACTTAACAAGTTAAGTGCTAAAAAAACTAAGTTATTATCATATAGCATAACTAAATAATTAACACATATAAACTAGTACAACCAAATTTAGGGAATTTAACTCAAAATAAAGTTAGGGTTTTGACATCAAAAATTGAAAATTAAACAAATTACTCACCTATGGAAGGAGATCGTCGGTATACTTACTACTAGGTTGTCGAATCTGTAAAGATTTATGATCCGTCGGTAAATAATTGAGTGAAAAAATAATGTTTAATTAACAAAAAAAAATTAAAAAAAAATTGACACTTACCATGTACAACCGGCCGACGACCGGAGGAACAGGACCCGGCGAAGAATCCGACGGTGCTACCAGTGATGATGCGCCAGAACAGGAACAGCCGCCTTGACGAGAACCCTTCGTCGTCGCCCTGCACTCTCTTTCTCTCCTTTGGGTCGAACTTTGAAAAAAAATAGATCTAAAACCTGAAACTAAGTCGTGGTTTTTTTTTTAAAAAAAATATCAGCATATTACCGATGGCTTTACCGATGGTAATGGCCATCGGAAAAAAAAAAATAATTTTTTTTTATAAAATTACCGATGCCTATAACCATCGGTAAAAAACTGAGTGTTATAATTTTTTTTAAGAAAATTCTACGACGGAAGAAAACCATCGGTAATAAATTCCCGATGGTTTAGCCATCGGTAATAAATTCCCGATGGTTTAGCCATCGGTTGACCATCGGTAAAATTAATTATTTCCGATAGTCACGTAAACCATCGGAAATTGAAGGTATTACCGATGGAATTTAATTGCCATCGGTATTTCATCAATTTCTAGTAGTGAACATGCGAACACAATCTATCAACAACACTAACATATATCATCAACAAACAAAAACACAACAACAAATTATGCGGCAAAAAAAAAAAAAAAAAAAAAAACAAATCAACATCATCAATTTTGTTAACAAAACCCACAAAACCATAAACCCTAACTAGAACAATACGATCATCAATCGGCCAAAATATTCGAAATTTATATCAAAATAACCACAAAAACAATGAGTAATGAAGGTTACCTCAAAAAAATAGATGTGTTAAGTGTCGTTTTCCCCCAATTTGCCCAAATGATTAGTCGTGTTCTTCACCAAAATCGCTGCTATTTTCTAGATTTGGAAACAATAAAGGGGGAATTTAGAGGGAATAAAAGAATAAAATAATAAGAAAGAGGAAAAAAAATTTGCTGACCCGCGCCTTTTTTTTTATTCGGGCGGGCCCCACATTGAGTTAACCTTGGGTACTCAATTGTTAGAGGGAATTAATTTTTTTGGCCAGAATTTGGTACTTAGTACCCAAACGGTGAAGAAAATAAATTGAGTACCTAAATAGTGAAAAATTGTAGTCAGAGTACCCAAATTTGTGCTTAACTCTGATTTTGTCATGCATTTTTTTTTTAAACAATTGTCATGCATTTATAAACTTATACTAAAAAAAGGAAATATATTAAATGTTTATTTGTAGCCTTAAGGATTACATATAACATTACCCTTGATAAAATAACTTCACTAGTTTATAAGAGTACAATTATTTTTTTTATTCAGAAACTTTTTTATAAACCCGATTTACAATAAAACTAGTGCATATTGAACAATTTTAGATTAATTTTAGCAAATTTGGATTTATTTGTAATCTAGCTTCTTTGCGGTAACTATCAACCCCATATGATTCTAAAATATATAAATAATGAAATAATTTTTATACCACTGATATTTTACTTTTAACTCATTGAGATAGATTTTTGCTTACTTAAAAAGATGCTATATCGATAAAATATACTATCTTTGTAAACTGTTAGTTGCAACTTTGAACTATTTTATACCTTACAAATAATAGCTCAAAGTTACAACTAAAAGTTAAAGAAAGTAGTAACTAACTTATACGGCTCTAGATATTGGTTATTGTTGATGAGCCTGCCGTCTGTAACCCATTGCACAAATTAATCACATACGGCCCAATATAATGCCTACAACGTTTCTACACTGGGCCATTTATTAATATTTAATACCCAAGTTTTTCTATTCAAGCCCATCACTGTAGACTTGTAGTTTAGTGGGCTGCAAATCTGCAATATCTGATGATAATGTGAATATGTAATTTTGATCAACAAAAAACTAAAGAGCTGACGATCTCAACTGGCTTATGGAGAGAACTTTAAACCTGGCCAAATTGACTCATACTCAATTATAATCCATTTACGCATATATCAACTCAACTCTACTTATTGAGTAAAAACCTTTTTTTTGAAAAAAAAAAAAAAAAAAAAAAAAAAAAACCTATTGAGTTACAGCTTTGGAAGTTTAGTACTTCCTCCGTTTTCTTTTAGATGCAACACACACTTTTTCACGGTATTTAAGAAATGTGGGGTTCACATGATATAATACACTTTAAAATGGGATGAGTGGTTGTTAGGAGTGTAATTCAATGGGTCATGATATAATGTTGCAAGTAAAAGAATACAGAGGAGTATATAATAACTTTTTTTTAAGAGAGCTACGGACGAGTGATGATCAAAATGGATCCAAAATCACTTGAAATCCGGAGGAAAACTCTAACCACTTGAGTTACCCCACACTCTCATACATAGCTAATAAAAATTATTCCAATATGAGTCAAGTTTAAGTAAAAAATTTAAAATCTTCAAATGCATTCATTTAATTTCGATTACAACATCTCATGTATGTTGTGGGAGGAAAAAAAAACATTAAAAATTCTAGAAATTTGAATATACATGTCTAATTACAAAAACATTATGTACTACACTAGCTAACCATCCCAATCAGTAATCATGCATTCATGCAACATTATTACAATCTTTATTATTTTCATTCCTTATTGGATGGCTTTCAACGCTTCCATTGCCTTTAATTACTTATCCAACGTTCACACAAGGGTCCAACAAGTAGAGGTAGATGGATCAAACAAAGCGGGCAAAAGGTATTTCCGCCCGTCTAGTCCATTGGCATTATAACTTGCACCTGAACTCGAATCTATTAGGAGCTCACCCGCATGACCCGGGTAAGCTCCTTTTCCATACACCCCGGTGCAAGCAGAAGCTACCTCAAGCGGAGCTTCTGCTTCACCTTGGTAATACCCGGTCCCAAACGGGTTTGTCGCAGTATTAGCCAAAAGGTTGGCAATATTTACCACCATGCCATCTACCCCCACGTCAGCATTGGGGGCCACCAATGGTGTATCTTGTGGGCCATAAATGGGCTGATGAAAGGGCCAAGCACATTGGCCCGGGCATTGACTTATTGAATTACCCACCCATATATACGTTGACTTTGTCTTATGATCAGACCCGTGTGACCCACAACTACTCACACAGAACCCCTCCACGGCTACATCATTAGCCGTGAGGACGAGGGTTAGCCCAATGGGTTTAGAATTCACTCGTCGGGCTAGCTCCGCGAGTTGAGACTTATTTAAATTTTTCCCTAGGGAACATTCTTCATCAACATGTTGCTTGGACAAAATAACATGTAGCCTACCTTTACCGGCCTTCTTCATGTAATTAGTTTGCACGGTATGCCACCATAGGCCCACTGTTGGGCCCACAACACGGTCGTGTTTTCGGGCAGGTCGGTCAAGAGAGAGAAAGAAGTCGGAGACAATTGTTTTTTGAGAAGGGGAGAACTTTCCGTACCAAAGGACGTAAACGGGCAGCTGCCCTTCAAGTAAAGGGCCATTATGGTATTTTAAGGGCATAGGTTGTGCTTCATAGAGTGAAGCCAATTTTTTCACTCCTAAGCTAAATTGAAAATAATTAGTTGCTAATATAAATATTATAAGTGCTAAGAAGGAAGACATTTTTTTTCTAAGTCAAAGAATTTGGATTTGATTTGTAAAATTTCTGTTTTTGAGAATTATAAGTGTAATGTATGTAAGTGAGTATTAGGGGTGAGCAAGACCGGGTACCCGGTCATATTTGTAATACCCGGATCCGGAACCGGTTATAACCGGGTCCCAAGAATTGGAACTGGTCCCGGAACCGGTTAATACCGGATCCAAATTTTTTGGAACTGGTCCCGGACCCGGTAGGAACCGGTTCCAAGACCGGGTACCCGGTATTATTCAACGTAGTAAAATACTGTTTTTTTCTTTATAATTGTTATATAATATATTATTATATATAATGGAATTTTGCAGGCTAGTTATATTAACATAATAATATCCCTAAATTAGTTTTGGAGGCTAGCAAAATACAAATATTTCAAAATACAAATATTACAAACTAATAAGCCAAAAAGTACCAATTCAACAACCTAAAATATCAGTACAACAAACTTCAACAATGCTGCAAAGTCCAAACATCCAAACATAACCAAAACAACTACTTAAATAAAAGTTCAGAAAAAAAAAGGGAAGAAAAGGAAGGGCAGCAACAGGCAGCAGCTGAGCACACCATCAGCAGGCAGCAGCTGAGCACACCATCAGCCAGCAACAAGACCAGCAGCAAGTCAGCAACCATCTAAGCAACGGAGAAAGACAGCATACAGCAGACAACAAAGCAAAGAGGCAGCAGCCAACAAGGAAGCACAAATTCCCTATAAACAAAAGCCAAAATGTCCTTAGAATATTTGTCATTTGATATCTTTTCATACAATATAATTAAGAATACAATTATACAAACCTTTGTCACATCAATTATTTCCAACAAATTCATTAACTTGTGTGATGCCAGTGTCACTACCATCCAATTCTAAAAAAAACAGTAAACAATATAAGTAATAAACTTAGAGAAATAAAATAGATAAATATACAAAATAATAGAAGTATTAGTGTATTACCTTCTTCATATTTTTGAACATCCTCAAGGAAGCGCTCAATATCAATGCATACATTTGACGCCCTTAACCAATCTTGAGTACAAACTAAAGCTTCCACCATATTTGGCCCCAAACTACTACGAAATTGATCAAGTATGCGACCCGATGTACTAAATGCGGATTCACTAGAAACCGTAGAAATTGGTATAGCCAAAATGTCCTTAGCCAATGTTGACAATACTTTGTATTTGTCACTTTTTTCTTTCCACCAACCCAAAATATCAAACATTTCCCCTTCAACCCTTCTCTCCCGAGCTTCTTCAAGATAATAATCCAATTCACTTTTTTCAACAATAAAATCACTTTCTTCCTCATCAAAATCATCATAAAACTTTTTCATTTGCTCACTATTTGAAGAGCTCAAGTTTTCAGAACCATTATCCACATTGGCAACATTAATATTACGATTATTCTTGGAAGAGGAAGAAGCAATAATAGCATCATAATGGTTAAATAACTTCTGAACATTGTCATACAAATTGTCACAAATAACATCGACTTTGGCAAAGTCGTTAGGATAAAGTTTTTTAAAAGAATACTTCAAAAACCTAAGCTTATATCGAGGATCTAAAACAACCGCAACTAACATCATGATATTAGTTTTACCGAGATCCCCATAATACTTATCAAACTTTTCCCTCATTTGTCTACCCATAATACGAATATCCATATTTGTAGAGTTTTCCCATTCTATCAAACAACTTAACACCTCCAAAACCTCGTGAAAATACAAGTTTGTAGTAACATATAAACTACCCGACATTTTCTTTGTAGACTCATAAAATAATTTCAAACACAAAGACAACACTTTAGCATTTACCCAATCTTCTTGTGTAGGTACTCCATCCTTGAGTTCCCTACTAAAATCAGGATCATCTTCCGCAAACCTATTAAAAGCTTTTTCAAATTTCAATGCGGTTTCAAGCATGAGAAAGGTAGAATTCCATCTAGTTGCCACATCAAGACAAACTGAACCTTTACAAGAAACTTTAACCAACATAGAAGAGTGTGCAAACAATTTAGCTCTAGAAGGTGAACTCCTCACATATCTAACAGCAGCACGAATTCGAGCAATCGAAGACTTCACACTAGATAAACCATCTTTCACAATCAAATTTAGAACATGACAAGAACATCTCATATGAAAAAATGAACCCTCCAAAACAAGTTTATCATGAAAATGTGTTTTCAAATATCCAACCGCCACATCATTTGAACTAGCATTATCAACAGTTAAAGAAAACAATCGATCCTCAATCTCCCATTTAAGAATACATGCCTCCACAACTTTTCCAATTTCCTTACCTTTATGACTATCCATTAATTGAAAATTTAAAATTCTTTTATGCAACTTCCAATTATCATCAATAAAATGAGCAGTCAAACAAAGATAATTAAAATTTTGAATGGAGGTCCAACAATCAGTTGTTAGTGACACTCTCGATTTCAAACACCCAATTAATTTCTTTAATTTTCCACTTTCACAAACAAATATATTCTTCACATCTCTTGCAACTGTAAAACGTGAAGGTATATGAAATTGAGGTACAGCAACACTACAAAAATACCTAAAACCTTCACGCTCAACAATAGAAAATGGTTGTTCATCAACAATAACCATTCTTGCCAAACCAAGTCTACAAGCAGTTTCATCAAATTTCCAATTAGAGACTATAGTAGCATCAGATTCAGGAGACTTGTAAACAGAAATGAGTTTTTGCTTTTTGTCTACATTTGGAGGGTATTTTGAACATGCACCAAGGTGTTTCTTTAATGAAGAAGTTCCATTATTAGTATTACCTGTTAGCATTTTCTCACAATATTTGCATTTGACTTGAACAATTTTTTTGGTTACTGGATCTCTAAAATCCCAAAAATGGTTCCAGTATTCAGACTTCCTCTTGTCACCAACCTTGGTTGATTTGGTTGTTGCATTCTCGTTTCCAACCTCACTTTCATCATCCATAGGGACTGACGAATTGTCGGTATTGCTCATAGTTCTGAAATAGGAACAAATTAAACTTTAATAAGACATAAACATTACACAAAGTACTATTCTCATTAATCTGCAAATTGGGCCTCATTAATCAACACACTAAGTCACTATTCTCACTAACACAGCAAGCAGTGCAAATTAACAAATATAACAGCAAACAAATTTAGTCCAATTCATACAAAGTACAAAGTCTACAAACCAATCCAAATCATACAAACTTAAGTTTTCAGTTTAAATAACAAACTAACAAAGTATCAAATCAAACCAATCAATCCATACAAACTCAAATTAAACAAGTTTTAACAGAACTACTTAAGTTAAACATAACATGATCAACATTCAGCAACATTACAGCCAGCAGAACAGCAGAACAATAGCAGCAGCCAGCAGAATAGATCAATCCAGCAGGCAGCAAAGCAGTAGCAACAGAACAGCAGAACAGTAGCAACAGAACAGCAGAACAGTAGCAGCAGCCAGCAGAACATCAAAACAGTAGGCCAGTAGCAGCAGATCAACACAGCAGTAGCAGCACAGAGCAATCACTCAAGTATTTCGACCACTTCATCAATTTTAGCATCACCAATTGCCATATTCTTCACAAATTAAAATGTAGCAAGTAAAATCGCAAGTTAAAATCGCAAATTAAAATCGCAATTCACAATTGAACATGCAGTAGCAACGATTAGTATTTAGTACTTTAGTAGGAGAAGACAGGAGAGAGCAAGTAAGTAGAGAAACGATTAAAATCGCAAATTGAATTCGCAAATTGCATATTTCATACCTTAATTAGTAGGAGAAGACAGGAGAGAGAGAAGCAGGTGGACCGTTGACGGTGGTCGCCTGGTGTCCTGGTGTACTGGACGGTGGTCGGAGACTCAGAGGAGACAGTCAGACGAGGGAGGACGAAAGAGTGGAGAAAGGCTGAGAGCGTGAGAGGTAGTGAGAGGATTAGAGGAATTAGGGTTTTTTTATTTTTTCATTATATACCTAGGGTATTTAGTTTTGGGCCAGATTGGGCTTATAATTCAGTTTGGTTCGGTTTTGTTCGGTTCCGGTTCCGGGTACCCGGATTGTCTGGATCCGGGACCGGGTACCCGGAACTGGAATTGGTTTAAACCGGGTACCCAGTGGGTACCGGGTCCGAAATTTTAGGACCCGGTCCCGGAACCGGTTACAATCGGGTCCGACATTTTGGACCCGGTCCCGGAACCGGTGGGACCAGTTCCGGGTCCGGACCCGGCGGATCCTAACCGGTTCCGGGTCCGGTACCGGGTACCCTGGGTCTTTGCTCACCCCTAGTGAGTATATATAGTGGGATTTGGTGCATGTATGTAGCTAGCAAAGAAGAGTGGGTTTATTTGTTAAGCTTTCATGAGTAAATTACTTGAGTTGTCAGGGGATAGGGAATCACGAGAAAGATGACAGCTAATCATTTGGATTATAAATCATCAAATTAATCTACTGAATTGTATTTTACAGATGGATATTGTTAACTACTTAGGCCTTGTTTTTTGGAACTGCTCTGCTAATTTAATTTGGTTTACTCACCTGATTTAATCTAGTCTGCTCTGTTGACACCTGCTCTATTCTATTTTACTCGCCCAGAATGTCAAAAATATAGGGCCTTATAGTAAATGAAAGCTCACTAAGAAGGTTTAGTAAATAAAATGTGCCAATATGACCTTTATACATCTGAAAATAGTATATGTAATTATTATTTTTAGATGAAAAGAACGAGCTTAAAACTTTTTTCCCGAAATAATAAGATTAGGGAAGTGATGACGTTAATGCATTGGTTTTCAAGCTACAAAGTGGGAATACAGAGGATTGTTTTGAGAACTTTGAGGTAAGTTGATAAAGGTTTAGAGTTGTTGGGAAAAAAGATAGCATGAGTAAGAATAGGAGCTAACCTCATGTGTCATTAGAGTTTTCCTAGGTAAAAATGCTTAATTTCAAGAAAATATCATCATAATTTAAGATGATAATATGGTCATTACTAAAATAATTAGATTAATGAGATTTATTTATACATGTGTTAATGGATTAGGAACAGAAATGGGACCACATAAAGAGCTATGGTATAGAGTATATGATCCATACTTGTTTAGCCCCATTTGAGAAATGGGCATATGCAATGTATTTGGAGCATGATGATGGGTATACCCAGAAGAGCAGACCTAGTTAGGTCCCCCATTGTTAGCAGTGGGATGTACTAAATTCACATACCCGTACCATGCTTGTCTGCTTCTTTGTAGATCCTAGGGTACATGAATGTGCCTTAAGCTTCAACATTGACTCAACCATTATTTTTGAGATATTTCAATTCCTAGTGGTAGTGATTTGATACTAAGGGTCTTTTTTCATACGTTTATTTTCAGTTCAGTTCATCTCCTAATTTCCTTCTCTTATAAAATATTCATTTCAGTTCAGTTCAGCTCCTAATTTCCTTCTCTTATAAAATATTTATTTCAGTTCAGTTCAGTTGAGTTCAGCCTATGAGAACAGGCCCTAAGATAGAAGCATTCCATAATCGTTAATGAAAATCGACTTTTGCCCCTGACTAGAAATTAAGAAGTAAGAAGAGTAGGCCGGTTAAGTTTAGTATTTTCGTACCTATATAACCCTCGACATAGTATTACTGGACCGGTCATAACTAAGAATTACTTCATATTAGGAAATATTGTACAATGATATAGAGTAGTTAAACTTATAGTTTTAGGCTTAGAGCAATAACTATGGTATTTATTATGAAATAATTATGTTTGTGTTGACCGCTGAAAAAGGGCATACATATTTGTTTATTGTCAATTAAGGTAGACGCATATTTACTAATAAATACCTAATCCAACAACATTAAACAATGACCTCCCAAGACTAATCCAAATACTTGAGCAAGAATTTGAACAAGTGCATAATTTCATAGTTTGGTATCAATGAAGCTCCCTAAAAAGGAAGATTATGTATTTATGTGCATCACTAGTAAGCGGATTTAAAAGGGAAACCCAAAGTGGGGAAAACCTATACTATTATTAGAAATAACATAGAGATTTTTTTATAACATTGATTTCACCTTACTAGTTCTACACTTCTAGCTAAGGGAAACTTTTGGTTTATATAAATAAGTGTTAATTTAATGAACTTAAATTGTATCAACTTCGACAACTTGTAAGAAATTTACTACCACTGCACGTTATATAGCATAATTTTGTTCAGATGAAATTGATTGAACCTTCACTACATGTCCATGCTTTATGGTATGTAGGAGTTTATATGTTTGGTCTAATTTCCATGGTATTAATTTTGCAAAATTGAAGAACGTTTTAAATGAAAGTGATTTGTGAAGTTGACTTGTTAAGGGGCTACATCCTATTCCTAGCTATACTAAGCTGTAAACCAACGAAGATTTGTGTAAGTCAAAATTAGTGCGTAGTGGCAGTGTAGCACAAGTCAACGCTTATTTATTATGATGAAGCACTTTCATATCTGCCCTTGATCTTTTAAGATTAGAGTATGGTTAATTACTTGGCAATTTGCATCACCTTTTAGACCAAAATTGCACTTGATTAGTGTTTGCTGTGTCGTGTATTATATCAGCCGCAATTGTGTGCAGTCGACAACACCGTGTGGCCACTTAAAGTAACCCCTATAACATTGATTAAGTAACCTTTATAATACCAACCGAGTAACCCCTATAATATTGACCGAGTAACTCTATAACAATGATGAAGTAACCCCTTTAACACTGACCAAGCTAAGTAACCCCCATTACACTAACGAAGTAACCCTTATAGTGGTTGGCCACATGGTGTGGCAATGTGGCCAGTCACATATAAGAGTTTGTGTTATTATATTAACAATAGCACATAGATAGTAATAAGATATGTTTTTTTTTTTTCCTTTCCATACGAGTAGCGCGCACTTGCATAGGTAAATTAGGTCATAAATTAATGTGGGACTCATATCAAAATAAAAAGTAGAGGCAATTTTTATTTGGACATTTTGTTGGGAAATATAGGTGTAGTTGTGTTTGATTAATGTGAAAGAAGTCAACTAACAAATAATAAGAATGAAAAAAACAATAAGAAAGATAAACTAAAAGCACAAGTATTTACGTAAGTTGGTCAAATTAGACTTGCATCCACATGTGGAGAATTCAGAGCTTTTTTTTACTATAATGTTGAAAGAATGAGAAATTATACAAGGAGTCCTAAATCTTAATGGCTCAAACAGTTGTGATCTAATGGACCACATAAATGGTCCTTTTATAACGCAAGGAAACTATTCCATAAGTTATGCACAAGGACCGCGGCAACTAGCTCAAGCATGCAACAAGCCTCCATAAAGATGAGCTATAACTCACTCGCCAATAATCAAGCCATGAATATGTGTGAGCTATAGCTCACCTCTTCATAATTGAAAAAATTTATGGAGTATTTACAAACTAATCGCACAGTCGCACTTAATTATGTCAGAATTTCATAAATATTAGAAATATGAGTACTAAAAATTAATTAATAGCACAAACCAACACACAATTTTGTCAAAATTTAATAAATGACTTTGAAAAAATATACTCCGAAATCAATTCTTAATACTGTAAGTATGGAGTATATAATTAGGGCTACAAATATCATACTTGTACCGAATATATAATACTCCGTACAAATTAATTTTTATGTACAGCTAATGAGTTGCTAGGACCAGCTGCACACTAATAACTAATAAGTGATCCCTTCATACAATCGATGACATTTTAGTAGTAGTTGGTTTTGCAGAGTGCGTGAACTCTCCGTGCAACTTATGAAGACCATATTTAAGTACCCTAGGAGAATATTGTGTAATTAATTAATTAATTATAATACTGCCATCTAATAATCTGTCTTTATATTCTTATTTGTACTAAATTGCTTGCTAACACCCTCCTTCATCCACGCTAGTGACTAACATTTTGTTTTTAAATACAAGTTGCTAATTATCGTTGCCTAGTGAATAGTGATTGGATTAGGACATTGTAAGTGGACACTAATGCGGGTTTCAATGTCATCACTGAATGAACACTGATACATTGTCTAAACTTTGCTTAGTTTGTAGACTTGAGTTATAATATAAAAAATATAATGTACAAAATTTCATTATATATACTCCCTTCGTTTTTAAATATTTGATCAATTTCTATTTTTTGTACTATTCATTTGTCTTATTTTGACTAATGTTTGTGATTTATACATAAGAAAAAATATACTCTGATGAGTACTTGTCAGAATCATCTCAATGAATAGATTATTAATTTTCAATTGTTAGAATTTATAGTTATTGATAATTAAAGATATTAGTGAACAAAGCTTAGCATCGACATGCGTATCCAAGATAAATGAAGCAAATATTTAAAAACGGAGGGAGTATAAGTTATGTGTACAAACTCCGTATGAGACTGCATAACATAAAGTAGACACTATATTATGAGACAGATGAAAAATCCGTGTTATTTTTATACAATCAACGTTCCTTGCCCATCTGGCTGCCATCAAATGAAAAAATGTAACATAGTGATGAGGTAGTAAAATAAAATGAAAAATCCAAAACTCCTGAAAAGCATGGATGATGGTCAACTAGTATGATAAAGAGGAAAAAAAACACAAAGTGTAACTTACTCCTCAAGTTCACAAAATTGCCGTGAAGGTGAAGGCCGGTGAAGGGCCAGGTGAGGTGAGAGTATGAATGTGAGGCTATTCTTGATTTCTTGACATGTATTGTGAAAAGTGGGACCCACCAAAAATCCATCTCATCCATTGGATACTTGAAACCCATACACGTCATTATCCTATTCAAAGGAAAGCCAGCAAGGCTAGGCTTTATTTCTTTCTTTGCTTGGTATTTGCCAGTTGGACTTCTCACTATTCCCCATATAAACTCCATTTACTTACGGTTACCTTCCCTTAACAGCCTGTCTATTACCACACTCTTTCTCAACAACGTCTCTTTTTTTCTTTTCCTTTTCTAACCCCCCCCCCCCCCCTCTTTTTTTTTTTTGGTTATCTTTGCATTTTTTTTGAACTCAATTGTTATTCCTAAAACGTGACTTTATTAAATGTTGGTATTCCATTGCAAACAGCTCTATTTCATTTAACTTTTTTTTTTACTTAGAGACGGTTCATATTTACTGAACTAAGATGAATTGAACTGAACTAAACTGATTGGAGCTTAACTGAATATTTTATGAGAGAGGGAACTTAAGAGCTGAACTGAATTAAACTGATTGGAGCTGAACTGAATTGAACTGAAATTAAGTGTATGTGAACAGACCCTTACTACATATTATTGTACAAGTTTTATTTTATACCAGTAAATAAATTTAAGAATTTTAATAAGATAAATATAATGGCATTGAGATGAATCTAGTTAAAATTTACTCTGTACTCGTAATTAATTATAGTTTTTCCATGCGTATAAATTACAAAAGATAGTAAAAAATATTTTAAAAAATAAGTAAATAGTGTAAAAATCTAAATAATACAATTAAAAATTAGTGAAAATATATAACTAAATCAAATAAAAATTTACAGAGTAATTAAATCATACAGTACTTTATAATAAAAAGGTAGAACTTATTCACAAAATATTATAAGTTCACAAGTCTCACAACATTACAATTTGAAGAACACAAGAAAGTATAAAGAGTGCAACTAATTAAATTTTATTCTATATCTTCATATTTCACATTTTCCAAATTTCCACCATTACTTTATTGCTTCTACCCTTTTTTTTTCCATGGCATTATATACTTTATAATTTAAATTTAAAAATTCTCTAACCCTCTCTTGTTCTACACACTTCCCCTTTTCGAAGGGCAGCATGGAGATTTCAGTTGCCAGCCAATACAGCCATGGGGACCCACGACGCGTATCTATGAAGCTGTAACCTTATGTAATTTCGTCCTTTTCCATACTCCAACGCTTTTTATTTATTAAACCTTCCTTTTTTTTTGTGTCTTTTTCTGACCTCCTTTCTTTTATCTCATCCAAAATCGACCTATATAAACCCCCTCACTCCTTTCTCATTTCACTCATCCCACTCCTCACTTCCCATTTTCAAACACTTTAAAAACAAAAACCAAACTTTTAAACAAAGTCCATAAATTTTAAAAAATGGCCTCAACTACTCAAAAATTCCTTCCAATCCTACTCATTTTCTCACTCTTCCACATCATTTCCGCTGCAAGAAACACCATCCACGACCAACAACCAATAGTCGATGATTCCTCAAACTCGATGCTCCTCCAATACCACCGTGGCCCACTCCTCTCCGGTAAAATCTCCGTCAACCTAATCTGGTACGGAAAATTCACCCCTTCTCAAAAGGCCATTGTATCAGATTTCATTACTTCCTTATCTTCCACCAAAAACCATAAAACCAGCATCAACCCATCTGTTGCCACGTGGTGGAACTCCATTGGCAAATACTATCACCTAGCCAACAAAAAGACCTCTTCACTTTCCCTCACTTTAGGAAAACAAATCAACGACGAATCCTACTCACTTGGAAAATCCCTAACCAACAAACACCTAACCGAACTCGCTTCAAAAGGCGCGCAATCCAACGCAGTCAACGTAGTGTTGACTTCATCCGACGTGGCAGTAGCCGGGTTCTGCTCAAGCAGGTGCGGGACCCACGGCTCAGCCAGCTCCAAAATGGGCCGAACCCACAGCAAGTTCGCCTACATCTGGGTCGGAAACTCAGAGGCCCAATGCCCAGGTCACTGCGCTTGGCCATTCCACCAGCCCATTTACGGCCCACAAAGTAGCCCATTAGTTGCGCCCAACAACGATGTGGGCCTAGATGGGATGATCATTAACTTGGCCTCATTGATGGCTGCAACCGTGACTAACCCGTTTGGAAACGGGTTTTACCAAGGCCCAAAAGAAGCTCCACTTGAAGTAGCATCAGCTTGTCCTGGGGTTTATGGAAAGGGAGCTTACCCGGGGTATGCTGGTAATTTACTAGTGGATAAAACAAGTGGTGCGAGTTATAATGCAAATGGGGTTAATGGAAGGAAGTATTTGTTGCCTGCTTTGTATGATCCTTCTACTTCCACTTGCTCTACTTTAGTGTAGAAAAATGTAATATTGAGAGTAGTGAGGTAGTAGAATTATTAAATTCATTGATTCATTTTGTTTAATTTGTATCGCATTTGCGATTTTAATTAATACAAGTAATATTTTATTAGCAAATGGTTTAATTTGCTGTCATAAGAAAGAAATTTGTCCGTTTTATTTTGTCCTAAATAATTTAGTACTTGTTTTTTTTAGTTGTTGCCTTGTTGGACTGTTGGTACACTTAATTAATTGTGAGGACTGAGAAGTCGGTAAAAATGCCACTGATTTGCCAGCTTTACTTTGGAATTTGGAATTTATGATAATTAAGTTTAAAGTTTAAACACAGAAAGTTCAAGTGGAGGTGAGATGAGGAGTCTGTTCTCATTCATTTCAAATTTAAATCAGTTTAGCCTAACTCGTAATTTTCTTCTTTTATAAAATATTCATTTCAGTTCAGTTTTGCTCAGCTCAATTCAGTTAATGAGAACAGGCCCGAAGGAATATAATCATTAAGGTTTGATAAAGATCTTACATATCACATGTATAATGTGTGTTTAAGCACAGAAAGTTATACCTCAAAATAGAAATGTTCGCTAAAATAACTCAGAAGTGTTGTAAAGTTATGCTTCTTCCTTCATTCCAATTTGTATAATACTCCGTAGGGTAATGAATAGAAGTTCAAGCTTATGCTAATGATATTTCTATTTCCGCCCAAAGTAATTCGTATATTATTTTCAATTTCTATATTATATTATGGACGTATGAAATATGGAGTATCACTTTTGCTACTCCTCGTATAAGTTAGGACTATACTAAGGGCCTGTTTCGATTGACTGAACTCAGCTGAACTGAAATGAACTGAACTGATTAATTAGTGATTTTTAACTACGGATTAGTGATCTTTGATTATTTATTGATTATTTATTACTATACATATGTGTATATACAAATGTACATATTATTATTATTAATAATAATAATATTATTATTATTATTATTATTAATTATTGAATATTATTATTATTATTTATTGATTATTATTATTATTATTGTTGTTGTTATTATTATTATTTATTGATGATTATTATTATTATTATTATTATTATTATTATTATTATTATTTATTGATTTTTATTATTAGTATTATTATTTCAATTATTATTGTTATTATTATTATTATTATTATTATTTATTACTTATTGATTATTATTATTATTATTATTATTATTATTGTTAATATTATTATTATTGTTGTTGTTGTTGTTGTTGTTGTGTTGTCGTTGTCGTTGTCGTTGTAGTAAGAGCTTAAAAGAATGAAATTTGGCTTTATATCATTAGCAATATCATTAGACGTAAATTAAGAGCTGAATTGAACTGAACTGAACTAAAGTGAATTTTAACGGAAGAGAACAGACCCTAAAACTTACAAATTCTTTGGAAATCCATATTTCAAATTTTCAATATCATAAACATATTAAGCAATCAATTCCTTACAAAGGCATGAAACCAAATTCACATGAATTCACCTCCTATACATGATGATGAGTAATTTTTAACAGCATTTATTAACTTTTCAAAAGAATAAAATATGAATTTACCATACTAGGTTCGGTTTACTACTATTACATGAGTAGATAAGCTATTGTTAGTTACGAGTATTTTTTTTATTAAAATGTACTCCGTAGTATTTTGTACTCCCACTGTTTTTAAATACTTGCTTCACTTTTCATTTGCGTCCGTTTTTAAATTGCTGTATTTCCTTATTTGAAAAGCTTTTACAATATTTAATTTATTTCCTTCACCTAGTGGACCCAATATATGTTCTCTCTCTTCCAATTCTCTCCACTATTTTTACTTTCTACGGAGTATAATTTTTTATTCTTTCATCAACCCCACTACCTCCATAATTTATTACTTTCTCCAATTTCTCCTAAAATTCCGCACATGGAGAAATGGAGCAAGTATTTAAAAATGGAGGGAGTAATACATAGAGGAATTTCTTACAAAAGATTAGCTTGGACAATACAATGGTCAATTTGGTAATGTGAATTAGGTGACATCTAGAGTTATCACTAAGCTCCAAGTCTCCAACATATACATCCCATTTTGTGGCCATTATGTTCATGCACCCACCGAAAGTATTACTATTGCCTAACGCTCCTTCTTCCTTAAGACTCTCCGCATTATTAGACATCAAGACATGCAACGGCTAATCAATTATTTGGAATGTTTTTATTTTACGAGTTTTTTTAAGCAATGATCTATTTGGATTTTGGAATGCAGGCAATCTTGCCAAGTCATTTTTGTATCTATGTAATTGTTCTATTTGTCCATAAATTATTGAAATATTTGGTTTTAGGCCCATGTCTCGTAAGTCCTTCCTTGGTTTTTTTAAGTTGCATCACTTTGCAAGTAGTATAAGCAATTTTTGGAAATGAGAGGGAGAAAATAAGAAAAAAAAAATCCATGTAAAAGGATAAAGCAACAGCGAAGTCAGGATTTTCAAATTGAGAGACGAACTACGAATGTCCTATAATTTGACAAAAACCTTTAAAAAATATACTTGAACACATAAATTGTTTAATACCTATCATTTTTAAAGAATCCCCCTTTTTTTATCCTACAAAAAATATTGAAAAGAAAAAGAATTTTTTAAATTATACTTCGCTTACAGAACCTCAGGTAGAGCTACAAAGAGCAGGGGTGAGAATTGACCCATGATCTCTTGAAATTGAGAGAGAATCTGAACCACTTGAGATATCGTTCACTAAAACAGTAAAACTTGGAGTACGCACATATAACACCAAACACAAAAATTACTCCATAATAATGTTTGGAGGCAAGGTTTTTATATAAAAACAAAAGAAACACAAGAAAATAAAAATTTATTACAAATTCACTACAGATTACTTAATTGTGGACTAAGGGCCTGTTCTGATGAGCTGAACTGAACTGATTGGAGCGGAGCTGAACTGAACTGATTAGAACTGAACTGAACTGAACTAATTGGAGCTGAACTAAACTGAACCGAGGATCTGTTCACATTTACTGAACTGAGCTGAACTGAATTGATTGGAGCTAAACTGGACTAAACTAAGGGTCTGTTCACATTTATTGAACTGAACTGATTGGAGCTGAACTGAGCGCCAGTTCACATTTATTGAACTGAACTAAATTGAGCCGAACTGAACTTTGCTGAACTGAACTGAATTGAGCTAAAATAAATATTTTACGAGAGAAGGAAATTAAGAGCTAAACTCTTACAAAAATAAAAACATAGTTATCCTCTCTATATAGTTTCTCTCTAAGGTTCTTCAAAGGTGGAGAAGTTTGACAATTTTCGACCTTTTTCCTTTAATTACTTTACGTTTTGTTTGATTCAATAAAACTACATTCTCTTATTAGAATTTAGTATAAATATGTACAATATGCAACAATAATCAAATTCTGCTAAAAAGATGTTTTTATTTGATTCAATTATCATGTATTTATTAGACATAAACTTTTTTTAAATTTTTTTTTTAAGAAGTTAGCTTGGGCATTTCATTAAATCAAATCAATTTATGTCCATAACAAAATGCCGTTGGCGAAATGTGCTCTAAATTACCACACGCATCCCATCCAGCAACGATCTTACATGCCCTTCTCCAATGATGTGATGAGAGATACTAAACGAATCATACAAAAGAGCTAACTAAGGATCGGTTTTCTTCAGCTTAATTTCAGACCAATTCGGTTCAATTCCTAATTTTCCTTCTCTCATAAATTATTCAGTTCAAGTCAGTTTAATTCAGTAAATCAAAAGAGGCCCTAAGACTGTAAGACATCTCATACACAATATAAGTTGGTACTCCATACATAAATTAGGTACCCTATAAATCTCTTTATAAATATTGTATGACTTTTTTTTTTTTTTTTTTTTTTTTTTTTTTTTATGAATCGATTTTTAAAAAAATAATAAATTGTACGGTAGCATAGTAGGGCCTAGGTTTATGAGAAATTGAGAATATCGAATAGAGAGAAGCTCTTCCGGAGCATTGAAAGATTTGAAAAAGAACAGAAGAAGACGACTATCCCGAAATGCCGGAAGAGTGGGTTATGCGTAGTTTTTCGCAGAAACAATTTTTCATTTGGATCATCCTCTTTAGGTAACTCTATTAATCCATTATCATCTTTTGCAGATTACACTCCCTTTATATTTCCTTCTCTTTTTTTCACGATTTTGATCTTTGATTATCCTTAATTTGGCTGCATAATTATATAATTTATCTTTGGAAAAAATGTTGCAGATTTTACAAAAATAAATTCAAACTATTGATAGAACATTGAAAAAACTGCAGAATTATATTATGTTTACTACATAATTTTGGTTATTTATGACTCTGATATAGTAATGATTTTGGTTATTAGCTAGCAATTTGATGCCTTTTTCACGGAATTTGATTTAAATTCAATTAATTGACAGTATTTGATTTTCGGGGAAATTTTTTAAGTAGAATATTGAAGTTGCAAGTTTGCAACAGTAAATAACTCTACCACATATTAAAGATATCGGTTAATTTGTTATATTTTTTTAAAGGAATGAAAGAGTTTCAGATTATAAGGGATTAGATTGGAGTAGAGCATACCTAGGCACCGTGCCGGGCCGTGCCTGGCGGGCCACGGGCTGGTTCGTGACGTGTCGGTCATGCCGGCGGGCCCAGGATTTCGTGCCGTGCCGTGCCGGCCATTTTCACAGGCCAGCCCACGGCACGGCACGGCCCTCGTGCCTGGCGGGCTCGTGCCGTGCCGGCCACGTGCCGGCCTGCGGGCTGGTGCAGTTTTCAAATAATTTAATTTTTTTTTTTTTTTTTTTTTATGACAACATTATAAATTAATAAGTTTATAATGTATATAAGTTATAAAATTATAATTATAAGTTTTATAAGGTTATAACTTATAAGTTTATAACTTATAAGTTATTAAGTTATGAATTTTATAATTATAAGTTGAATATTTATGTTTTATAATTTGTATATTCAATATTTATATTTATATATTTACTTTATACTATTACTTTAAAATTTAATGTTTATGATTTATTAATAATTGGTATAATTTTATTTTTTTTTAATATGAATTTACAAATTGTAACAAAACGGGGAAAAAAGACAAA